TACGACTAGAGGATCACCCCGAAACCCAAGATATGAAAGAGTCTAACCCAGTCTGCGCTCCTTCCTGCTTCTGGTACCACCAAACTTTATACGAGTCGAGTCCGTTACGCGACTGACGAGCCCACGAACGTTCTTGCCCTCGTTACCCAGCAGAACCTTGGTGAAGGCCTCACGACCAAGTCCAAACCCGCGAAATACGACCTCTAAACGATTGATATCAAGAAGATAGCCCCGTTCCTGCATCTGACCGAACACATGGGACGTCAATTGGTATGCCGGGTCGTATCCCGAACGGTGCCCTTTGCGGAAACCGAGATGGCCGCAGCTCATGGATAACAGCGGGTTGCCATTAGGACGTGTCAACGTCAAAATGGTGTTGTGCTTATGTGAGAAGACGTGTAGGTGATGCGGAGGAGCACGGTCGGCGTAGGGTTGCTTAATCATTTCGGCCTCCAGGCTCTCTGCCATTCTGGAATAATCACGGCTCACATTCTGATTTGTGCGAGTCCTCTCTCCCTGCATCATCTTGGTGATCGCGGAGAGGGCAGAGTTCTCGTCAGCGGCTGCCTCGGGCTTCGCATTCAGAATCTGCCTCTCAATTTGCCGGTTCTTGCCTTTAGCATCCGACGCGGATGTTGCATGGGTTGAGGAGAACGGTCTGATGAGCCGGATCGAAGAGGTACGAAGTTGGCATTGCCGACCAACTGAAGGCAACGCCTTCAACAGGGAACTCGCAAACGTGGTGTTCATCTTTTGCTAGGGAGGCAGAAATGCCGGGGATATGCGGCGAAAGTAGTCGGAACGAGCGTGGCGGATGAGACCGACCAACGCAAGGAAAACAGGAGGGTGATAACACAGCTATGTCCTGCTAACGAAGGCAATTGGGCAATCCTAAGTAAATAGGTCGATCTGGTCGCAAAGTACCTCGGGCGGTTGGGATCGTGAACGGCGCAATGGTGGTTCGGGACAGAAGGCGGCGGAAAAGGGCCCGAATTTTCGAGTCTTGGCATTTGCATCTCAACTTTTTCTTTCTCCCTCTCCATCTCTCCATTGACTCCGCAGCCGAAATCGCTTCTTCCTCGCCTCCACATCCGACTCCTCAATTCCCCCTTCACCCTCGGGGCGTTGCTGACCTCATACTCTTCTTGAGTCCTCTTTTTCATCCCTCTAGCATCTATTCATACCATACATAGCATGATTTCGGCTACTAGAATGTCGGCCACCGCGCGGGCGGCCACCTTGCGGTCTCAAGTACCGAGTTTGAGAACAGCTGCTTCTCAACGGTCATCCATCCACTCTTACTCGACGTCGCCTACAGCCAGAATCTCCCTTTCCTCCAATACTGAACGCGCAAACCGTCCTGTCTCCCAAATCCTTTCCCCGTACGCTGCTCTTCCACTCACGCGATCTTTCCATGTCAGCACTTCCCGCTGGCAACAACAAGAACAGAAGAAAGAGAAGCAATCCGAGGAAGCTAAGGAGGAAAAGGACGAAGGCAAGTCTAAGGAGGAGAAGGATGAAGGCAAGTCTGAGGAGGAAAAGAAGAATGCGCCTCCTCCCCCTCCTCACGGAGACAAGACTCCCTGGCAGGTCTTCAGAGAGACTCTGCAGTCAGAGCTCAAGGCCTCCAAGGAGTGGAACGAGTCCACTAAGGCTCTTGCATCTTCGGCACACCAGTTCACAGAGAATGAAAATATTAAGAAGGCTCGTGCCGCCTATGAAGCCGCCCATGGAGCGGCGGCGACTAAAACCGGAGCTGCCTTAAAGACCACCGGTCAAGCCCTCGGCAAAGGAGCTTCCTGGACATGGAATACTCCCGTCGTTAAGGGTATCCGAAAGGGTGTTAACGCGACCGGCTCTGGAATCGAGAAGGTGACGCGGCCCGTGAGAGAGACTGAGGCCTACAAGAACGTCAAGGAGGCCATTGACGATGGCAGTAGCTCCCGCTATGGTGGTTATATTGAGAAGGAGGAGCGCCGCAAGCTGAGGAAGCAGCGTGAAGAGTTGGAATTGAAGTCTGGTAAGCGGGTCGAACCCATGGTTGAAGATCCAAAGTAAGTCGTTCTCCCCAGATGGCATCGGTCGTTCTGTTGCTAACCTTGCGCTCCCTCCTAGTGCCGGTACCAACGTCACACTTCATAAGGACTCTGCCTGGAAGGAGTCATGGCGCGACTTCAAGGACTCCAACCCTATGATGCAGAAGCTATTTGCTTTCAAGGAAACCTATAACGAGTCTGAGAATCCGTTGATCAGCACCGCCCGCAGCATTTCCGACCGTGTAGCTGGATTCTTTGCCGAAAATGAAACTGCCCAAGTCATTAAGAAGTTCCGTGAAATGGATCCCAACTTCCAGATGGAGGAATTCTTGCGGGAGATGCGTGAATATATCCTTCCTGAGGTTTTGGACGCGTACGTGAAGGGAGACGTTGAGACCCTCAAGCTTTGGCTCTCCGACGCTCAGTTCAGCGTCTACGCTGCCCTCGCCAAGCAGTACACAACTGCCGGCCTCAAATCCGATGGTCGTATTCTCGATGTCCGTGGCGTTGAAGTCATGAACGCCCGTATGTTGGACCCTGGTGATATTCCTGTGTTCGTGGTGACTTGCCGTTCGCAAGAAGTACATGTGTACAAGAACGTGAAGACCGGCGAGCTTGCCGCTGGTATGGAGGATAAGGTCCAGCTGGTCACTTACGCCATTGGTCTCACAAGGATACCTGAAGATGTTAACAATCCGGAGACCCGCGGTTGGAGACTGATCGAGTTGCAGAAGGCTGCTCGTGACTACATCTAAACGGCCCCGAACAGATTCCTCCCTTCAGCGTATCCATTCTTCCTCATTCGACGATCATATTATAACCGACCAATCATGTCTTGATTATCGGCGATTTTTGATGAATTACCTCCCCAATATTTCTCTTCTCCATTGTTTTGATATCATCCGACTGTACAATATGAACTTTCCAAAACTCATAGAGCCAGGTGGAACCAGTGCTTCATGTTATGTGTGATAGTAGCCATTGCTAATTTTTCTGGATGTTCTTGTTTTCTTCCATTTCTCTCTTTATATCCATTTCCCCGACTGCTGCCTCTGTGGTTTCGACTTCGGTACACACGACTGGATGGCGATATCTGAGCGCACGGTAACTGTTTCATTTCCATACATAAGTTGGTTTAATGGTCTGCCTGGCGTATTCGGCGTTTCTGCTATTGACTACAAGATCAACGCTCCACTCTCCTCATCACTTGCATCTGGATATGTCCAGCTTGTTTGCCAATATATATTTTAGTCCTATAGCAACGAGAAGTCTTAACTTTTTTTTTTAAAAATTTTTCCCCTACCCTACTCAAGAGACTCATTCACTATAAAAAAATCTACCCATGTAAAATCGCCTGGAATTTCAAAGGGAACTGAATGTGGTTACCGCTTTGGCGTAATCGTGGGCGTAACTATATATTTATGATTATTCCGTAACATAAGAACCAAGTTTTCCAAGATATACATAGGCAAGGTTAAGTAAAAATATATAATATGAATTATTCCCTTGAAGCAAACGAGATACCCGGACTTTAATAAACATCAAAGCAGTTGCTTATTTATTGACCACGTCCGGCACCGCCGGCACCACCACCGCCCATCAGATTCCGAGCCCTGCACAAGTTAATTAGCTTCAAAGCCGCATTATTATTTCCACAGGTGTAGGACTTACATGTCAGCGATGCTAGGGTCACTCATCAGGCTCGACATATCTGGCATTCCACCACCATTGCCGAAGTTTTCTGCCATCTGCCTCAACTGAGGGTTGCTCATGAGGTTGTTGAGCATGTCCGGGTTGCTCATCAGGTTCTGGGCCATGCTGGAGAACATAGGGTTACTCATGAGGGAGCCAAGGTCGGGCATGCCGCCACCACGACCGCCGCCACCGCCCATCAAGCCGGCGAGGGAAGAGAGATCTGGCATACCGCCAGCGCCACGGCTTGCTCCGGCGGCATCGTCAACAGCATCAGCAGGAGGTTCGGCACCGCGAGTAGATTCTGCAATCTTTCTCTTGGAGGTCTCCAAGCCTCTCTTCATGGCCTCGCTGCCGCCATTGCCTTCAGCTTCGATACCCTTCTCATAGGCCTCCTTGGCGCCGTGGAAATCAGCCAGGTCAAAGCGAGCAAGACCCAGACGGCTCCATGCCTTAGAATACTTGGGGTCGACGGCTGTGGCGAGCTCGGCATCCTCGGCTGCCTTCTCGTGTTGACCGGAGGCGGAATAGGCAGCAGCACGGTTGGAGAGGTAGATAGGGTTGGAGGGGGCAATCGCCAAAGCCTTCGTGTAGAGATCGATAGCGGAGTTGTAGTCCTTGCGCGCCATGGCAGCGTTACCCTCCGACTTAAGCTTATCAGACTCAGCGGTAGGGGCACCGGTCTGGGGCTTCTGGCTCGAGCTGGCCTGCGCACCGGCACCAGCAGAGTCACCCTTATTGCGGAGCTTCTCGTAGACACTGTAGATGCTTGCAAGAGACTGACCGCCGACAGCTTCCTTCACAGCAGCCTCATCGGAAGGGTCAACCTTGAAGGTATCCGCTATGCACGACTGAGCGATCTCGATCGATTCTGCGTCATCAGCAGTAAGGGTTCCATCCTTCAAGCTGGAGCCCAGAAAGTCGATGATTGCGAGCGCCAAGCGCTTCTTGGACTCGGTAGGAGCCTAGAGATGGAGCAAATTAGCACGGACATCAGAACAAAAGATGCGCAACAGAGGACTCATGCCATGATATGAAAATTAGCCGGGATATCGCGGTAAAAGGGCTTCGCTTGTCAAGAGAAAGATCACCGTCGCGGGGGATTTTGGATGCGGGGACTCAAGCAGTAACTGTACTGTTTGGCACGTTTGCCTGCAAGCTCCCGTGCACGTGATAGCCGTTGCTGCCGTCACCCTCAACGTTCGATATACACTTGCGTTTCTGTATGTCGCAGTCGGAAATAGTATTAGATGATTATGGTCGGTTATCCTCGGATTGACTCTGTCCCGAGTCCGACAGAATAACTCTTCTACGTCCGACGAAGATGACTCAATGTCAGCTCGCTCTTCACGACTTTCTCACCTGTGACGAGCCATGTACTGGCCCAATGGAGTACCTCGGGTCTATGCGGTCAACGGCCCTGCGATTCCCTTCGTGCCGTCCGACGATACTGAAGAATTAGATTTGGAGCGCTCTGTGGAACAGAGGCTATCGCTAAATGACAATGGACCCAAGGAACCGTCCAGGGAGGAGGTGGCCTGGGCTGACGAGGCCATTGACGGCCTCTGCGTCTCTCGGAGTGGTCATATGTTTGCGACTATGACGGCTACTTCTATAGCTGTGTGGCAGACAAAAGTATGTCTCGGTTGAGTTATATCTACTTCGACGTGTACATGTGTTGACTGGTCCCTAGCCGACCGCTGTTGTCGCCGCTGTCGCCCGATCCGCCTCGTCACTTAGCACTTATGGTCCGAATGTAGCTTTGCTGATGCACCCCGACTCGACGATAATTGTTGTTCAGACGCTAAACGGATACCTTCTCACGTATACAGTTGCTACCGATCCACATGGTCATGTCTATCAGCAGCATTTCGACCACTCCGCCCAAACCCGCCGGCAGCAGCTTGCCCGCGAGGAAGATGCGAATGGCGTCCGGGATGCCAGTATTCGCTTTAGGATGGCTATTAAGATAGAATCTGGAATTGTGAAAGCTCTGGCACTGGACAACGAGCTTGTGGTTGCTACCGTGAAACCTGCGGCAATTCAATGCATTCGATGGACGCCGGATGCGCACGGCGCTCAGACAACCTCGGAATTGCTAAGCCGCATATTGGGCGTGTCTAAGCGGACTTCTATTACCGAGATGGTGTACGATCGTGCTATCAACCTCTTAGTGTGGGTTACAAATGAAGGACAGGCGTACGCAGTTCAACGCGTACCTGAGGGCTCGCGTGATCCGGAGAACCCAAAGAAGCTCTTCAACGGCCACTGTTTCCACAGTCCGAAGAACGACGGCGAGAAAGCGCTCAGGGTTGCCGTCAATGCTCGGTTCTCACTGCTTACTGTCAACTGCGCCAACGGTGACATCTTCGTGTATACCGCTAAAGACTACCTTGGAAATGTCCCACTATCTCATAAGCTGCAACTCCCAGCATCGCCTCACACAACAGGCAATTTAAGCTTCATGTCCTATTCACCGGACGGCTACTGTCTCTTCGCAGGCTACGAATGTGGTTGGACAACATGGAGCGTGTTTGGCAAGCCGGGAGGGAATAGTTTTTCGACGGACAGGTCTCTTGCCGAGACCAATGCCGAGGATTGGCTAACAGGGGTCTCATACGGATGCTGGATAGGTGGAGGCTCAGATATTATCTTGACCGCACAGAATGATCGTCGCCTATGGATCTTGGAGACGGCACGGAGCGCTTTGACGGGCTGCTTTTCATCCGCGAATCTGGCTAGAGGCTTACTACAGACTGGAACCGAGATCATTCTGTATCGAGGGCACGACTTACCCGACCTTATGACTATATCAGGCAAGGACTCACTCTGGCATCATGCGCAATACCCCCCGACCTACCTCCAATCGCAGTGGCCAATTCGTTCCAGTGTGGTCTCCCAAGATGGGAGATATGTAGCAATCGCAGGCAGACGAGGCTTAGCACACTACAGTGTCAATAGCGGACGCTGGAAAGTCTTTGAGGACTCTAAAATAGAGAATTCGTTCGCAGTCCGGGGTGGTATGTGCTGGTACGGACATATCTTGATAGCCGCCATTGAAAGTGATGGGTCATATGAGGTGCGTGCCATATCTTTTCAAGAATGTGTTGGGGAAACTAACTGATATAGCTGCGTTTATACTCCCGAGAGCTGCCCCTGAACAATCAATCAATCTTGCACATTGAATATCTCCCTTCCCCCGTGGTCTTCATCGGCCCGTCGGGTGAGGACTCCATTCTCGTTTACACCTATGATAACATCCTATATCATTTCATCATTAATTCCATGCACGCTCGAATCACACTTGTTCCAGTCGGCCAAATTGCGTTTAACGGCATTGTGCGAGCGCCCACGCGAGTCCGGGCGATCAGTTGGGTCTTGCCGGAAGATCAAATGCGTAAGTGTCTATTTCATGTTGGCATGTGGCGGGTCTGACAGCAGCAGGTGATGGCGACCCATCTCAAGATGTGAAAGTAGCATCTGTTCTTCTTTTGGTCGATGGCAATTTGGTTTTGCTACAGCCGTCCCAATCGCCCACCGGGGACTTGAAGTATGACATGCGGGTGATATCGCATGATGTTGAGTACTACATTCTGATGCGTGACCAATTGTCATTCAACTTCGCTCCGCCGTTGGATGAATCGCGTCCAGCCAGCCCGTCCGCCGAGATGGTTTTGAATATGCATCATCATAACCTATCATTGAGAGACTCCCTCTGGACCTTTTGTGGCAAAGACCTCCTTGCCTGGGGGGATGTGCAAGATGTCCTGGGACGAGAAGATGTGCCGAAAGCGATTGAGATACCCCTAGATTTTTATCCTCTATCTGTTTTGTTGAACAAGGGCATTGCGTTGGGAGTTGAGTCAGAAATGACCCAACGACGCGATACCACATTTGCCGTGTTGAAGTTTGCCATTCGAGTAAGTCAAACCAGCCTTTGCAATGGCCCCTTGACTAACGATAAAGACACACCTCTTCCTTCCATACTTCTTGCAACACTGCTTAGTTCATGGAGATATGCCAGCTGCGCTGTCACTATGTCAACATTTCTCCCATCTTTCATACTTCCCGCATGCCCTTGAAATCCTCCTTCACCACGTTTTGGACGATGAAGTCGACAATGCAAGTCGAGATAGCAAAGTAGAGGACCCTTCGCAGAAGCATGATCCTCTACTTCCGTCGGTCATCTCCTTCCTTCAAGCCTCGCTTCCGGCGCGGGTGTATTTGGACATTGTTGTTCAATGCACGCGGAAGACCGAACTCCGCTCATGGCGCACTCTCTTCGCCTATCTCCCACCCCCAAGAGACCTGTTTGAGCAGGCTCTCAGGCTCGACTCTCTTAAGACAGCCGTCGGCTACCTTCTAGTGCTGCAGGCGTTTGAAGACGACGATGGCTACGAGGCACCCATTGAAGACTACGTCGTTCGACTGCTCGTGCTGGCCTCACAAAAGGGCGACTGGGAGCTCTGCGCCGAGCTGGCGCGGTTCCTCATTGCACTCGACGGGTCTGGCGAGATGCTCCGACGGGCTATTGACCGGACGGGCCTCCGAAACGGGGGCCTCCCAGGCGCCGGCTTAAATGGATCCGGAACGAGTGTCAAGGGCCTCGGCCTCGCCATCACACCATCCTGGTCGTCATTATCCGGCGCATCATCCATCTCGCCCCGCCAAAGCATTTCTCGCCAGGGAAGCAACCCGTCCCGGACGCCCGACAGAATGGACAGCGTCGACGAAGTTTCCTAACCCATCTGTACATAACATGCCATCCACAACCATACATAGCCAACCATAGCCATCCATAGCATAAGTGAATTGAATCGATTAAATGCAATTGCCATTGATAACCTTACAATAAATACATATATCTATGACGATCATCACTTCATTCCATGCATAGGTATCAATCACTCCCATACCATACCCAAACAACACCTCTCCCCAACCCAACCCAACAAAAACATGCAAAAAGAAAAGAAAGGAGATTAATCAAGACTCATCCTCCACAACCCATCCCCCAGATAATGTCCATCCTCCATAACAACCCCCTTCCCCTTACTCTTCATCTCCTCGGTGCCCACCTTCAACGTGCCCACAAGACACGCCGTCTCCTTCCCCTCCGCCAGCACAGCCACTACCTGGCCCGCCTCCAACGCATCCTCCTTCTCCGGTAGCCGGCCCCCGGGACTCGTCAGCCCGGGCGCCATCAGCGCCGCCCCGGACAGCACGAACCGGATCGCGCCGCGGTCGATCTGCACCGTCGGCAGCGCGGTCGGGTACTGGTGCAGCAGCTTCAGGTGCGGGATCGGGGGGCCGTCTTGCGGTTGGTAGAAGAGGGGTGTGGAGTCGATGGTGTAGAGGGTGCATTTTTCGGGGCTGTTTTTGGTCACTTGGTTAGTTTGGGTTTTGGCTTTTGGTTTGGTGTGTGGTTGTGGTTGTGTGAAGTGGGGGAGTGGTGGTGTGAGGGGTTGGTTTTATCTATCTATCTATCTATTCCATGTAGATAGATGTGATATGGCAATGACATGTGATTGATATCTCTTTTTGTATCGAGGGCGTCATAAGGTATGGACCACGGAAGATAGGAATAAAAGGCAGTAGGAAAAGGAGCGGTACAGTTTCACAGCATCGAGCTGAGCTTTCTTCGGCAGGATGTCATCAATGTAAGGTTCGAAGCCCGGGTATGCTTCGACGAAGCGCTGGCGGAGGCCGCGCTGCACGCTGGATTTCACTTTTGAGCGGTTGCTCGTTGGGATCCTATAATGTTTAAACATTTATTCGTTAGTAGGTGTTTCTCTTTAAGGTAATGTGTTTGTGGTTTCTGGGACGGGTTTGTTTTTTCTGAAGCTGTGAGTGAGGTCATGGGCGGCGGAGGTTTTGGGACTTGGTTGTTTGCTTGCGCTGGGTCTGGGTTTTGGGGGGGGGGGTTCGGGATGGGGGAATTGATATGTTGTAATCTTGAAGGTGGGATTAATAGTTTCATGTGTTTTGACGTACTCTTTCTTGAACATTTTGCCTGGTTTCTGGTGTTGATGTTGGTTCTGGCGATGAGGTCAAACTGCGCGCTTGGCGGGGAGAGGTTGACGCGGGGAAGGGCTACCGGTGTCACGTGTTTGCTTCAGCTCTTTGCGGATTTTTTCAGTTACATGATAAAGTACATAGTTTATTTTACGGAGAAAGATGGTTTGTGGTATAAATTGTTATTTTTCATTCATATCATCTACAATTTAAGGTATCTGACTTAGCCACGGGCGGCACCGGCCTTGATCAGGAGAACATCACCGTCCTCAACGACGTAGTCCTTACCCTTGGTCATGACCTTACCAGCGGCCTTGACGGCGGCTTCATCGCCGTACTCACGCAGAGTGGCATAGTTGTAAACAATGACCTGGATGAAAGTCTTCTCAAAGTCGGAGTGAATGACACCGGCAGCAGCAGGAGCCTTGATACCCTTGCGGATAGTCCACTGGCGGACTTCGTCGGCACCAGTGGTGAAGAAACTAGCCAGGTTCAAGGATGTACGCATGGTGGTGATCACTCTGGGCAGAGCGGACTTAGTGCCCAACTTCTTGCACTCCTCAAGGGCCTCCTCCTCAGTCTCAAACTGGGTGAGGCGCTCCTCGAAACAGGCGGAGAAGGGGAGCAGAGGGTCACCAGGAGAGTTCTTCTGGATCCATTCAACGACCTTAGGAAGGTACTTGTTCTTCTGACGAATGTAGTCTTTCTCGCTCAGGTTGACAAGGTAGACAACAGGCTTAGCAGTGAGGAGCTGGAGGGGGTTGATAACCTCAACCTAGAAGCTGTTAGTGTCAAGCATACAACAAGGCATTGAGTGTGACAATAACAGAAGACAAAGGAATATCAGATAGGACGTAATCTCATGTGACCTCGCGTTGGTATAAGAGGAGGCCTTTCGACGAGCTGGGTTATATTCGAGCAAAGCTCTTATTCATCATATGAAAGGTGTGCCAAGGGGTGTAAGAAAGAAAGAAGACATCACGTACCTCCTTAGGACTCCAGTCGCCCTTGCGGATATCGTTGCCGGCCTTCAGGTGCTCGAGGACCTTGGCAACGGTGGCCTCCTCCTCGCGCAGCTTCTTCATCTCCAGAGACTGTCCGCCGCGCCTGGTCTGCTTCGTCAAGCCCTCCAGAGCCTTCTCAACGAACTCAATATCCTTGACACGGAGCTCCTCGCTAATGATGGTCAAATCACGAGCGGGGTCGACATCACCCTCAACGTGGATAATCTCGGCATCATCGAAGCAACGCACGACCTGGAAGATGGCATCGACCGCACGGATGTGAGACAAGAAAGCGTTACCGAGACCAGCACCGGTAGAGGCACCACGAGTCAGACCGGCGATATCGTACACCGTCAAGTTGGCAGGAACCTGCGACTTGGGCTTGTAGTGCTCGCACAACCAGTCGAAACGGTCATCGGGGACGATGACACGCGCCTCTTCGGGGTCAATGGTGGCATAGGGAAAGTTGGCCGGGTTACCCAAGTTGGACTTGGTAATGGCTTGGAAGAGCGTCGATTTACCGACGTTGGCCAGACCAACCTATGGCAAGTTAATGTTGAACATTTTGTTTTCCTTGACAGGACTACATTGTGTGTTGATGTGAAGGAGGAAGAGAAGAAAAAAAATTTCAGGGGGAGGATAGTGTGCTTAAATAGGGTTAGGGAAAAATAGGATGGCTGGGAAGTGGGCGTAAAAAAAAAAAAAAAAAAAAATAGCCGGTGGGGTCAATGCTCACATACGATACCGCTCTTCAGGTTATTTCCTGGACGGCCCAAAAGGACCTTCTCTTGCACAACAGCTTTCTTGGGAGGCATCTTGTTGGATTTCTTCTTCTTGCTGGAGTAGCTCCGGTAGGAGAAGAAAGAGAAAGTGGACGGAGGGGTGACGCGGGGACGGCAACAGTAGGATTGGAGGCGCGAGGCCAAAGCAGGACCAGCTGCGGTTCGTTCTAATCGAAGAGGGAGAGAAAGCAAAAGAAAAACGGAGGGGGATTGGGTGGACGACGTTTTGGCGGTGCCCACAGCTTCCTGGTGGGCGAATTGAACGGGAAAGAAGAAAAATTTAAGGAAGAGGAGGGGTCAATGAGGGGTAGCAATTGTCTGTTACTGGTACACCTCAGCGTAATATGGAACTTTTTTTTTTCTTTTTCTCTCTTGGTCGAGTGTGAAAGGCAAAATCAAAAAAATCAACGTGTTCTCCGAATGCTGAGTTCTCTGCCTATGACGCGCTCTGCTCCCTCGCCTAAACACTCTGCCTTCTCGTTTCCGGCCCGTCGCCTTCACCGCCCACGTGAGTCGGTAGCCCTCTTCTCGGATTGCATGATATATTACGTCATACCCACAGACTCAGCCTTCGCGAGACAACCTCGATGTACGGAGTAGTACTATATGTAAAACAAAGAACAAAGCTGATCTGGTGAGCTCCAGTTGGTGTTATCAAGCAGCCACCATCTACTACTCATTCGGACCTTACACAAGCTTTAATGTAAGCTACCTAAGCACTACAAAGAACCGATTCACAATATCATTCATTATATATATTTCTCATTATGTGCTTGATTACACTCCACCCTCAAATGAAAGAGTCGGCAGGAGAAAATATATATATATATAAATAAATAAATCAAAAAGAAAAAGAAAAAATTAAAATTAAAATAATATAAATTAAATTTAACAGCATAAACTGCAATAATGATCGTGTTAGAGCTTGTATGGTTTGGTTTCACGAGTATTAACTCCATTGATATTCTCCTGCACTGGGTATATTCATTAAACATTTCCATCACAATAACGCCGTGAGAGATGGGTGGTGGTATGGGCAGCAGTTCGTAATGGTGTCTGATCGAGTCAGGCTGACAACATAGCATAGCTACATTGTGGCCTTCACCGCAGCTTCCGCAATGGAGCGGTATTCAGCGCACTGTTTCACAAGGCGCCGTATCCCCTCAAAGGCTTTGCAGAAAGCTTGAGAGGCCAGATAGTCCTCCATCCGGTTGATTAGTTTCAAATTATATCCTCGATAAGCATCTTGAGGGTTACGTATTATGCTCCATGAAAGCGCTATTGATGCAACCACTGGGTAATAGACCAAAGACCTGCAGGAAACGTTAGCAGCTTTCAGAGCGAAGTGCCCAGTGACACTGACCCGAAAAAAGGTATATTCTCCTGCGACAAATAGTTTGTAAGATTGATAGATGCTCTGGCGGCCTTTGAGCAGAGTGACGTAGACAACAATACCCGAGGATTGGATAACGAGGCGGGCGAGCTCGTAAAGTCATTCTTCTCCAGAAGATCCGTCCCGATGCTTAGTCCCCCGGCGGCAACACGACGGTGAACTGCAATCATGCAGTGAAAGTACGAATAATGAAGCAGCAGTAATACTGGCGACATTGTTGACCGGGGGCGATCGGGTCCGCCATTATCCGGCTGATACTCAGGTGGAATGCTTCGTTTCCACTCCTGGAGCTTCTCGTCTAGCACCCCGACCGAAGCGATGATCTGGCTCAGGGGCCTATCCTCCGCAGCGGGGGAGTAAAGATCCTTATAAAGCTGCCCCTTGATCATGGCAAGCTGGCAACATGACCGGAACGCATTGAAACTTCCAGAGAGATCGCTGGTTGGTATAGTATATTTGCTGTCAGTTGGTGCTTCCATGGGTAAGCTCGCACTGAAGTCTTCATCGCTTTGCGCTGGCGGTTCACAGAACCTAAGGGATAACCTGCTTAGAATTAGTCCAGACCTTATGGAGTAGAATGTCAGTCATAATAGCCATACTCTCGATCCAAGCAGTAAGCGATCCAAAATACTGTCCGCCTGTGCTGGATCTCTTGCATACACAAAGGAGAGCCATCTTCTGTCTTGCCCAGGCCAAGTTCGTGACACATGCGAATAGCAGCGGAGAGCAAAAAACCACAAGGATGTTCAGCCGACGTTCCTATCAAAAAAGTAACCTATACGAAAAGTTAGCTCGGGCCATGCACCTAAACATATGTGAGTGTCGAGTCATACCAACAGTAGAAGCGCTTGGAGGCCCAGCAGGTTTGGGGGGCCAAGACAGAGCTCATTCACAACTTCTAATGCGTTTTGGATGAACAGCCAGCTTTTCTGATGATGATCTGGCCCAGACCCTTCGTCTCGAGGGCGGATCATACATGCCGTTGCTAGTACTGCATTGATACAGGCCCATTGACTCGGTGTTTGAACTCTCATGTCCAAGCTTTTCTGATTGAAGAGGGATAGCAGCTCAGACCGCTGGAAAATTGGGAACAGCATATTGAAATCCTCGATAAATTCTTGTACAAGAGAGACAGTCTCCTCTTTTGTTGGCAGTGAGCAAAACACTCGGCACGGAAATGGGCCGCCGAGAGGACTATTGCCTGGATTTTCATCAAGATCGTTCGCCGACAGGTATGAAGAGAGATTCCCTAACGATACATTTCCAGCTTTCTGAGATATCCACTCTATCCCTTTTTGAGAGAGAGCCGAGAAGCCTAGAATCGTATTAGCTCACATAGATCTTACTAGTAGATAAGATCATTAAGTATACGGAATCTGACCTCTCGAAAGTGGGGCGTCGACCAACGACCGCGGAATCGAAAAAGATGCAAGACACGGCGGCCAATTCTCTACTTGTTGGTATGAGAATACTATGCCTGGAATAGCATCAGCACTGCTAGTAGTGCTCACGCGGTTTGGCTCCGGGCCAGCGCAAAAGTTTGCAAAATCCGGGTCACTTGCGGTATTCTTATCGGAGTGTTCTAACACAGGAGCATTTGAGCAAAGAAATTCTTGAGAAGTACTTGTGCTGCTCTCGCTCAGTCTAAGCCCCATTTCATGTAATCGAGATTCCATCCGTTCGATGTTCGTTTCCAGTCGGTTGATCATCACACGTCTTCACTTAGCATGTAAGACTTTTGCCCTGTAAATACGAAATATTGATACTTCAGTTCTACAGTACCTTCTCATATCTGCTCTATATCTCTCCTCATTGCGCGTACCAGCAGCTCGTCGTTCTCGGCATATAGAGCATCTGAGCATTGCGCCGAGGTCGCCACGCTGCTTCTTGCGACGGCATGCATTGCAAACCTGGGGGGTCATCAGTAACGTGTTGTGGTTGGATGAACCGGACCGCGCACTTTGTATCTTGGAGGCTCCTGTTTCGCAACCCCTATATCTGCCTGTGCATGTGTCTTGCTCATGGGATCATGAGGTATATGTCGATGAGAATCCACTTGCTGGCTGCTGCGACTCATCATTCTATGATGGGGAAGTTGACAGGTGCTATGTGATGATGTTAAGAAAACGTGAAATAGATGGGATGGAGAAAGACTCCAAGGACTTGTCGTGGGGCATCATGATCTGGGACTTTGGTCTGGAACGGAGTAACCACTGTCGATCTTGAGCCACAGGGCAGGCCTTATTCGGGAAATCCTCCAGCCGAATAATGTTGCAGGAGCCTATGGCTGGGTCGTTGCTGAGACTAAATCCTTTTCGTGTCTTGGCATCCCCGGATGACGGATGTTCGTTTTGTACTGTAAGTTACACGGTATTGATACAGATCAAGCCTCAGACGTGGCTCGGCCACTGACTCCCCGTTCACCTCCGAAGACATGGGATCGGTTGTTTGATATCTATCCCTTAATCAACTCCAGGCTGCGGCCAGGTGGAGCCCCCACGTTTTCGATCCCTAGAGGCAATATATATACCGTCAGCGTGCCCCGTCCGGTAATGTGGTTGGCTCGGAAATCGGGAGTCAAAACCATAAAACTCTTCTAGATCACATAATTGCTAGCGCTGGAGGGTAGGGCTCGACACATCAGGACAGCCATTTTCCGATAAGGCATTGCTCGGACCCCGGACGTTCACTGTGCAGCGGAGTGTTCATCCGCATCATTTATCATTATTTTTGCCCCTTGGATGTGGACCCTTCTCGCCGGTTGCCTGCGCGTAGACGATTAGAATGGAGTCCTATATAATCATCTACTTGTCCCTGTGGCAGTTGTATCCTTAGCTAGACGACCTAATTTAAGTCTTTTCAAGCAAGGCCTCTAGTTTTTATATTGAGTTGATTAACGTAAAGCTTTGGTCCCCACTTGTCGCACTTTTCGTGCTTCATCGGTGACGCCAAGGTAACATTACCAGCTGATCTTCGGTCTGCATCGTCAATGGGAGGAGCAGCCTGAAGGTGGAGGCTAGTCAATTCAAAATGTCCTTCTTAGGGGCAGTCAATCCAAACGTTCCCCAGCAGCAGTCTGTGGTTAGTCATAACAACCCTCAGCGGAGCCATGGCGATACAGATGACGATGCTCCATCAACTTCAGCCACTCAGTACGGCGATCAAGACAAAAGCGAGGATGCCTTGACACTGCAGGAGGATAACGAAGAAAAGATGGAGGCTCGGGTAGGTGATTTAGCTCGACGACTCACCCGGCAATCGACTCGAATCTCTGCGAAAGGCGCCCTTGAAAACCCGTTCTTTGTGAACGACCCCGAATCAACTGTCAATCCTGATAGTCCAAATTTCAAGCCAAGAGACTGGCTTAAGATGCTGCTTGCCATTCGCTCTAGAGACCCTGAGCAGTATCCAGACCGAACAGCCGGTGTTGCCTTCAAGAATCTAAACGTTCATGGATTCGGATCTCCAACCGACTATCAAAAGGATGTGTTGAACTCGCTCCTAGAGATAGGTACTATTGCCCGCAAGTTGATGGGAATCAAGATGCAAAAGATCCAGATTCTTCGCGAATTCGATGGCCTGGTGAAAAGTGGTGAGATGTTGGTGGTGTTAGGAAGACCGGGAAGTGGATGTTCTACATTTCTCAAGACGATTTCTGGGGAAATGAACGGGATTCAGATGTCAGATGACTCGACACTCAACTATCAGGGTATGCATACACATTTTCCTTCTCCAGCTCTCCAGCTCCCCACACCCACCAACCTACCCTCTTGCTTGTGGATACTAACGCGACGCTTAGGCATACCTGCGAAATTGATGCACCATGCGTTTAAGGGTGAAGCGATTTACTCGGCCGAGACTGATGTTCATTTCCCACAGCTTTCTGTTGGGGATACTCTGAAGTTTGCAGCCCTTGCCCGAGCTCCTAGAAATCGCTTGGAGGGTGTTAGTCGACAACAGTACGCCGAGCACATGAGAGATGTGGTAATGACGATGCTGGGACTATCCCATACGATCAACACCCGTGTCGGCAACGATTATGTCCGAGGAGTCAGCGGTGGAGAGCGAAAGCGTGTCAGTATTGCAGAAGCTACACTGAGCCAGGCACCGCTTCAGTGCTGGGATAACAGTACCAGAGGTCTTGACAGTGCCAATGCTTTGGAATTCTGCAAGAATCTAGCCTTGATGAGCAAATACGCTGGCACTGCTGCCTGCGTGGCTATTTATCAGGCATCGCAAAGCGCATATGACGTCTTTGATAAGGTGACGGTACTCTATGAGGGAAGGCAAATCTACTTTGGCCGAACGACGGAGGCTAAGCAGTTTTTTGTGGATATGGGATTTGAGTGCCCCGATCGGCAGACAACAGCTGATTTCTTAACGTCTCTTACCAGCCCTTCGGAAAGAAAGGTCCGCCCCGGGTTTGAAAACCGCGTGCCTCGCACTCCAGATGAGTTTGCCGCTGCATGGAAACAAAGCGACGCTCGGGCGAAACTGATTCTGGAAATCGATGAGTTCGAGAAACAGTACCCAATTGGTGGCGCCTCCTATCAATCATTTATTGATGCTCGCAAAGCTATGCAGGCAAAGCATCAACGCGTCAAATCCCCTTACACGATCTCGGTATGGCAGCAGATCTCTCTTTGTGTTGTCCGCGGTTTCCAGCGCCTCCGAGGTGATTCCAGTTTAACGGTAACCGCTTTAATTGGCAACTTTATTATAGCTTTAATTGTTGCTTCGGTTTTCTTCAATCTCCAGGATAATTCCGCCAGCTTTTACTCTCGAGGAGCTTTACTGTTCTACGCAGTGCTTCTAAATGCGTTCTCCAGTGCCTTGGAAATTCTGACTCTGTACGCTCAAAGGCCAATTGTGGAAAAGCAAGCTCGCTATGCCTTCTACCATCCGTTTGCAGAGGCTGTTGCGTCTATGCTGTGCGACACACCTTACAAAATTGTTAACTCAATCACTTTCAATCTTCCGTTGTACTTTATGACCAACCTACGGCGCGATGCAGGAGCTTGGTGGACATTCTGGCTCTTTTCAGTGGTCACCACCTACACCATGTCAATGATCTTCCGAACGATTGCAGCGACGTCTCGCTCTCTGTCTCAAGCACTTGTCCCTGCGGCAATCTTGATCCTGGGCATGGTGATCTATACAGGTTTTGTTATTCCTACCAGAAATATGCTCGGCTGGTCCCGTTGGATGAATTACATTAACCCCATATCCTACGCCTTTGAAAGCTTCATGGTAAATGAGTTCCACGGCCGTCACTTCGAATGCTCTCAAATTATCCCATCTAGAGGAGTGTACGACAGTATGCCGATGGAGAATCGCATTTGTTCTACAGTTGGAGCAGAGACTGGCTCTACTATTGTGCAAGGGACAGTCTACCTTGAACAGAGCTTTCAGTATGTCAAAGGGCATTTGTGGAGAAACCTGGGTATTATGATCGGCTTCCTAGTGTTCTTTGCTTTCACGTATCTTGCGTCCACGGAATATATCTCAGAGCAGAAATCGAAAGGTGAAGTGCTCTTATTTCGACGTGGGCATGGACCGAAAACAGCCCTGGATAAGACCGATTTAGAGTCGCCCGAGGCGGGTGGTGCGCCGAAAACCGACGAATCTGCTCCTCAAGCTTCAGCGGGAATCCAAAGACAAACCGCAATCTTCCAATGGAAGGATGTCTGTTACGATATTAAGATTAAGGGGCAACCCAGGAGAATTCTGGACCACGTTGACGGTTGGGTTAAGCCTGGTACCTGTACCGCCTTGATGGGAGTCTCTGGAGCAGGTAAAACAACGTTATTGGATGTGCTCGCTACACGCGTTACCATGGGAGTTATTACTGGCGAGATGCTTGTGGATGGACGCCCTCGCGACCAATCCTTCCAGCGCAAAACAGGATACGTGCAGCAGCAGGATCTTCACTTGTCTACATCTACTGTTCGTGAAGCCCTCAGATTTAGCGCAATATTGCGTCAGCCAGCGCACGTCAGCCACCAGGAGAAACTTGACTACGTTGAGGAAGTTATCAGACTTCTTGGTATGGAGGCTTATGCTGATGCAGTTGTTGGAGTGCCTGGAGAAGGTTTGAATGTCGAACAGCGTAAGCGTTTGACCATTGGAGTTGAACTTGCTGCAAAACCCCAGCTTTTGTTGTTTTTGGATGAACCTACTTCAGGTCTTGACAGTCAAACCTCCTGGTCAATCCTGGATTTGATCGATACTTTGACCCAACACGGCCAGGCAATCCTTTGCACTATTCATCAGCCATCTGCCATGTTGTTTCAGCGTTTTGATCGCCTTCTTTTCTTGGCGAAAGGTGGAAAGACAATCTACTTCGGTGAGATTGGCGAAAACTCTACTACCCTTTCAAACTACTTTGAACGCAATGGTGCACATCGCTTATCTCCTGGAGAGAACCCAGCCGAGTGGATGCTGGATGTGATTGGAGCAGCTCCAGGATCTCATAGTGATATAGACTGGCCGAAGGTGTGGCGCGAAAGCCCCGAGCATGCGAAGGTTAAGGAACATCTTGCCGAGTTGAAGTCAACCCTATCTGTGAAGCCAGAGGATAACTCCGACCCAGAGGCCTTTAGGGAATATGCGGCACCATTCCATATTCAGTTATGGGAATGTCTGATCCGTGTCTTTGCCCAATATTACCGCACACCAAGCTATATCTGGTCTAAAACTGCCCTTTCTATCCTGACGTCCATTTATATCGGATTCTCATTTTTCCATGCCAAGAATTCAATTCAAGGGATGCAGAATCAGATGTTCAGCGTATTTATGTTGATGACAATCTTCGGAAATTTAGTGCAACAGATTATGCCTCATTTCGTCACACAACGGTCGCTGTATGAAGTTCGTGAACGTCCATCGAAAACATATTCCTGGCAAGCCTTTATGACAGCTAATATCCTTGTTGAATTGCCTTGGAATACTCTAATGGCAGCGCTGATGTTCTTCTGCTGGTACTACCCGATCGGGCTATATAATAACGCGAAGCCTACCGACGCAGTGACTGAACGTGGAGGTCTTATGTTTCTACTTATCTGGGTATTCCTACTCTTCACTTCTACCTTTGCCCATATGGTTATCGCAGGTATAGAGCTGGCTGAGACGGGTGGTAATATTGCTACTTTGCTCTTCTCCCTCTGCCTTATTTTCTGCGGTGTCCTTGCAACCCCAGACAATATGCCTGGATTCTGGATCTTCATGTATCGTGTATCACCATTCACCTATTTGGTCTCTGCGATGTTGTCTACTGGTCTGTCTGGAACCGATGTTCAGTGCGAGGCTGTTGAGCTTCTCCACTTTGACCCCCCAGCAAATCAAACCTGCCAGCAATATATGGCAGCATATATCCAGGAGGCCCAGGGATATCTGCAGGACCCGGAAGCCACAGCTGACTGTGCCTTCTGTACGATCAGCAAAACCGATACGTTCCTTGCTTCGATAATGAGCAAGTATGACGAAGCCTGGCGGAATTTCGGTCTGATGTGGGTGTACATCGTGTTTAATATTGGCGCGGCAGTTTTCATTTACTGGCTGGCCCGAGTCCCGAAGGGAAAGAGGGCATCTGGTGCTACATAGCCTAGGTGACCTGCATCTCTTCCGCCCACCACATTCAAAACTGACATATATTTTGTGAATATTGCTCAGCCCATCCTTGTTGCACCCTTCAATCCTCTATATTCAAAACTCACATAATCATACTTCCCCATCTTTCATTGTGTTTTTTTTTTTTTTTTTTTTTTTTCTTTTTTTTTTTTTTTTTTTTTTTTTTTTTTTTTTCCCTATTTGTTTATATACTTCTCTTCATCTTGATTCTATCACTCACATTTTGGGATGGAACAACACCGGGCTTTCCTTCGGCCTAGCTACTATCATTCTTTGTTTTTTTAATACCGTGACTTCATTAGAACCATTATGTAGACAGTGTCCATTTATCTTCATTAGCTATACTTTATCCGCTAGACTACCTGTTTAATGTGTACTATCTACCTCCTTGAACAACTTTCCTGTACAAAACTGCCTCCAAAAAAGAGCAGGAATACAGCGAGTTTGAGATACTCAATAGCACTCCCGAAATGTTGCCCGCAGTCTTACCAGAAGAATATCCTGTATTATGTGTACCTGTTTGACCCTCACCGAGTTACCAAAACAGCGATAATCTTGCCATGGATTCATCATGGGCCATGTTATATATTACTTTTAAAGGTCATATATACCTAGATGACAAACAGTTATCCTGTATTGCACCGACCCATGAAAAACAGTGTTTGCGACATATTGGGATAATCGGAATATCTGATCTATTGCAGGTGATTAAGGTTTTCTCGTTTACGGTTAAAGTAACCCGATGGGGAACTATACAATCTTATCTACTAGGCAGGATGCAATTTGTACCATGGTTAATACTTAACTATTGGATCACAAGTATACAGGCCCCTCTAATACGCTGCCATAACTATCGAGGAACTTGGATGCTGAAGATGGGGATATAGTAGCACTGGCTGGAAACTTCACCCAACATCCTACCAAATGCGTCTACTAAGCGCTCTCGATGGAAGTCTCAGGCTAATATTAGGAAGCGTGCCCAAACGTAAGTCATATAGATACTGGATTATCTAGACATGTAATTCCCAAGTGGTAGTCAGGGTGTGAGTATGTTCTTTGATTCGTGTCCAGGAAAAACTACTACGAAGCCGTTCATGACCAATGGGCGCTAGTAGCATCAAATCTCACTAGGCAGCTCAACGGGCTAGTCAACACTCGGAAGGTGTGATTTGCGGCCCGCTAACCGCCGAGTGAGCTGTCTTGATTTAGTCACATAGGCCATTGGATAGATCCCCGGCACAAACTCCGTACTTCGAGCATCACTCTGCTCACCTCTTCCGTTTTCTAGGCCCGTTGTTCGATTCGTCCAGACTATTACGTACTTTAGCTATCGGTATAGCACTGTGATGTTGACTACTGTGATGTTGACTACTGTGATGTTGCCAGGTAACTAGGACAGTGCGCTGGAAACACCGAAAAAAGAAATGCAAGCTTGTTGCAAGGCTGTGCACTAAGCGACGCACTAGATGTTCTGTTTTCGGTTAAGCCTATCTTTATAGATGCGTAATTAGTCGCCAGCCTTGCAAGCGCTTACAGCACGGCCTTGCTGCATTTAAAATGGCCACTGTGTTGGCACCTCGATCATCCTTCGATCGTGTAAGTTTCTCTTTATACAGTTTTCTCGGGCAACGCCACTGGGCACAATGGGACTCAATATCAAACAACTTTTCAGAAGAGGCCGGCAAAAGAAATCAGGAAAACATGCTGACCCACAATCAGATACTGATAAATCTAATGTGACTGTGACACTCCCAGAGACAAGTGCGCCGTCTGTTAGCACTAATGCCAACTCTGCGATTGAAGATAGCCAAAATGAACCTCAGCGGAGCTCGCTAGATCTGTGGCAAGCTGCCTTTGCCAAATTGGATCCTGATGATCAACGCAAGCTGGCACTTCTTGACACGCCCAACGAGGACAATCCCCACCCTGAGATGGCGGACGTGGTAAATACTGTTATAGAGACGACCAAAAAGCGGTACGATGAATACCAAAGGAAAGGACTGAAGATTAAAAGGTCAAAGGGAGATAATATCAATGTTCGAGACTCTGCACTCAAAATAGTCAGTGCGACATTATCCTTCCAAGATATTATCGGTGCTGCCGTTGGCTGTGATCCTACGGGGTATGCAGGGAAAATCTGGGGCATTATATCAGTGGGGTTAAACGTATGTTAAGTGGTCATCACAAAAGCAATGTGAGATACAAAATGCGTTAACCATTAACTAGATGATACAAAATCACCAGGACCTACAGGCATCAATTTTCCAAGCCTCAGGGTTCCTTGCGGATGTGCTGAGTCGGTGTGCTTTCATTGAGAGTCATTGCCTATGGAGTAGCACCACCGACCCCGATACAAAGGACAAAGTATGCAATGCCATCGTTCGCGTTTATTCTGCAATATTACGGTACTCATCCGGCGTTGTTTCAATTCAGCACTCGGGTGTTGGACGGCGGTTTCGCCTTAGCGTTATAGCTTTGGCCGACCAGCCTTTAACCATACTCAAGGCAGCCGTTGGAGAGGAGGAGAAGTACTTGGAAAGATGGGTTCAGTTTGATCAGCAACTGCGTTGGAAACAAAAAGCGGAACAAACACTTGCTCAGATCGACAACGTGTTGAGCGGTATTCAGGATATCAGTCGGGAGATGGAACTCTGCAAATTAACCATTGCTGAAGGAGCAGCATTCGACTCATACATGAACCAGCATGAAGTAGAGTGCCTCCAAGGAACCAGGACTGACCTACTTAAGCAGGTAACAGACTGGTCACTTTCAACTCAAGGGGAATGCATCTTTTGGCTTAACGGGATGGCAGGAACAGGGAAATCAACTGTTTCACGTTCTGTTTGTAGGTTACTGCAAGAAAAGGGGATTTTGGGGGGGAGTTTCTTCTTCAAGAGAGGGAAGTCGGATTGTGGAAGAGCAGAGAAGTTCTTTCCAACTATAGTTCGACAAATCATTATTCAAGAGCCCCGCCTTATACCAAGCATCCGAAGAGCAATCCAGAGAGATCCTTCTATATCGACAAAATCCCTTGGAGAGCAGTTCAACAAGCTGTTACTTGAGCCATTATTAGCGATGAAAGATGATCCTGCAAGAACCTCCCTTCTAGTTATTGTGGTTGACGCACTAGATGAATGTGATCCAGAAAACGATATTGGGCTTCTACTCCGCCTTCTCCCTATGGTTTCAACTCAAAGTTCAGTTAACATCCGCGTGTTTCTCACTAGCCGCCCAGAGATCCCAATCCGCGAGGGATTCGATGACGTTTCGGAAAATGACCATCGGAGAATTGGTCTCCATGAGATTGTGGAATCTTCCATAAAGCATGATATACTTCTATTCATGAATGATAAATTTGAAGAGATGAGGCGGAAATTATCGCTTCCTGAAGGATGGCCTGGAGAGAAGACAATCCAAGACTTGGTCAACATGGCCAGTCCATTATTTATTTCTGCTGCTACTATATGCCGTTTTATTGCAGATAGGAGGTGGAATCCTGAAAAGCGCCTTGCCCTTGTCCTCAGCTCAGGGGGTACTGAGAACACGTCCGCAAGTCATATCTCGAAGTTGGAACACACATACCTGCCCGTATTTCAGCAAATACTCCAAAGCGGGGATGAAGATGAGGATGAAGACGAAAAAGAGGAGCTGATTCAAGAATATCGAGTGATTGTTGGGACGATCATCATTCTTGCGAACCCGCTCGCCCTCACGTCATTGGCAAAACTCCTGAATGTTCCGACTAGCGATGTTGGCCGTCGATTGGATTTCCTTCATTCAGTCCTTAGTATACCTGACGACGAGAATACTCCTATCCAGCTTTTCCACCAGTCATTTCGTGATTTCCTACTTCATCCAAAAATCCGTATGAAGACCGAGTTCTGGATTGATGAGGAGCATATACATAAGGAAACTCTATTCAGGTGCATCGAGGTGATGACCCGACAGAAGGGTGGACTGTCGAAGAATATTTGCCAACTATCGAGTGACGCGGCGTTGCGAAGTGATATAAGTGATGATATTATTCGAGAATATCTTCCAGCTGAGCTCCAGTACTCGTGTCATCACTGGGTTCATCACCTACAGCGGGGAAAATATCAGATCACGGATCATGACAAGATTCATAGATTTGTTCAAAATCATTTTCTTCACTGGGTGGAGGCCATGAGTATTTTAGGACTGGCCCCAGAGATTGTGAGCGGCATCAAAACATTACAGTCAGCAGTAAAAGTAGGTTCTCAGTTCACCTGTATTGCGAACCACCTTCGCCCATGTATACTAACCGGTACAAGCCTCACTCCGGGCGTATAGTGTCGAAATTCTTTCATGACGCCAACCGGTTTATTTTGAAGAATGCCTGGGTTGCTAACAATGCACCTCTTCAGCTCTATGCTGCCGCCCTGGCATTTGCCCCAGAAAAGTCTGTTGTGCGGGATATCTTCCAAAGTGAGATACCTAGGCACTTTGTTAAGCTACCTAGGGTGGAAATGAATTGGAATGCACAACTAATGACCCTCGACATCAAGAATGTGAACGCAGTGGCATTCTCTCCAAACAGTAAACTGATCGCTTCAGCCTCCATGGGTAGCCCGGTGAAGCTGTGGGACTCAGTTACGGGGCTATTACTCCATACCCTAGACCAGGTATTCTATACCAGTGGTCTGGCATTCTCACCAGATGGTACTCATGTTGCGTGTAGCTCTTGGGATGATACAATACAAGACCACACAGTCCAGCTGTGGGATATAGATACAGGCACAATATTCAAGTCCTTCACGCAGCTTACCTCTCCAGTGCTCTCGCTGGCGTTCTCGCCGGATAATCAATTACTCGCTTCAGGGTCCTCCGATGACACAATCGATTTATGCGATCTCGCCAGTGGCGCAGTAATCAGGACAATAGATGGTCATTCTGATAGAATCAACACGTTGGCGATATCACCAGATGGCAAATTGATAGCATCTGGATCAAATGATAGATCAGTGAGACTTTGGGAAATAAGCACAGGAGCTTTATTACAGACATTAGATCACAGCGGTGCTGTTAGATCAGTTGGGTTTTCCTCCAACAATGAGCTTATGGCATCGGTTCCTGGGGATAGAACAATTTGGATATGGGATGCAGCCACGGGTGAACTGCAGCAGACCGTCGACTTTGGTTTTATAGAATCATCAACATTCTCCCCAGAACGCATAATCGAAGCCGCAGGGTTCAACTGCGATCGATTATCAGACAGGGTCCTGTGCACACTATTTCACAAGTTTGATGTGAGTAGCCGTGACTCCTGGAAACTAGCAATCTCTCCGAACAGCGACCTCCTCGTATCGTGCTCGGATGATGGAACCGTGCGACTGTGTGACGCAAGGATGACTACAACAAAATCGACGCTACAAGGCCATTCGCATGAAGTTGCTGCAATGAAGTTATCCCCCGATGGCAAGCTACTGGGCTCAGTCGCCTCTGATCATAAAGTTCTACTGTGGGATGCTACTACAGGCGTCCTGCTCCAGACTCTCAATGGATACTCGGGAAAATCTGGTACATTTTCTTTCTCGCCTGACAGCAAATTGGTGGCATTTCGTCCACAGTCGGACAGTACCTGTACTCAACTATGGAACACGGAAACAGGTCAACTATATCGCACGCTTGAGGACCACCTGAATTCAGTTGATCGCGTAATATTTTCTCCCGACTGTCGACAGTTGGCTTCGATTGAAGAAGGTGGCACAATCACTTTATGGGATATTCAAACTGGAGGACAAATGTACAGCCTGGAGTCGCGTGGAAGTTGGGTGTGCATGGCTTTCTCACCAAATGGAACGAAATTAGCCTCAAGCTCCCATGATGTAGTACGGGTATGGGATGTTAGCACAGGCATCCTAAAACAAGAGCTAAAGGGGCATAGCGGCAAAGTCACTGTGGTTGCCTTTTCGCCTGATGGAAACATCATAGCTTCCGGTTCCAACGATGCCAAAATTCGTTTTTGGGACTTAGAAACAGGCGCATTATCTCAAACACTCGTGGATTCAGGGGCCACTAATCAGGTAGTGTTCTCCGCAGATGGGAGACTTGTGGCATCCGGAACTCTTTCTCAGACATTTCGTCTTTGGGATAGAGAAAAGGGGAAGTCCCTTTATGTTTCTAATCTGGATCGTGCCTCCCATTATCGGAACGGGATAACCAATTTACGCTTTTCAAGCGATAGCACTTACTTAGAAGCGGACTTTGGAACATTTCGTGTCCCTTTTCGTGAAGGGATTAACTCTTTATCTAGCCCACGACAAGATGTGACATTGGGAGACGAGTGGCTGCACATCGGGGGAGAAAGAGTTCTTTGGCTGCCAATTGAGTACAGACCCAAAGCATCGGCGTATTACAACGGTACGTTCGCCATTGGGAGTGAATCTGGCCTCGTATCATTCATCACTGTCGATATGAGTGCAGACGCAAATGGCCACTCTTGATCTATTGAAGAATATTCGGAGTACTTCTCTTTTCGACTATTGTGGACGCTTCAGTCAATTGATAGAAAGCGCAGGAGGCAACACACGACATTGAATATATATACGACAAGCACTCATTGATATGCTGTACAGAGTATGGGCCTATATAGTTCTTTAGACATTTACTACTCAACATACCAGCAAGAAGTCAAACCACGGCGCTATCATGTGCAGCTCGACAGGCACTTTATGGCCATTTCCATGCCCATGCGTATGGATAACATCCAACCCAAGAGAATGTGAATGGGTTTGATCGGGAGTTATTGATTCGCTTTCAAGCTTTCTTTATACAAGGAGTAGATAGGCTATGTATGGTATGAAGTATTCCAAGTCGATCAATCAATTTATGAGTACTAGAATACCTATAATCGCCACTGCCAAAGACCTGCCATAGACGAGACCAATCGACGTATGCATTCCACTCTCTACAGCGAGTAAGCTACTCAAAAACCACATCCCCTTCACAATTATATATCAATACAACGCAGCAACCGCATCCTTAATAACTTCTTCAACCCTACCTGGTTGACTCAAGTGCAGCATATGGCCCGCATTGCACCTCTCAATCCTACTCCCAGTCAGTGGTGTAAAGGTGGAGCGCATAGTAGTCCTTGCGTTGATGGATCACTAAAAGTTTGTATCATAGCTGGTATAGTGTGCATGTGTGGGCTCAGGCTAGTTTCTCATGGCATCACTAGACGCTGCGATTGGGTAGGGATTCAGCGAGCTGACGAGGATATATATAGCCATGTTATCTTTGGTCTTGTTTGTGGGGCATAGCGAGAATCGTCACTTTGTTACTTGCATGGACTTGGGGCTAGCCGAATTAGTGCCGAGCAGTTGTTATAACCCCTAACTTCCGATTTGCTGTTTCGTATACCATGGCAGCGTATATTAATTCGGTAGATACTAGGCTTGTGGAGTGGACTACTAGTTGATAGATTATAAAGACTCTGACTTTGATTATTGATCTACAGCATAGTGTCGGAAAAATACAAGACTATCAACAATAAATTCCCCAAGCTAGTACATACTATAATACCCCAAAGAACGGCACAAGAGCTACAACGAGAAGACAAGTATACAACAGAGCGAGGTCACTATTGCAACCAATACAGTTCACAGAAACCTGCAGATCCCACCAAGACATATACTTAGATAGCCACGACGCTGACCCAAAAGCGAGTATCATCGTACTTGTACTTCTCGTTGCTGTCAATCTGCTGCTGGATCCACTGGACGGCGGACTTGTAGGCTATAAATTGATTTCATCAGCTTCTGCTCCAGGGTGTCATCAACATATCAATTGAATAATTATAACATACTATTGATATCCGCAGTGTTGGGGTTAGCAAGACCAGAAGCACCGTTGCGGTGTCCGGCGAACCACTTATCGTAGCCGTAGTAGTTCTGGCAATCCCAGCGTGAGGCAACGTCGGCGTAGACGTTCGAGCTTTTAAGTATCAGTCAATGCCCCAGCAAAGATATCTCAAGAAAAAGAGCTTACTTCATGACAGCTCCATCATTCCATTGGGCTTCCGACTTCCCCTTAAAGCCGTAGCGGTGGGCGCACTCGCGGAGCAAGCCCCAGTTCTGCTTGAACAGACCGAAGTTGGCGGCGTCGTAGGTCTTGCTGTCTCCGTAGGGGTAGTGGGCGGTGTTCATATCCTCACTGATAAGTTTCGTGTTAGAATGACCTACTTGTGGATTGTGCTTTCTTACATTTCGAGCATGGCAATGGCGAGATCAAGGGAGTTACCGCCCGCTTGGATGATGGCCTTCTTGCGGGCTCCGAGGCCAGAGACGGTGTATTGTCCGCGATCAGCCCTCTTATCGAGGGAAACTTCGAGAGAGGCATCGGGAGTTGGAGCGGCCAGCACTCCAGTGGCGGAGATAGCGGCAATGCAGGGAATGAAGAACTTCATCTTGATAGATGTAGAAAAGAAAGACTTATAAACGAATGACTATGTCTCCGGGACTTGTTTGAATTGAAAGAATGTTTTGAGAATGAAGGTACGCTGTAGGGTTTTATATTCACGTCTAAATAGACTATATCATGACTCTTAATGGAGGTCCTGAGATGGTCAGTCTTTCGGCTTCGCAGGACCCCTGGTGCAGCCTTTGTTCTAGAACGGCTATTCCACATTTTCCGTGCCTAAAGTGTGGTTCAGTTGAGTCAGTGGCGTATCGTGTAGGACTACCTTCATTTCGTGGCTGTTGAAAGTGTGGTGGTGGCCGCGATTCTGAGACAGATGAGTTCTGAGGGTTGTATCTCTTTCCTAGCCCTAATCGTTGTATAGTCTTCTTGAGTTCCTTTCTCGAAAGGAAACGGTCCCTTGGGCAGGGAAAGACCAAGGCAAGTGTTTCAGGATAATGAACGCTGGGACCATCTCATATCATGTCCATGGCGCTGTACCAATCATCGTCTCGGCTTCCTCGGGAGCCGACGTTTGCCGGCTGTGGCATGAGGTTACTCTCTATACCGTGCCGTTTTTGTCTTTGAACTTGATTCTTTCTTTTTATTTCTTGGTGGATGCTTTCTATAAGTGTGTGATTAGAAATATAGCCTTCGTATAGTTGCTTTGACTTGTGATTAGCCTTTGTTCCAGGTGCATTAGACTGGTATGGGGTTAACGCCTGTCTATTCTTGGGGTCTGCCTGTTCGACATCCTCTCCAAAACATACTTTCGGCTTAGAAAACTAGCGACTCACTAGTTTAACATGTGCGACGCAGGGACCAGACGGAACTGACCCAGAATAAATTAATCGATCCTCTCAGAGCTCTAAGAGTATCAAACTAAGACAATCCTTGCCTAAACGGACAAGGAAGAAGGGTCCGCTTCGGCACCCGCTCCCATGGAACTTACTCCGCCATGTGGATTCTACTGAACAAAAACACGACAAAACAGCTTGAAGCAGAACATTGAATGCGTCAATTGATACTAACTCCGATGGAATCCAGAGAGGATGACAGCGTTTCCTAATTTCTCAAGGTTTCAAGGAGTCGTGGATAGTCTCGGCTTGACAGATGCATCGGCCGAGCAAACTATAAAGCAGCTCGCGATGGCCTCGAGTCCATGCCTTTCCGCTCGACAAAACGATAACTTTCCTTAAATCCTTTCATTCATTCGTTTCCTTCTTTTCGCTCTTTTCTCGCAATGCGTTCCTTTTCGTCTATCGCACTCCTGTCTGTGGTGGGAGCTGCGTCGGCCCAGGCTGGTCCTTGGGCCCAGTGTGGAGGCAAGTCCTTCTCCGGCTCATCTGCGTGTCCTTCGGGATGGACATGCGAGGAGCTGAACGAGTGGTTTAGCCAGTGTGTACCTGGTGAGAGAATACCAACTTGCCCGTGCCAAGAACAAACGAGATCTAACCCATATTCAAGGCGCCGCGTCCACGACCGCCGCCGTGTCGAGCATTCCCACTCCGTCTGTCACTCCTTCGGTGTCCATTACTGCATCCGTCAGCACGGGCATCAACAAGTCAATTTCGACAGCGTCGAAGTCTACTCCCCTGCCGTCTTCGTCGTCCGCCTCGCCAACCCCTCGCCCGACGGGCAGCGGGTCCTTCGCCAAGGCGGATGGAGCGCAGTTCTCGATTGACGGCGAGACCAAGTACTTCGCCGGCACAAACGCCTACTGGCTCCCATTCCAAATGAACGATGCGGACATCGACGCTGTGTTCGATCATTTGGAGCAAACCGGATTAAAGATCCTTCGTGTCTGGGGCTTCAACGATGTAAACACCGCTCCCAGCCCCGGAACGGTCTACTTCCAGCTCCACGACAAGGCCAAGGGCACTTCCACCATCAACACCGGCAAAGACGGCCTCCAGCGTCTGGACTATGTGGTTGCTGCCGCCGAGAAGCACGGCGTCAAACTCATCATTCCTTTCGTGAACAGCTGGGACGACTACGGTGGATTTAACGCATATGTCACTGCCTACGGCGGCAGCAAGACGGAGTGGTTCACCAACGAGAAGATCCAGAGCGTGTACCAGGCCTATATCAAGGCCGTTGTCTCTCGGTACAGGAACTCTCCGGCCATCTTCGCTTGGGAGCTGGGCAATGAGCCTCGCTGCAACGGATGCAGCCCTGACGTGATCCACGGTTGGGCCACCAAGACCAGTGCCTACATCAAGTCTCTGGATCCCAACCACATGGTCGCCTTGGGTGATGGTACGTATGTTGCTCATGTAGTAAAATATGACTAATTGTTTATATAGAGGGCATGGGCTTGACCATTGGCTCGGATCAGTCGTACCCATACTCCACCACCGAAGGAAACGACTTCGAGAAGAATCTTGCTATCCCGGACATTGACTTCGGAACGCTCCACCTTTACACCACTGACTGTGAGTGACTACCATGGTATACATGAGCCAAGAAATGAACTCTGACCCGATATTACAGGGGGTATCAAGGACAACGCCTGGGGTAATGGATGGGTTGAGAACCACGCGAAGGCCTGCAAGGCTGCCGGCAAGCCATGTCTGTTCGAGGAATATGGCATGAAGGGCAATCATTGCACCGACGAACTGAAGTGGCAAAAGACCTCGCTGAGCTCGGGCACCGCCGCCGATCTGTTCTGGCAGTATGGTCAGAAGCTGTCCACGGGCGAGTCTCCCAACGATCAGTACACCATCTACTACGGCACCGATGACTGGAAGTGCGCCGTTATGGACCACATGGACGATGTCAACAAGAACTAAGTAGGCGCGACGATTCTATGAGTGGTCGATGGTGACTGTACGGTTATGGAATTATTTGTTCCTGTCATGTCGGTTTTGGATCGTCTGCTCTGCTTCTTCTATCATTCTCTTCTGCCTTCCCTGAGGATCGCTTTTGATATATGTTTTGCTCTTTCGGGTGCAGCAACTCTGCTACCCAGTCTGAATGTCAGATTGGAGGTATCCATAGCCCATAAGCAATTTACTTTTTAGAATTCAGAAAGCAATCCTCGCGAAGGCTGGATTGATACCATAGTCTATATCCATGTAATCTACTTCAGCACTATGCTCAGTTCGAACCCGTCGCTGCCTTACCGCTTAGCTTTAATGTGTATTTCTTCAGTTTGTGTCCAATTATCTCAACCGGGGGGGGGGGGGGTTACCGTGACTAGATATATAAAATCTAACTTCCCATTATACAGTCTGGACAAGAACATAGTCCTAATTAGCCGATACTTGGAAACACTGTGGGGATTGATCCACCAGGGGGATCAACACCTGGTATAAAAGACCACATATATCCCACTCAGGCTATGATCGCCCCCACTGGGACACCTGGCAGGCATCAGCCTCGTTCTAATTCTTCTCATATCATCTTTTTGACTACCTTGGCGTCTTGAAAGTTGGCTGTTCATCCATTGCGGATACATAAACAACCATGAGCATCCGGATCGAGAGAAAGAGGTCATGAACTTGGATTAAGAGGAACTTGAGTACTATTATCTTGTTACATTTAGCCAGGTATATTGAAATATTCAACGTTGATATCGCTGCTCTTCTTTCGACGCTGTCATTGTGAGGATATGAATCTAGTCACAGCCGAGAATATCGAAGACTGATCATCTGATAGAGAAACAGAAATTTTGTTTGTGTGATGCGGTACTGCAGACGGATCAGCCAATTTCACAAATGGCATCTCAGCGAGACAATCCCCACGATGCTTTAGATAGTGAGTATTCTCCTATTTAACAGTTGATATCAGCCTAACATACAAAGATACACAGGGGGTGCATATCTTGAATTGGCTATCTAGAAGATGTTGATTAATTGGGGGTTATGGATGACTTTGTATATACAATTCAAATTCGGGGATATCTATACTCTAAATGCCATGGGGCCGTTATAATCACAATATCAAAATCTACTCATCATCACCAAAGAAGACCTTGATAGGAAGCCAGCTATCACCGCAGACCTTAAACCGATCCTTCAAGTTATCGAGCTGAGCGACCTCCTCATCGGTCAGGTTCCATCCATCCAGCTCAAAGTTCCCATCAATGCGCTCCTTGCTCACCGACTTCGGGATCACACTCCACCCCTTCTGGATACCCCACTGCAGCAGACACTGCTGGGGGGTCTTACCCTTCTTCTCGGCAAGCTGCAGCAGCGTAGGGTCCTTGTACAGAGGCGAGTTGGTTGACCCGAGACAAGAGTACCCGGTCGAGTGAATGCCCTTGGAGGTATTGTAGGCCACCAGCTTGGGGGAGGGGTTGTTGGGGTGCAGCTCGATCTGGTTGACGGCGGGGACGATCTTCGTGCTGGGGTCGTTGAGGAGCTTCTCGAGGTTCTTGATGCCGAAGTTCGAGACCCCAATGTTGCGGACCTTGCCGGTGGCGGGGAGCTTCTGCACCTCTTGCCAGGTCTTGATGAAGTCCCAGTCCGGGAGGTGCTTGGACTTGTCGTTGGGGTCGGTGCTGCTGGGCCAGTGCACAAGGTAGAGGTCCACGTACTCCACGCCTAGGTCCTTCAGGGACGACTCGATGCCCTCGGACACGCGGTGGTGCCAGGTGTTGTCCAGCTTAGTGGTGATCCAGATCTGCTCGCGCGGCACGCCGGAGTCCTTGATGCCTTGGCCGACTTCGGCTTCGTTGCCATAGGCGAGGGCGCTGGTTGGGTTAGTTTTATTGCTTGTACTTCAGGTGGAGTTGGGGCAATTGGGACAACGTACGTGTCAATGTGGCGGTAGCCCTTCAGGAGAGCATTCTTCACGGCTTCGCGCACTTCGTTGGGCTTGGATTGCCAGGTTCCCAGACCAATGGCGGGAATCTTGGCCCCGGTGTTCAGGGTGTAGGTCTTTCTATAGTTTAATTATGTCAATTGATGTTCATTTCCTATACCTAAGGATCTAGGGACTCACTTGGTGTGCTCGAGGCTGGCCATTTTGTGCAATTGAGTAGGGAAAAAGGGTATTTTATTGAAACGTGTCAAGATCAAGAATCAGAACAAGGAATTCAGACAAAGAGCACGAGCGAAAGGTTATAAACGAGGGGTACACAAGACCATTTATAAGCTACCAGAAGAGGCCGAATGTTAGGGCAGGTCCATCCAGCGGCATGATGTCAATTTCCCCTCTAGGGTGGGGAACTGTCTTTCTCCTAGTTCAGTTAAATACCCGATAAGCAATTCAGTTAGCACGCGATTTAAATTGCTCGTATCGGGGGATTATATTTAGTAAGTTTTCCCATACAGACTGGCTGTAACGGAAATTTGAAGGCTCTATATAATTCATATTATATCTATTGAGTTCCGCTGTACGGAGTAGTCACCGTACCTCATAACCATTTGTAGTGTGAAATATATACAGTTTCGGTGTTACTGTGTTATATAGGTAAGATTTTAATACTAAATGATAGCAAAGCACGCCATTACTATATACTGTCTAAATTTATACAATTGGTCAAAGGCTCCACTGTACTCCATTATAAGGAATTTTATATGGCGAATTAGCAAGAATTATGACAGGGCTCAATTGATGGCGACAGTCGCGGTACGAATGTCGAACGGCGGGAACCGGATGGTCACGTGGGGATGACTCGAATGGGCAATGACGCAGTGGCGATCATGTGCTGCACCGCCACGTCGTGCCGTTATCATCAGGCACGCATCCGTCATCTCCTCCATCTCCCTGGATCTCTTATCCATTTCGTAGATGGTTTCCCCATCTTCGTGTCTCGATTAGACTATCTCTCTTCATCAGCATCAGGATGCCGCCTTCCAGCGGGCACCTGCTGCTCCCAAAGTTTTGGAGAGCAGCTAGGTAAGTAAATCACGTATCCACTCCACCCGGACTATATCTCCGTTCTGACGCCGCCCCAGGTTTGCCTACGAGAAGGCCTGCAAAGCCATAAGGACAAAGTTCCCAGAGCAAGTGCAACATGGAGGCCTACGATTCCAGCCAGCTTATGCACGCATAACTCCAAACCAGCCGATCAACCGCGCTGCAGCAATTCGCCAGGCCCGTCGCCGCCACTATTCCACTCGGGCGAGAACCTTCGTTTCTTATCTCCGAACTGGACTGCAGGGCGACCGTGCGGCCTACAAGACATCCCGCGTTGCGTCGAACATCAGCCGTCTTACCTCTCAAGCACCCTTTGCGTCAACTCTTCGCCCAAACTTGACCGGCGGTACTCTCGGCCGTACGGCGGGAGGCTATACTGCAGGGGCCGGCCGGATCGGTGGTGCCCGGTATTTCTCTCATGGCCCAGCTGCACCCGCTCAGGTCATTCAAAATGTATCCATGGGGGTCCGGGCATTCTTCCTTTCAGGACAGAAGGTCCGGTTTGACGGCATTGACGAAGTCAGCGGAAACAAGAAGTACAAAGCCGTGAGCGCCCTTCAAGATCAGGCTGAACGGAAGATGACGGGAATCCCTCGGACTGCACCGGGATCCTTTGTTGACTTCCAGCTCTCCCCTACCATCACCGCTTTTGGTCTGCAGAAGAAGTTTGATCCGTCCGGAGCCTTCGCTTCCGAGACCATCAACTCGGACGGCCTTTTGGACTTCCTCTCTGCCGACTTTGCGCGTGCTCTCAAGGACTTGGCTGCTGTACTCAACGACCTCAAACGCCTGTCCACCCTGGGAGATCTGCCTATCTTGCTTCACGACAAGTCGACGCTCCGGGTGCGATTCCCTGGCTGTGACGCAGCCACTGTCGAACGGCTCTGTGACGAGGTTGGCGTCCAACGAGGGAAGATCATGCAAGACGAGGACTTCGATATTCGTACGGGTGCCGACCTTGCACTTCTCTTCCCCTTTGCCCCCAGTGTTCCCGGGTCACCGGAGACGCTGGATTACCTCTTCTCGAGGGGGGTCTCTGAGTCACAAGCGCCCGAAGCAGTTGATTGGCAGGCTATGATGTCTTCAGAGAACAACACAGAGGCTTCACCGGAGCTTCTCGGAAACTATGGGCCGAAGCTCAGTTTCGAAGATGTAACTATGTTCGGTGAGAATCCATGGCAGCAATCCTCGTCATCTGGGTATTCAAGTATCAATATCAGCGAACTCGGCGACCGCGCATACTTCCATGAGATCACCAGTACCGGGTTCCCTGAGAGTGCTTCTGAATATGAGGGATCGGACGGGTTACATCGATTTCTTGCCGAGTGCAACCGTGCTCCTCCAATTTCTTAGCTAACCGCGTTTCCATGTTCTACACAGGCTTTGACAGTCTTTATTTACTATAATTTCTTTTGTTTATTGTGCGAACAGACACCGTATATCTGAGGTGTGATCAACCCTATTGGCTATTAGTGAAATATATAAATTGAATCATCATTACCTGTATACCTACAAGTTCTTCGTATATCGAGCCCTGCCTTGTATGTACTACTACCCATCCAACTCCAGGTTGACACTTTACCCACTGCAATCCGGGTATAATGCTAGCGCGGTCAGCCTCTATATTGGATCAAACACGTTATGAGCTACAAAGGAACGAACGATCCACTCCAGTGGGAGAAAAGGGAGAAAGTAAAGTAATCGAGCACTGGCGACTCCTTGATACAGGAGTATTGCTCTATTAGCAACGTCAATGAAGTTGACCTTGGTTGATACTAATGTACCAATGATATCCTTCAATAACATTCCTTTCACCAACCAACGATATGAAATGTATGACAATAGACTGAAGTACAGCGTAAAGGAAGATAAACTTCTGTTTATACTATCCCAGACGGAACTACAAGAAATCCGTTTGATTCAGTCCATTACCGTCTCGTAGCTGTCATTATATCCATAACTTCAAACACAATATAATAACTACTTAGTTATACATTACGCTGATAAGTAATCCCTCCCGGGAACTCGGCCCGTCAAGCCGACTCAACCGTCTCCATATAAATTGTTATAATTTCCTGCAGAAACTACTCCGCATCTTGGCGGCGGAGATACACGACTCGCGGACCGAGGATACCTTCACAATCAATTTCAAACGGCGATCAGCAAAACCTAAATACAGTCATCCAAGGTGCCTAGGTACGGGTTGTAGCAATCTTGATGCATTGCCCCGGAAATATTCAGTCGTTCATGGTGAGACGGAGAAATTATGCAGATTGCCGGGATTACAGTCCCATACCTGAAACGGGAGATGTTTAGAGTGCAACTTCTTCCGTCTCATTCAGGAATATCAGTCTTCGTCTACTTGTTTACGGTCATTTTATTTACTTTGTACCAAACCAAGCTGCACTCCTGTGGAGGGTTCACTCTGGTAGGAGAACATGCGTCTTGTTTCTTCCGATGGACGGTACAGCCCCACAAGCTGACGGATCTTCCCGAGTTCGATCGAGATTTAGATCTGACTGGATAAATGCTTGTACCTTCATCCTCTATGATATAGCCCGGCTGTTTTCTAAGACTAACCCAGGAAAAATCAGATCGTTCTGCTCATATTCTAACGATGTTGCATTTATTCTCCTTCCCTGTGGTAGCCATACTAGCTCATCATATGTGCACAAGAAAGAAGGGCATGTTGCCCTCTTCATTATGCTTTGTGGCGTCTGAGGGATCAACACTGCGCACACAGAACAAAATGAAAAAGAGAAAAAACGGCCCCGCATCTATCTCTGACATACAGCTTTCCCCCCACCCTTTTGTCCTAAGACACACTTCTGCTCGCCATCGATACTAGTACATTGGACGCCAGTAACATGTCTTCGAGTAGCAAGCCCTACTTCAACATCAGTACCATTGGTCAAAACGACCATGGTAAGACGACCCTGACGGCTGCCATCACCAAGACGCTGGCCACCAAGTCCAAGACATATGGGGAGATTGCCAACGCGCCTGAGAAGAAAGTCCATGGTACCACCACCTGGGCCGCCCACATCGAGTATGAGACCCAGACGCACTGCTACGGTCAGGTAGACTTCCCGGGGCACGCTGACTACATCAAGAACGTGCTCGGCGGCGCAGTGCAGATGGACGGCGCCATCCTGGTCGTGTCGGCCACGGAGGGCCCGATGCCGCAGACACGCGAGCAGGTTCGACTGGCACGGCAAGCTGGCGTGGCACGCATCGTCGTATTTCTGAACAAGTGCGACATGGTTAATGACCAGCAGCTCGGCCAGGTGGAGACGAAAGTGCGCGAGCTGCTGCGCACGTACGACTTCCCGGGCAATGACGTGCCGATTATCAGGGGCTCGGCGCAGCAGGCGCTGAATGGAGTCGGGGGCGAGCTGGGCGAGCGCGCGATCGTACGTCTAGGGGAGGCGTTGGACGCGTACATCCAGGAGCCAGAGGGAGCGCTGTCTGATCCGTTCTGGATGCCGGTTGAAGAGACTTTCCCACATTCTAGTCGTGGCATGGTGGCCACGGGCCGTGTGGAGCGCGGCGTGATCCGAGTCGGCGACCAAGTAGAGGTCCTGGGCGTCGGCACTACGACCGGGACAGTGTGTATGGGCGTTGAGATGTTCCGCAGGCCGGTAGACATGGCGGAGGCAGGGGAGAACGTGGGTGTCCTGCTACGTGGCATCAAGCGTGAGGACGTGGAGCGCGGTTGCGTGCTGGCCACGCCGGGCACGGCCAGGTGGTGCGCGGATGTCAAAGCGGAAGTGTACGTGCTGGGCGTGGATGAGGGTGGTCGCGCTACACCGTTCCCCAACCACTACCAACCGCAGTTCTACTTCCGTAGGATAGATCTGAAAGGTTCTATCTCGTTTCCGGGGAGTAGGGAAACGGTGAAGCCCGGTGATAACCTGTCCATCACGGTCAACCTGACCGTGCCGATTGCGATGAGAAAAGGCCAGAACTTCATCATCCATGAGGGTGGTAAGATCCTTGGCTTCGGCATTGTTACGTCTATAATCGAGTAATAGCCGCTACTCTCTATTTTTCTCCATAGATGCTTCTCTCACACGCGCACACGCTTCACGTTCTAAACATGTTCGGGGTCTTTTGTTTCTAAAAAGGGCTTATTTAATCCTGCTGAACTGACCTATTGAGGAATAGTGCGGAGAAAACGAAGGTGTGTTGTTAACCAAGCTGGCTAAGGAAGCGAGGCTAAAAATGGCATATATTGTCTTGGGCGATGGAATATAGATGAGGATTTCTATCCTCTAACCCTCTCTTCCTTAGCACCAACCTTATCAATGCACCATTCGAGAAAATACCCAATCCCCTATCGGATCTCCTTCATAGTAGCACCAGGTACGCTTAATGGAGACCTTCAGTTCGGCGAAAAACTCTCCAATAGGGTTCAGATCCGGTAAGTAGGGCACTACCTGTTTTACCCCAGCAGTGGAATATCTACCCAATCCGCTCCGGATAGTGAAACGACTCACGTATGGTCCTTAACTAGTAATGATTTCGGCCCGGAATCCGTCGAGCCGTGGAAGATGCGGGGTGGACAATTCTGTCCGGGGTATATACAAGCAATGTCTAATGCTATTCGTCGTAAACTAATTAAAGTGCAACAATTATAAAGGGGCCACGCCAAATAGTAATCAGCTAGTCCATCTCAATATAAGAAAGGTGATGTAATTGACAGTCGGATAAATTGTAAAGATACTGGTAGATCTCTCGCAAATCGGCATTGCTCTTTGGCCTTCCATCAAGCTGTGGACCAACCTTTGGAAGTGAGGGCCCTTCTAATACTAGAAGTTGTTAGCGTCCGGGACTCACTCTCTCAGGACGGCACGGTAGGGTTTCTTTGCCTATAAAAATTTCCAGACATTGCTTCTGTCATCATGAGATTGTGTTCATGTGGGTCGGCTGTTGTGCAGAACACATAGCCTATTTACACGAGTCCGTGCAACACAAGCTCAATTAAATCTGAACATGTCTCAATCTGCCAGGTACTGCAATAAACAACCACACTAAGCCCTGACAAATGCCGATGGAATGACGATCACCCACTCCGCGCCCGTTCTGGTACGGGGGCTTCCGTCTTGGCTTCTGAAGGAACGACGCCTGCATCTGAAATGAAAAGGATGAAACAGGGTGCCGGAGTTGAAGACCCGGGGTTATTTGTCTTTAGCCGAATTACGTTTCTCCAGTTTTCGGCAATTCCTCTGCATGAAGTTCATTTAGACGGAGAAATGTGTACTATAAAGGGGACTCGATACCCCGTGGTAGTCCAGTACACCAGCTCAGAGTATCGTGGATAACAAGTTACTTCGACCGTTCAGAATGCATACCCCCAACATGCAGGCCCTGTGGGCGCTGTCGCCCTTGCTTTTCTCCGCTGCCAGTGCTCTCCCCCAGGCGAGCGTCACCCCGTCTCCTTCGTCGTCTGTTCCGGCGTCGAGCGCCCCTGCTCCCACGGCGACAGCTGGTGGAAACCCATTCGAAGGATATGACCTCTACGTGAACCCGTACTACAAGTCCGAGGTGGAGAGCCTTGCTATTCCATCCATGACCGGCGAGCTGGCTGAGAAGGCCAGCGCTGCGGCCAACGTTCCGTCTTTCCACTGGCTGTATGATATCTTCCCTTACTCTGAAACTAAAAACAACCACTAATAGACAACCCCAGTGACACAACAGCCAAAGTCCCCACAATGGGCGAATTCCTCGAAGATATCAAGAGCAAGAACGACGCCGGCGCGAAGACAGCGGGTATCTTCGTCGTGTACGATCTGCCTGACCGGGACTGCGCGGCGTTGGCCAGTAACGGAGAGTTCCTGATCAGCGACGGTGGAGTCGAGAAGTACAAGGCGTATATTGATTCCATCCGGGAGCAGGTGGAGAAGTACTCGGACACGCAGATCATCCTGGTTATCGGTGAGTCTACACCCAACACACATTCCCAAATGTGGTTTCTTAAGAATATATAACTCACGAACATCTACCAGAGCCCGACAGTCTGGCCAACCTGGTCACCAACCTCAACGTCGAAAAGTGCGCCAACGCCCAGGACGCCTATCTGGAATGTACCGACTACGCCCTGAAGCAGCTGAACCTGCCCAACGTTGCCATGTATCTTGATGCCGGTGCGCACCATCCCCCTACACAATACTCTCAGACCGTCAAGCTAACACCCAACAGGCCACGCAGGATGGCTCGGCTGGCCCGCCAACATCGGCCCTGCAGCCGAGCTGTACGCCTCCGTGTACAAGAACGCAGGGTCCCCCGCCGCCGTGCGCGGTCTGGCCACCAACGTCGCAAACTACAACGCCTGGTCCATCGACACATGTCCTTCCTACACCCAGGGCAGCCAGGTCTGCGACGAGAAGACCTACATCAACAACTTCGCTCCGCAGCTGAAGAGCGCTGGCTTTGATGCTCACTTCATCGTTGATACGGGTATGTCTTGCATTTATCCTTTGCATTTATCTTCCACATGGACTCAAATCCGCTAACAAAACAAATCACACAGGCCGCAACGGAAACCAACCCACTGGCCAAAGCCAATGGGGCGACTGGTGCAACGTGAAGAACACCGGATTCGGTGTGCGTCCGACCACCGAGACGGGCGATGAGCTCGTCGACGCTTTCGTCTGGGTTAAGCCCGGTGGTGAGAGCGACGGCACCTCCGATACCTCTGCGGAGCGCTATGATGCGCACTGCGGATATGCTGATGCCTTGACACCTGCTCCTGAGGCTGGTACTTGGTTCCAGGTTAGTAACGTTGAAGAGTATTTGTCTAGAGGCGCGATGCTAATATGGCTCTGCAGGCCTATTTCGAACAGTTGGTTGAGAATGCCAACCCCTCTTTGTAAGATGGGTCTGGGGTTGAGAGATTGAGGTTGATGAGTCTGGGATTTATGTTTGGGTAGATTAAGTATAGGGAAATGCTGTTAAGGGAAATGATACTATGTTTTTGTTTTGCTTCGACGAAGAGGTTCTGGGGACAAAGAGCTGGTGGGACTCTTACTACTTGGTCTGTTGTGTCTAAGTAAAGATAAAATAGTACTATTCTGGATAGGTCTAACTGTGATGGGCTTGACATGGTATGGTATAGATTGTCTGTAGGTTGGATTCTGGGAGATGGTAGTTAATAAACTACGAACCAGTGCCTAGGGTGGTAAGAAATGTACAGTTGACTGTTACGCATAATATAGGGAGCCATTTACAAGAAGGTAGAGGAGGACAATGAACGCAGATGAACAGTATCAATATAGAGACCGTGCTGCGTCAGGTTCTTTAGTAGTTTAGGGCTTCTCATTCATTAAATCATTCTATCCACTGCGATCCACTGCGATCCACTGCGGACAGAAGTGGAACATACTGTCAATCACTGTATTAAGCAATGTGAGTCCTAACCAGTGAATGGCGAGACAAAGAACTGCATGCTGATCATCTTCACTTGCCAATACCCAGTAGCGAAAAAGGCAGCACAACACTGTCGCTGCTGTCACCTAGAAGGCTATTTAAGGGCCGCTGCTTTCTTTATCTGGACCTTCAATGGATAACCTACAACATACCTCTTCTTCTGCCTTATTATCATTACTTTATCAATAACAATATCTTTTCGCATAAACCCACTTCTACACCATTCCAACAAGTATTATACGACCGCAAACTAGCCATGGAGGTAACAACGTTGGCTGCAATGATGCGGCAGCAGTTTGATGGCCTCAACCAGAACATCAACCAGCGGGTCGACAACCTACAGGAGTCCTTGAACACACGAGTGGACAACTTGCAGTGCATCCTGTTTCAGCAGAAAAATGAGCTGCACGATTCCTTGACCAGACGTATCGACGAGACCATAGACCGGCGGTCCACGGAGTTACAGGAGACCTTGCTTCAGCGCTCGAGCCAGTTAGAGGAGGATGAGACTCTGCTTCAACGGTCCAATGACTTACAAAGCTTTTTGACTCATCGTTTGGATGACACTATGGCCCAGCGAACGGAGGCATTGCAGAAGAACTTGGTCCAGGAGATGGTCAAGTTCTATAAAAGTGCCATTCAACCACAGTTTCATCGAATACACAAGGACCTCGCAGCTCGTGATAAAGATATCAAACGAGAGTTCCAGAGTGTCAACGAGCGATTCGATCGCGTGGATGCCAGGTTCCATACCTTGGAGATGGATATGAAAGGAGGATTCAACAGCGTCAACAAACAGTTTACTCACATGGAGAACCGGTTTGATAGAGTTGAGACCAAGGTGGAAGGACTGGAAGCCAGAATGAGCAGCGTCGAAGCCAAAGTGGGTCAACTGGAAACCAGGCTGGATAGGGTCGAAACCAAGGGGGATCGTTTGGAGGTCCAGATGGGTAATTTTGAGAGAATCCTCCGGAACTCCAAAATCGCCTTCCTCAACCAGCGTATCCTTCCGATACAGATGTATGACCAGGAAGGATCACCAATACCTATCCCAGTGGCCTCTCTTCCCACTACGGCACTGGCGTTCTATCACCTGAAGGAGAGCAAACATTGTATGTTGTCACCTGTAAATCACTATAATGTGATACTAACACCGTGAAGGGTCCAAGTTGAGGAACCTCATCGAATACTATCAACTGCAAGAAGAGGCAACCCAGGCAACTGCAGATTATGATGACTCATTCGCAGGCACTAAGCTGAAGTATACAGCACAGGAGCTGGAGCGCGCTATCTCGTCGAACGCATGGGGCGCTGTTGTTGTATTAGGTGGACGTATTGGTATTGACTGTGATGCACTCCATGACCGAGTCATACAGGTACAATTCCATTCCCAGAAAAACGTTTCATCTAAGCGAGACGCAAGCGATATGAGCACAAGCAAGCGGGCCGCCAAAACACACTGCCCATTGTCTGACCGAGTCCGACCTGTCTCTGGAGCACAACAAGACACAGATGTACGTGAGCCATCTGTCGTTAGCAGGATATATAGTGAGGTTGACTCAGAGAAGTTCAAGCAGTCTCTTGACCCCCGAATTGGGGGTAACGAGCCCCTCGTTACGCCTGTCTCAAAACATGACTTGAACTGTTCTGAGTCAAAAGGCGGTTCCAATTATTCTCTCTTCTACAGTGACACGGAGATTGCGAGGTCTTCATCGCAGCAAACAGAGACAGAGTGCGTCGAGGAATGAATATTGCCGGACTCGGGAGGTAGGTAGGAGCCGCTGGCACAATTAGATAGCCTAGATATAGCCTAGATGAGTTCCTCAAGCTTGGAGATGGTTCCGACACGTTAAACATGCAAAGCTACAATGAGCTCTCTTCACTAGATAGCATGATTAGGAATCTCAATTCGAAAGACAAATACTAGTAGTGTTATCCATATGACGTCCATTGTTTATCCATACAGGAGACGCCAATTCTCAGGAGATGCCATCTCTCGGTGGAATATTGCGACATAAAATGCAGATAGAGTCCCAGCCTAGGATACGAAGTCCATTCGCCGTGGCTGATGGTAGTAATCTTGTGTTTAGATGCAGTGCATTCTGACCAGCTGAGGTACATAGCAGTAGTCGGTAAGACCTCCTTACTAGATCAGTGCTCTATCTAACAAGCTGCTGTAAGATCAGACAGTGGATTATAACTGTAGCCATGACATACTTGACAGTTCAATTGACAGGATTCAGCCATATTGAACAAAATCGCCCTGTCTACCTAGTGTGATGGCGACCCCAGATCACCAAGGCGGTGATTGAAAGCACGGACAATAACCTCACCGCCAACCCCGCGCTAATCCCGTAGAGGATAATCCACTGATAACAGTAGGAACGGCGTGCGGAAGAGACACACACTGCACCCACTCAAGAATCCCACGACCCTTGACGTTTCTCCGTACTATTGCTCGAGCTGTGACCGTGGAGTCTCCAAGGAAGATTATTCCAGCTGTGTGGTTCTGAGGGTTCTCCTGCTCGGGGTCCGACCCAGTTATCTCTCAGCAACTGCTACAGGCAAAGTCAAGAAAATAATCTTACCTTTAGATCCAGAAACTCGAAACAGAAACTCTTGCCCTTTTCTTGAACGAAACACCGGCAAAATGATGGAGGACTTCAACAGTGAGACTGATAGTGACTATACCAGTTACTGGAGAGATTGGGTGAGTCTTTTCCTAAATTATCCTCGATTGCGCCAATGTGCGACTGGGCGGGGGATTGCGACTTGGTTGTAGGTGGAGGAAGGTGCACGATGATACTGGACGATGCAGTGGCAGTGGCAGTGGCAGTGGCAGTGGCAGTAGCAGCAGGAGGGGTCGGACATTGGGACTTGGAAGGAGAAACACATTTCCGTTTCGGGAAGCGATGCCACTTCTGCTCGACTTCACAGCTCCATGAATCACCTCACCTTTCTGCGTCTGCATTCTAAAGATGGCGTCTCCCTCGCCCAGTCAGCAGCAGTTGGAGCTGTCTAGCACTCCACCTCCACCTTCTGTTGTTCCCAACTACTTTAGAATCGATCCTACTCTTCGCTCCGCTCAGCAGAGACACCCTGTTTACCTGCCGCCGATTTCTGACGAGACAGCTAATTGGCGCACACAGTTCATCTCCTCTCGTGGAAACGAGTACTTCTGCGAAATCGATGAGGAATATTTGACCGATCGCTTTAACCTTACTGGCCTCAACACCGAGGTGCCATACTATCAGTATGCGCTGGATCTGGTGACTGATGTGTTTGATCTGGATGCGGATGACGACCTACGCGAACAAATTGAAAAGTCGGCACGTCATCTCTATGGACTTGTCCATGCAAGATACATCGTCACCACTCGTGGTCTTGCTAAGATGGTATGTACTAACTTGAGAACCACCGCAGTATTATAACTCTCTGACTGAGGTCTAGGTCGACAAGTACAAGAAGGGCGACTTCGGCAAATGCCCCCGTGTTATGTGTGAAGGTCAGCCACTTCTGCCTATGGGCCAGCATGACATCCCAAACATGAGCACTGTCCGGCTTTACTGCCCCAAATGCGAAGACCTTTACAACCCCAAGTCCTCTCGCCATGCTTCCATCGACGGTGCCTATTTTGGAGCTTCTTTCCCTAGCATGCTTTTCCAGGTTTACCCAGGCTTGGCCCCTGAAAAGAGCACCAGCCGTTACGAGCCTCGTATTTACGGATTCAGAGTTCACGCCGCTGCGGCGCTAGCACGCTGGCAGGATCAGTACCGCGAGGACATGAAGACGCGCCTTCGTGATGCTGGGATGGAAGTCACGTACGTCGAAGACGAGGAAGTAGAGGATGACGAGGATGACGACGACGAAGACCAGAGCTTCGATCCGAAGGAGCGGGTTGCGGGTGACGCTGCCTCTGGTCGTATGGATATGGGCATTTGAGTCACCATTCTTCGATTTCTAATGTTCTCTGGTTTTCACGATACCATGCCTTACCCGCTTTTGACCCACCAATCACCCCTCTTCTTATCGCATAAATCATCCCATATCCCGTCCTCCTCTATCTGACATACTTGCCTGCACCTTTCAACTGGGCCTTTCCCTTGATGTGACATGTTCGGCCGTTTCGTTATGGCTTGCTGTTCTCCAACGGTAGGCGTACGAAGAGTTTCTTTCTCTCAGTTCTCTGTACTCTGAATTTATGATGACGAACATGGTGGGCGTTTGAAGCTTTGAAAATGGCTGGTCTAATTTCTTTTCTTCTGATGTTTACTAGTTTCATACACATAATTCGCCTTAGGGAAACGTAATATGAATTGCCAATGCAATTACCATTCCCGTAATATGCACTTCATTTGTACGGGTTACATTTTTGTAGGAGTCCATTGGAGGTCGAACCATTATAAACGGAAACCTCCGTTAAACAGGTGATTAAGACTCTTCAGGCTCTTCATAGGCTACCTCCCAAGTGCTTCTCAATCGCAAAAGCAATAGCCTCCGCGAGTCCTGCTCCCTTCTCCCAGCATTCATCGTGCTCACCTTCTAGGGGCAGCAGCGCAACAGACCTCGGATTTTCCTCAGCCTGCACATCGCGCCACCCAGCTCGAAGGGTAGCATCCATAGCCTCCTGCTGCGGGAAATCCACAAGCGAATCCTTAGACAAGTACGCCAGAATCGCCCACCGCCCAGCCGTCCACCCACCCTCAACACCATCAGCCCCTTTGACCACGGCGGGAGACACAGCATCCCATGCAGCCTCATCGGCCCCAAAAGCCCCCTCCACGATCTGCTGATACGCCGGGATCTCCTTGTGGGTATCCCGGAGTAACTTCAGATCATATATCCCAGCCAAACCGACCACAGACAGCGGACCGTGCGATATGCCAGCATTAAACCGGCCCATCACCGACTGGAACGCCAGCGTAGCGCCACAGCTGTGGCCGACGAGTATATACCGGTCTTCGAACCCATACTTGCGTTGCAGGAAGGCTATGGCCGCTTGCACGTCATTGATATGCTCGGGGTGTTTGGAGCCGCGGTATTCGCGGGAGTTGGTGCTCGACTGGTCCTGGGGGTGGTCCGGATGGGGGCTTAGACGGTAGGAAATAGATGCGAATGCAGTGATGTGCGGGAGGACGTGAGAGTATTCCGAGGAGCTGGTGAGGGTGGATATGGCCGGGTTGGCGAAGTTTATGGCGTCTATGTTTGGATCGCGCCAGGCGCCGCCGTGGATTAAGCTGGATTCATACGGTTAGTAGGCCTATCGATAGTGGATGTGTGGTAAGTTGGACATTTGAGATTGAGAAGTATGTACATTATCCAGTATTTATTGTCGAGCGTCTCTGATAAGGTGGTCACTGTCACTGTTTGGAGGGCGTGGTCTTCGCCATAGTTGAACGTTTCGGTAGGCATTTTTATTAATTGTTTGCAAAAAATGTTAGTGTTAGTTCCCAAGGGAGTATGATGTGAAGAGAGGGCAATGAGGGGAACGGCTTGTTAGTCTTAATGAAGGCTGCTTAGTACTAGTTAGTAGGGTATTCGGCGGAGCAACTAGGAGTATCATGGTCGATAAGCTCAACCTGCGACAAAACAGGGAGATTGCGAGGTGGGATGCCTCGGTCATTATCGGGGAAGATGCGCCCAGAGAATTCCATTCCTTCTGGAAATATTCGCATGGCAGAATATTGAAGACTGATGTTGTTGTTCCCAAAGTGTCCAGACTGATCCCGTGAGGGTCTTGGCGCGCTAATCCTCATCGGGCGCTAGGCGGTGGGAAATTGATGAATTCAATCCACACAAACCATCGCCGCCGACTGTCATCCCATTGTCGCCGTCGAACGTATACCTGGGCAGCACATCCAATATGGCGGAGTAAGTCTTGCTGCTGGCCGTAAATCGGTTCGTTAAAATGGCTGCTAATGATTACACCAGGAAAGAAGTTCCCCTCACGGCCGTCAAGGTCGATGCCTTGGTACGATAATGACCGCGAAAAATCACCCCCCGCTATTTTCACGGCGATGATAATGCTTACAAAGTTCGCATATAGGTGGTCATGAAGATCATCAAGCACTCCTCTCAGTCTTTCCCGACGACTGCGACCGGTTCGATCGTCGGTATGGATGTGGACGGTACCCTGGAGATCACGAACTCTTTCCCATTCCCAGTCGTTGAGATGCCCGCCGACTCGCACTTCGACAACGCCGCCCCTAACCCGGCTGCTGCTGCGCCTCGTGCGAAGGCCAACGTGGCTTACCAGGCTGAGATGATCCGCATGCTTCGGGAGGTCAACGTCGATGCGAACAACGTCGGTTGGTACACCAGCGCGAACATGGGTAACTTCGTCAACATGAACGTGATCGAGAACCAGTTCTTTTACCAGAAGGAGATGAACGAGCGGACAGTTGCTCTTGTGCACGATGTCAGCCGCAGTGCCCAGGGAAGCCTTAGCCTGCGGGCCTTCCGCCTGTCTTCTAAGTTCATGACTGCTTTCAAGGAGAACAAGTTCACCTCTGAGGAGTATGTTTTCTCCCGCGTTGGCATAGCTTAAGCTGTTATATCAGTCGCTACGTGTGCTCGAAGTGGTCTTACTGGCATGCTAACGTTTTCCAGGCTTCAAAAGTCCACCCTGAGACACCAGGACATCTTCGTTGAGCTTCCAGTTGAAATTCACAACTCTCACCTGATCACCTCTTTCATCCACCAGCTCCAGTGCCCTACTCAGTCCACTCCTACCGACCTTCCCCCCTCTCTGGCTGCTCTGGAGAAGGGTCCCTTCGCCAAGGACAGCGTTCTTGCCCCCAACTACGACAACTTGTCTCTCAGCATCGACCCCTTCCTCGAGAAGAACTGCGACCTTCTCTTGGACAGCATCGAGACCCACCACACTGAGACCAACAACTTCCAGTACTACCAGCGTTCGCTTGCTCGTGAGCAGGCCAAGATCACCGCCTGGCAAACCAAGCGCAAGGCTGAGAACGCCAGCCGTGCGGCACTCAAGCAGCCTCTCCTGCCTGAGGATGAGTACCAGCGTCTGTTCAAGCTTCCTCAGGAGCCCAGCCGCCTCGAGACTATGCTCAACACCCGGCAGGTGGAGCAGTACTCGCGCCAGATCGACAGCTTCGTTTCGGCGACGACGGGTAAGATGTTCGCGGTCAAGGGAAACCTGCTGCCCGGAGAGACCGCCAAATAGAGGAGAGGAGGTGACCGATGATGATTTGTCTCAACTGGGGATTCTGGGAATTGCATGCATGACCTTACGGCGTAGGGAGGGAAAATATTGTATCTGACTGTTAATATGTCTGTTTGTTTATTCCAGTGACGAATAGAGTTACGGGATATGACTGTCTTGGTTCCTACCTACCTCACCCATCTCCAACCTTCGTATCCATTTGTCCTGCGCAAGTCCTCTACATCAACTGATGAATGGATGGGGTATGCCCTAGTCTTGCTAGGGCATGTCTGCCACACGTGATGCTGATAAGTACAATGACCTCATCATGGCATCGATAACCGATTAGATAAGATCCTGTTATCGTGACGATTCAAGTCGATATCTTTTCTTTTCTGCAGTTCTTCCACTAGTTTTATAGATATTTCTTCAATTTCAATCTACATACCCTGAGTCATTAGAATGGATAACAGTAGCCTCGACATCTGGGTTGTAAGTCTCCAAGCACACCATGCCCTAGTATACATACACTTCATACCCAAACTCCAACCACTACAGTAGCAAATGAAAAACCAAACAGAACCCTCAATTGAACCAGCTAACGAAGAAACAAAGGCCGGCGCTATAGCAGCCGTCACCGTCGACTTCCTAGTGTACCCAATGGACACACTCAAAACGCGCATCCAATCACCAAACTACAACCACCTCTACAAAGACGCAACAGGCGCTATAAAACGAGACGTCCTCTTCCGGGGGCTATACCAAGGGGTATGGAGCGTCGTACTGGCTACTGTACCTTCATGTACGTTCTTATACTACACATCTGCCCATACTCACTTCCCCCCCCATACACCCAAACATACAAACATACACACACGCCCATAAACCAACCCAACCCTAAAACCCCCCAAAACTAACCCAAAAGAAACACAAAAAAAGCAGGAGCATTCTTCACAACCTACGAAACCACCAAACGCATGCTAACCCACTCCTCCACCCAATACCAATATCAATCCCATCAATCCAAAAACCAACCCCCAAACCCCCTCCCCATAACCCACCCCCTCCCCACCCCCCTGATCCACGCCCTCTCCTCCTCCCTGGGTGAAATGGTCTCCTGCGCAATCCTCACCCCAGCAGAGGTCCTAAAGCAGAACGCCCAAGTCCTGAACATGAACTCCCCAACAACAACAGCAGCAGCCACGCAAAGCGCCACAATCCACGTGCTGGCGAAATTCAGACACCGGCCCTGGCGGCTCTGGAGCGGGTATACGGCGCTTGTGGGCCGGAACTTGCCCTTTACTGGGTTGCATTTTCCGGTTTTTGAGGGGGTGAGGGCTTGGCTTGTTGATTATTGGAGGGGAGGGAAGAATGGGGGAGTTGTTAATGAGGGAGGGAATGAGGTTGGGGTGCTTGAGAGGGCGGTTTTGACGGGCGTTGCGGCTGGTGTGGCTGGCACTGTGGCTTCGGTTGTTACGACGCCGATTGATGTTGTCAAGACGAGGGTTATGTTGGGGGCTAGCCAGGAGGAGGTGAAGGGTTCGGAGAAGACGGTTGGGAAGGTGAAGGGGACGTTGGCGGTTGGGAGAGAGGTGTGGAGGGAGGAGGGCGTTAGGGGGTTGTTTCGTGGAGGTGCGTTGAGGTCGGTTTGGTCGGCTTTTGGGATGAGTATTTATCTGGGGATTTATGAGGGGGGTAGGATGTATTTGGAGAAGAGGAGGAAGGAAACTGATGAGGGTGAAGTTTTGTGAAGGTGGGTAAACGATTAGAGCACATGGAGGGTCTGTATTATAGATCATGAACAATTATATTTTTCTTTTTCTTTTCATTGACGTTAACTCATCAAGAAGAGGTCTTCGGTTATTCTCATCAGTTATCATACATGCATCAGGTGTACATAATCTCAGTCAAGAGACAATTTCGTAAACAAAAGGGTGCTGATCATCAACGCATGCAAGCTCAATATCAAGGTTCATTTCCAACATTTCTGGTGTATAGTCATTGCATCATTCCAATCATCGAATGCAAAAGAGCAATCTTCTGGCATCACGTCTCGCTGTCGAATATGGCCCTGCTCATCAAGCAGGGTCTCTCTTGTGAAGCATACCCTTAAAAGCTGGTAAGTTTTTTAAACCAGTTGGGCAGCTTCCCTCCGGAGCTAGGAGGTGGTTGGTCGTAGCGGTCATATCTCATTCCATGGTCTCGCTCGTGGTCTGCACTACCAGAGCTGCTCTTCTGTCCTCTCTCAGACCTCCGAGCCGCATGTTTCCTAGCGCGCACCTCTTCAATCTCCTGATCGGTAAGTCCGGGGTATCGGGCCCGTCTTCTTGCCTTCCGGCGTAGGTCGCGTCGGGCCTCCTCGTCCGATGAGATTGAATGCGCCCCATCCATGGGCTCTCCCGGACCAGGCGGCATGTCCAACATAGTTGGCACAACCGGCGGTGGTTCCGGGGGGTCACTTGCTTGGGAATTCACCCAAGAAGAGGTCTTATCTTTGCGTTGTCCAGGCATCATCGGGGTAGGTCTCATCTCCTCTGGCGCCCTGGACCTTCGGCGTCTAGCGTGTTCACTGTCGTCTTCCTGACGATGAGAACGATAGGTTCTGTCCGGGTCACCGCCCTGCATGTAGAAGTCCCTAGCGGCTCTATCATCCATATGCGAGTGCCGCTTTCTAGATCTTGGGTCGTAGCCAGGGTTCTCGTACATTCCTGCCCCCCTTTGCTGCCGCCTCCGTTCACGGCGTTCGGCAGCCTTGGCTTCGCGGGCCTCCGCTTCTCGGGCTTCCTGTGCCTGAGCTTCCGCCTCTCGGGCTTCTTGCTCCTCCCGCGCACGGCGCTCTTCACGAGCAGCCCGGCGAGCCATCTTCTCCTCTCGGCGTCGCTGTGCTCTCTCTTCTTCCTCTCGGAGTTGCATTTCTTGCATCTCGCGCTCGCGGGCCCTTTGCCTTTCCCGTCGTCTTGCTCGGCGTTCTTCGGCTTCTTGGAACTCGGCATCTCGATACGGATCGACGTCGCCTTGTCGAGAAGTGCGTCGTGCTCTGCGCGCCTCTCTCCTAGCATCGACATCTTCTATCTGAATTTCTGGGACAACCATTGCCGGCCCAGCATCGGTAGCATAGCCCTCACGGTCAGGGTCCGGTCTCATTGCACGACTTCTCCTCTCTTCCCGTCTCTGGCGCCGAGCGTCTTCTCGCTCTGGCTCCGTCATGTACCGGGCATCCTCGTCCCGGTAAGGCCTTGACTTTTGACGTTCAGGGAGCTCAGGGCGAATGTGTTGACGCAATGTTCCGATCAACCCCATGAGACCGCCAGTCTCTTGTTTCTTAGGCGCGGTATTTGATCGTCTTAAACGCCGTTCCCGCGGAGCCTCCACAAATGCCATGTCATCGGGTCCCGAAACAATGTCTGGACTTTGCTGGGCTGGGTCTGCATCGACCATGACAGCATCCTCCTGGAGGTCTCCCTGCCGTGATCGGGACTAAATTTTGAAAGCGGCATTAGCTCTTATTCCAACTTGTTTTGGTATCAGTCGCAGGTGCCGCTGCTCTCTTACCTTCTTCCTCGACCGTCGTTCTGAATGTCGCGACTCTCTAGAGGGAGCCTTGGGCTCGCCGTCGGCATCATCCCCATTGACCATGACGATGTCTTCGTCGTCGATAGCATATGGATCACGAGCACCTACGATAATCGTGTTAGTAAACTTAATAAAGAGTGAGGCGAATATAGAGGGCCATACTGGATCTCTTCCGCGTGCCACGCGGTCTCTCCCGTCTTGACCCAGATGGAGGAGCACCCATCATGCGGGCAGCCTTATCAGGCATCTCCAACTGCTCATCCGGTGGCGGCGATGGGAATCCAGTGTCATCCGTATCCACAGGCGGGCGCCGTGACGTGTGCCTTGGAGGGTACTCGCCATGTCTCCTGCTAGACTTTGTTCTGGTAGGCGGCGGTGGTGCGCCGAAAATGAAATTCGAGAATGCCGCACCCCGACCGTGTGCAGGTTCCCGTTGCCTGTCCTCCTCGGGTTCCAGCGATCTCTCTACCTCATCCTCTGGTTCCCGTGGCCTTGAGTGCCTAGTGGACTTTGATCTTCCCATTCCCGATGGTGACTGCTCCCTTCTTCTATACTTCTCTTCCCTATGATCCGATCTCCTCGGCGGGGCTGCCGCACCCCACATATCCCAAGACGTGCTACCAGGAGCACGTTCAACGCGTGGGCGTTCCTTCCTTGCTCCTCGCTCCGGTGCAACTGGTTCGGGTGGCGGTGTCGGATGACCCCCAGCAGCTTCCTCTGGAGCATCGGCCACTGGGCCTTCTGCAGGAGGAGCTGGTGGTGGTTCTGGAACTGGCACTGACCTTCTACTTTTCCTGACTTTCTTCATGGGCTTCTCAGGCTCTGGGGCAGGCGGCTCAGCGGGCTCAAACGCTGGCTCGGGCTCAGGCTCCGGCACATTGACAGGGGCAGGCTCGGGTTCAGGTTCGGGATCAAGCGCTCGCACGGATTCTGGAGCTGGCTCTGGTTCGGGTACAGGTTGGGGCTCAACCGCCTTAGCCTTCTTTTTCTTCTTTTCGACTTTGGGTGAGGGTACCGGCTCTGGTTCGGGTTCTGGTGCGGGTTCTGGTACGGGTTGCGGCTCAACAGCCTTAGCCTTCTTCTTTTTCTTTTCCGCTTTGGGTAGTAGTATGGGCGCTGGTTCAGGAGCTGGTTCTGGCTCAGGCTCAGCCGCAGGCACAACCTCTTCTAGTGGCGCGGGCTCCGGCGCAGGTTCTGGCTCTGCTGGTAGTTCGGGTGCCGGAGGCTCTGGAGCAGGCGGCTGAGGCTCGGGAACAACAGTCTTTGCTTTCTTTTTGTCTTTCTTCTTGACCTTTTTGGACAATACTACTGGCTCAGGCTCGACTTCTGGCTGCCTTTCTGGTTCTGGTTCAGGTTGAGGCTCCGGCTCCGGCTCCGGCTGTATTTCCGGCTCTGCTGGTGGTTCTGGGGCAGGAGGTGGGAGGTCATCGAATTCGTCGTCAAAAGCGTCTGGAAAGCTTCCTGGTACGGTGTCTCGTAAGATCCTTCTCTCTATGACCGGTTCGGGTTCGGGTTCTGGCTCCGGCGCAGGCTCCTGCGGAGGCTCCCAAGGATCCTCTGCTGGTGGCGGCACCTCCTTCGCCTTTGATTTTTCTGCCGACTTTCCCTTGGACTTTTCTTTCTTTTTCTCTTCAAGGGCCTTAATGCGCTCTGCGACAGAGTTCTTGGTTGATGACTTGGTCTTTGAGGTGACAACAGGTGTCTTTGTTGGCGGCGCGGATGGCTGAGGTTCTGCGACTTCTGCGACTGGCGCGTCAGCCGCGTCAGCCGCACCAGCCTCTCTCGGCACATCCCCTACGTCAATAAGCAGATCATCCTCGGGCTGGGGCTCCGGCTCTTTCATTTGCTCGGCGGATTTTGGCTTGTCTGCCGACTTCTTTTTAGTGGCCTTAGGCATTCCCATCGCAGCTGCTCCAAAGCTTGCCCAGAACCCTCTGGCTGGCTTCGACGGCTTTTCTTCCGTAACAAAACTCTTCTCTTTGGAAAGCCCTGTGCTAAAGTCATCCCAGAGAGGCTCCTCTGGTATACTGTCAAACGCGTCGGGTTCAGGCGATAATCCCAGAGAAGGTGGAGTAGGCGCCGGTGGTGGAGGTTCCTTACTCTTCTTGGACTTCTTCTTATCCTTTGGAGGAGCCCAGATGCCCCAACTATCGTCAACTGGTTCTTCGGTAATCGGTTCAGGAATTACCTCTGGCTCTGCGGCTTCCTGAGGAACGGGTTCAGGGATGGGTTCTGGCTCTGGTTCTTGTATAGGTTCCTCTGCTACAGGTACCACTTGTGGTGGCCACTCGAAATCTTTACCAGGAATAGGTAACCCTTTCTTAATTAATGATTTTTCTCGCTTCTTTCGATCCTTGGAGGAGAGAGAATCCCAGTTATTGTAGAGTGGGTCATCTGGCAATGATGGAGTAGCCTGGGGTTCCGGTTGTGGTTCTGGTTCAGGCTCAGCTTGAGGCTCGAGCTCTTCAGGAAGGGGTTCAGGAACGGGCTCCGGTTCTGGTTCTGGCTCTAGCTCCGGTACTGGATCTCGCATGGGCTCCTCCACCAGTGGCTCCGGCGGCGGAGGGGGTGGCCAGTCGAAATCCTTACCTGGAATAGGCAGACCCTTCTTTATCAGCGATTTCTCGCGCTTTTTCCGGTCCTTCGATGAGAGGTCGTCCCAGTTATTATAAAGTGGGTCATCTGGCAGTGATGGAGCCTTGGGTGCTGGTTCCGGTTCTGGCTCTGGTTCCGGTTCAAATTCAGCTTGAGGCTCGGGCTCGGGCTCGGGCTCGGGAGTAGGTTCAGGTTCAGGTTCAACTACCGGCTCTGGTTCTGGGACTGGCTCTTGCACAGGCTCTTCCACCACTGGCTTTGGTGGTGGAGGTGGTGGCCAGTCAAAATCCTTACCAGGCACTGGCAGACCCTTCTTTATGAGCGATTTCTCACGCTTTTTCTTATCTTTCGCCGAGAGGTCGTCCCAGTTATTATAGAGTGGGTCATCTGGGAGTGATGGAGCCTTGGGTGCTGGTTCCGGTTCAAACTCAGTTTGAGGCTCAGGCTCAGGCTCAGGTTCAGGTTCAGGTTCCGGTTCAAGTACTGGTTCTGGCTCTGGCTCTGGCTCTGGCTCGTACACGGGTTCTTCTACCACAGGCTCTGGCGGTGGAGCTGGTGGCCAGTCGAAGTCCTTGCCAGGAATTGGTAGACCCTTTTTCATCAACGATTTCTCACGCTTCTTCCGATCCTTAGATGAAAGATCGTCCCAATTGTTGTAGAGAGGATCGTCCGGTAGTTTAGCTTCGGGCACAGGTTGTGCGGGCTCAGGCTCAGGTTCAGGTTCAGGCTCAAGTACTGGCTCCGGTTCTGGTTCTGGCTCAGGCTCCACCACTGGTTCAGGTACTTCTTCTACTATTGGTTCTGCTGCTGGCTCCTCTAATACAGGCTCTGGTGGCGGAGGCGGAGGCCATGGGAAATCCTTACCAGGAACTGGGAGGCCTTTCTTAATCAATGACTTCTCGCGCTTTTTTCGGTCCTTGGATGAAAGACCATCCCAATTATTGTAGAGTGGGTCGTCTGGCAGTTTAGCTTCGGGCGCAGGCTGTGGTTCTGGCTCAGCTACTGGCTCCGGTTCGGGTGTTGGCTCTGGTTCGGGTGCAGCCGCAGGTTCCGGTTCTGGCTCAACGACAGGTTCTGGCTCTGGTTGGTGTTCCGGCTCTGGAACTGGCTCCTCCGCTGCAGGTGCAGGTGCAGGTGCAGGTGCAGGTGGTGGCCACTCAAAATCTTTCCCGGGAATTGGGAGGCCTTTCTTCATCAAAGACTTCTCGCGTTTCTTCCTATCTTTTGATGAAAGATTGTCCCAGTTGTTATAGAGTGCGTCATCTGGCAGCTTAGCTTCAGACGCTGGTGCTGGCTCTGGTTCTGCTGCGGGCTCTGGCTCTGGGGCCGGCTCCGGTTCAGGTTCAGCTGGTGGCTCGGGCTCAGGCTCGGGCGTTGGTTCAGGCTCAGGTTCCGGTTGGTGTTCTGGCTCGGGCTCTTCGACAGGCGCGGCTGGCGCACGCGGTGGCCATTCAATGTCCTTGCCAGGTACAGGAAGACCTTTCTTGACCAGAGACTTCTCTCGTTTCTTTCGGTCTTTCGATGATAGCGTGTCCCAGTTATTGTAGAGTGGGTCATCAGGCAGCTTAGGCTCTGGTGCAGGTTCTGGTGCAGGCTTCGGTTCGGGCTCGGGTTCAAGCACTGGCTCGGGCTCGGGCTCTGCTGTACCTTTACCCTTCTTTTTCTTCTCCTTCGTAGGGACATTCCAGCCTGTCCAGTCATCCTCCTCCTTTTTCTCTTCATGAATGGGCTCCGGCGGTGGATCTGCGACTACTGGGGGAGCCTCCACTACTGGTTCCAACTCCTCGAGAATAGCACCATTCTTCTTTTTCTTATCTTTCTTCTTAGTTGAGACGTCCCAGCCCCAATTATCGTCATCAGCCATTTCCGGCTCTGGTTCGGTCTTCTTTTTAGTATCCAGCAAGCCCCAGTCATCCTTCTTTTCAGGTGTCCCGATATCTCCATTGCTAGGACCAGGAGGACCTCCAAAACCAAAGCCAAATCCAACTGAAGCATTCAAAGGATCAGCCGAACCAAATGACCACGGGTTGGTATTCTGTGCCTTGTCCCCGTTCATGCCACCAAGAGAGTCGAGACCCCATTTACTCCCCGTATTCCAACTCTTATCCCATCCGCCAAACCCCATGCCCCCACCAGTAGATTTTCCTCCAAGGGGGTCTAGGCTTAGGTTTGGTGGAGATGCATTGCCACCTAAATTAATATCCAGAAAAGAATTGGAGGGGGGGTCGGTGTCAATCAGAGTAGCACCCTATGAAGGAATTAGTGATGATACTCTAAATCAACGGGGAATCGTACTTGGTCCTTCTTTTTGTTCTTCTTCTTTGCTGCCGGAGCAAAGTCTGCCCACGAATCATCGCCATTTCCACTACCATCGTTTGCCCAGCTAAGATCATTGCTATTAGCATTAGCTGCTGCTTCGGCTGCTGCCGCTTCTTCTGCGGCCTTTTTCTCCTCTTCTTCCTCTTTTTTCTTCTTCTTGTCCTTTTTCTTGCTGGCTGTATTCCATGCATCTCCCCAATCATCGTCGTCTCCGCCATCACCGCCACCTCCATCACCATCGTTGCCCCCATCCCCATCTCCCGATCCACCTGCATTGCTTCCGCCGTCCCCACCACTCTGCTTTTCATCGGGGGGTGGGCTTTTATCACCATCGTCATTCGGCGGCGGAGTACTCTGTTGTGCTGCGGCTTGCTTTGCTTTCTTCTTCTTGCCTGCCCCCTTATGTTCTCGTATACCAAACGGATGGTCTAGATTGACCAGAGGGGACTTAGATCTAGCTGTCGGATCTTTTGTTCCTATCGAGGGCGTGCATCCACCACACAAGTTTTTCTGCTTGGCCAACGGCGCAAGCGTAGAGTAATCGGGAGGCAAGTCTTTGATAGCATCGTCATAGGATGGAGGGGGTTGATCGTAGGGGCGAGGGTCTGGCGTATGGAGCTCTATCTCGAGAGCCAGGGCTGTTTTAGAAAATCGCCCATTGTGTCTGGGTATTCGTGACTGGACCGGGGATTCGTGTTTCTGCTCATTGCCGACTAAACAATAATGGGAGTATAGAGGCTTCTCGGAGCCGACTTCGAGTCCATCATGGCGAACAATGCGCATACTTTCCATACTGGGGTAACGGACCAGTGTTTGCACGGCGGTCGACTCAACTATGCGAGGCGCATGGATATCAAGAACTTCCGGCCTCAATTGAGGCTGCCGCTGGTTCCAGAAGAATATTGAAGTTCTGGGTTAAATCGTTCGGAACGTCGCAGCAACAGACTGCGTAAATGGCGGGGACAAAGAATGAAAGGGAGAAAAAAAAAAAAAAAAATAAAAGGACTAAGATGAAAAGTTTCCACTAGAATATAATGCTTGTAACCAGAGCTGGTCACACGATGCAAATGTTAGCGCGATCGGTATACCAACGGATAACCAACTAGATTTGCGACAAAAGCCGTGGACAATCAGAGAGCACACGGCATTAGACGGCGTGTTTGAGGTGAAAAGGAAAGGGTATGCAGAGATGGAAGAAAGAGTTCAGCAGTAGGAAGAAACAGGGAGCGAAAAAGAGGTCATAGAGCTCATGACCACGAGGCGGTGGGAAAAAAGGAAAGGAAAGCAATGTTGCTGGAGATCAGTCCCTGGATCACAGATAGGATTGGGCGAATGGGTATGTGATGGACAGCTAGGAATGTGAACTAGTTTTGGTACATACATCAGCAAGTCAGCGGCGGTTGCGCAGGGAAAAAAAAATTTTTTTCTCTGTTAATTTTAAGATTATACTTTATTACCTTGAAATAATAACCTGTGTTGCGCGTTGATCTGCGTGGTACGGAAGAATTGTATGCGATAGTATCTTTGATCCCCGACGGGTCAGATAGTAAAACGGTGGCTGGGCGGATGAGCCAACCAAACCCAGTCCAAGTGGTCAAGAAAGCTTCTAACTGAATTTGGAGCATTAAAATTCGCAATTATTTTCAGTCATAGACCAGCTGGTTGAACAAGGAGCAAAGGAAAAAAAGGATGCAAGGTGAGAAGTCACGCAGGCACAGGCCACTTACACACGCGGTAGGATTGCGCGCAGAGACCGGGGGAATGTGAGTCGACGGTCCTATCGATAAAGATTCCACCCCTCCTTCTCGGCGGATATAATGGACACTGGTGTACAACGAACAACAAATGGTGGTGAAAGCGCTGACACTCAAGTGCGATCTAGATTAGGTATATATGTTTCTTTTATGCCTTAATGGTCAGTAGGATATGTACATTAAGCAGTTCGAGTCACTCCCATTGCATCGTACATACATACGGCGTACCTTCGGATAGAGCGTTTGTTGTCCCATTTAAAGTGGGGTTCCCAAGGGAACAACAGATCAGTCCCTAGTGTTCCGGTCCAAGGAAGCTAAAAGTAGAGATGATCGGTTCCGTGGTTCACCTCGGGGAGGTTGGAGGATTGCACAGGAACTCCTCTACCTTATTCCCTGGTAGGAGGAGGAACTGTTATACCAATTCAATGATTGGTCCCGGTCAAAGATGTAGATGGAAGGGAATATTGAAATCCCAATATCCTGCAGCAAACAATTCTCAACAAAAAAGAATTCAGGCGTGTTATGACCTCGCATTGAAGAAGTAAAAGAGACTACTAAGAGAAACTACCCTTACTGAGTCAAGTGTAGCACCTTACTAAAACTGCTAAAACCGAGTAAATTGGACTCAGGCTACGAGGCAACAACCAGGGACCAACGATCAAAACAATGGAGGAGATTTACTAACAATCGCTCACCTGTGAAACAACCACTGCACAATTATGGAGCCAAAGGTCTTCGGGCAGCAGGAGACCAATTCCGTACAGTCTTCGAAAAGCAGCGAGAACCTCGGGTAAGGAGAAAAGCGTTGAGGTACTTCGAACGAAAGATTCTACCGCTATCGGTGTTCTTCACCGCAACAAAGGCGAAGATCCACCGTGAGCCTATGAGAACGCACGTTCACGATGGAGCCCTTTCCCCCCATTTTCGTCTTACGTCTCCTGATGAAGGATTGCCGGTTCTGAGGCAGGGTGATCCGTCGTTGCTTCTTTTAGTTTTGACAGTTGTCAAACTCTACTGCAGGCTATCGCGCTTCGCCCGAGTGCCTGACTCCATACTCATTTCTGATACTCAAAGGAATCCCATGACAGAGGACGCTAACCGTATCCGTAGATGGGTGCCTTAGTCCTCGTCGGGAGACGGTGCCTTACCGCATGTGTTGTCGTCCCTCTTGGCAGCGTCATAGGACGTACATGTACATACATCATGTCCCTCAATGCCCATTGCCAGTGAGTGACTCATGAATATCCTCGGAGTTATGCATCTCTCTGGCCCATAATTCATGCAGAACCTCGATGACTCACGGGTACCTGTCTGTAAGAGTCTAATATAAACACATCAGTAGGACCCATCCCCTTCCCGATGCAGTAAACAGATGGGGTAGAAACCCGTGGAATGCAGATTATATATCTCCCAAGTATACCCGACTGCAGCCCCAACAATACATGCCAAACTTGCTCCCTCTCGTAATCAAAGTCGTCTAGACCCTACATGGACCGGAGATAAACCTACTTGCATGTCGGCCAAAGGACCACCGTGTCCAATGCAGCTGTTCCATCCACTACATCGATCCGTCATGAATAATCTGCTGTGTTACATAGTATGATGATAAATGCAAGTGACCAGGGAGTATCGAACCTCCGTCTATCACTGCATATGCAGAATCGAATCCAAGACCAGGAACAGCTCTGCTTGTGCAACGTCATCGTCTTCTTGAACTTGTCTTGGCCTTTGGATTATAGAGGCGACATTGTCTACTACAATATTCAATCTCAACTCTGTTGATGAACTGACCAGAGCGGAGACGTCCTGGATTGAAACAAACACAGCAGCGTACGAGCATGAGTGAGAACTGGCCTGCAATTCGTGGTATAATGATATTGGTAGCAACACTTGAACTCAGCACATCACAACTTAAATAGAATACAAGGTAACCAAAAAACCTTGAACACCTGAGACACAAACAGACGAAAGAAGGATGATGGTAGGAAGGCACACCAATCGAATTCACCAGAGAAATCGATCATCTCCAATCACTTATCCAGATTCGAAGATCACCGCAGTCCCTTAGGCTAAAGCAAAAGTTTACGAACTTTACTTTTATAAACTCTTACTCGGGGGACTTTCGCAGCTTAGGTGCCTCCTCGCCGTATACCTCTTGGTACTGGCGGTCATAACGTTCTCTGTCGGCGAGGTGAAGCTTGTAGTATTTCTGGTCTATGTTAGCGTCATCCACGTAGGTGTATCATCTTCACAAGGGAGTGGCAGGTGTACCTCTTTCTCAGATTCCGTCAAGCCTTTCCATTCCTCTGCGACCCGTGCACCAATGTCCTTGACGGTCATGTGCTTGAAGTCGCCCTGACCGGTGCGTTCAAGGTAGAAGAAGACATAAGAAGAGGAAGGACGCTTAACCAATCGGTCATCGCGAAGAAGGGGATACTTCTTTTTCGTGAGTTTTGTCAATCTGTTACGTGCGAGATTTGCTTCCTTGATCTGAAGTGGTGTGTGGGATTTGATCCATTGGTCGTATGCAGCTTCATTAGCGTTTCTGTTGGACTCTGCAATCGCATTGAGGCGCTGTCATATGTAGTCAGTGATTTATACACAGCCACAATCTATTGGAGTGCCAGACGAACCTCTCGCTCTTCCTCACTGATTGTCCTGCCAAGCTCACTAGCAGCTTTAAATGCCTCTTGCGGGGTCTTGTGTGTCTTCAGTGTTTCTTGAAGCTTTTGCATAATGATCAAATTAGCCACGCGTTCAGGCAGTTTCTTTGGTGCCTGCAGCGCAGTAACTTTGAGGGCTTTAATATGATCCTTGAGCTTCTGTGCCTTCTTGGCCTCCTTCTTGGCCTCCTTTTGCTCCTCCGTCAATGGCTTTCTTGGCTTCGGTTTGGGTTTGGGCTTCGTTGAGCTCTTCTTGGTCTTTGTTTTCTTGGTCCCCTGTTCGCTCTTGGTGGTTTTGGCAGGTTTTGTCTTCTCGCTCTTGCTCTCAGTCGTGGTCGCGTAGGTCTTAAGTAGGCGCTGCGAGAGCACGCTGGTCGCCGAAGGTGCCCTGGAAATTGGGCGCAAAGTCTTACCGCGCGTAATCAAGGAAATACGCCTGATGTGACTCTGGGAAACAGCTACATGGATAGGACGAGAGAATGCATCGCTAAGATGCAGGTTCCGGAGGATGGCTCCTCCACGCCGAGCTAGATTCAAAGGCATGATTCAAAACAATGCGAGGAAACTAACTAACTGCAATTGGGAATAGAGCCAACAATGTAGCATGTAAGTGCTACTAAACAAAGACAGGAGAGCACAAACTCCAAGACAGTAGGAGTTTCTGCTGCAGGGACCTAAGCTGCCAGAGCTCTAAGACGAATGCGGGAGAGGTTGGAGTCGCGTCAGTGGTAGCTTGGGGGGTAGCCCGAAATAGGAAGGTACAAACACGTGATCGTAGCTACGTGCTATCAGCTATCACTTCACGTGATAGATAGGACGGGCTTTTGGGTTGAGGATAAGGTACACCTGAAAAAAGCATAGATGGAGAACCGTATCTCCGCGCTTCGGAAGCCGCCAAACCTCGCCACCGCGCTCAATCCGACCTTTACTGATTCTATAACAACAGAGCCTTGCTTTTAATGGAAGGGTGATAATTGCTCTGATACTTACTTCGCGTACTCGAATTCCTTTGAGCTTCAGTAAAACTCACTCATCGCTGGCCTGCAACAATGGCTCGCCACGGGGATACTCGCTCACCATCACCTGTAGGCAGCACATATTCTTCGTCCAGACGGAGTCGCAGAGATGATGATCGCTATGAGAGGAGTAGACGAGACGATGGGCGGAGCTACCGAAGATCTCGCAGCCCTGAGGTATGTCAATCCAATACTCCAACGCTATCCTTATCTTTCTAATCTCTACCCTCAGAAGCGATTCCGTGACCGTGAACGTGAACGTGACCGTGATTCATATCGTAGACGTGACCGCTCGCTAGACAGACGCGCCGATTACCGTGATGAAGATACGTACAGACCAAGTCGACGGGATCGTTCCCGCGATCGACGTCGGTCAAGAGATAGAGATGATGATCGGGATTACCGTCGCAGGAGTCGCGATAGAGACTTTCGAAGCAGGCGAGATGACTCCCGCGACAGGGCTCGGAGACGGACAGATGATTCTGCTGACTTGAAACACAAGTCTAGACGGGATGATAGCCGGGAGCGGGCCAGAGATTCCGTTCCCATTTCTCGAGAGGTAAGCGCATATGGTCCCCTTCAATTCCATAGCCGGGTTCTTATCAGCCGTTTCATTCCACAGACATCGAAGCCTTCGACGCCAGCGGCCAATACTGGTCCGACAGAAGACGAAAAGCGAGCCGAAAGGCTGGCCAAGCTCGAAGCTTGGAAGCAAAAGCAAGCCGCCGAGAAGGAACGCAAACAGCGAGAAGCGGCCGCAGCTGGTGGGACCAGAAGCATCTTGGAAGAGATCGACAGAAAGTCAGGTTTATCACCAGCTGTTGGGTCCCCCCAGTCTCCCGCGACGCCCATTGATGCTGCCCCAGCCGCGTATGCTGGAAAGTTTGACCCGAAGGCGATTGCAAAGAATGCCGCACCGGCGCCAGCTGTGAAGTCTGTGCTGGGGGATGATATTGCTGTTCCGCCGTCCGCTAAGACATCTGCTACCTTCCCTTCCACAAAGACACAGGTTCAAGCTAACAAACCTCCTGCTTCTACAAGCAAAGCTTCATGTATGTCTCAGCCTTTTGCTCATTCTAACTTAGAATCCACTAACACGACATGTGCAGCTTTGAAAGTAAAGGGAAACGTGGGGAAGTTCGGTTTTGGAACCAAGCAGGCCACAGATACTGAGAAAGCGTCAGCGACGAAGACTCTAGGTTTTGGCGAAGAAGAATCCACTCGGCGAAAGTTGGAGCGATTGCCGACTCCTCCGTTGGATGACACCAAAGACGCTAATAAGGAAGATGATGTGACAGTAGAAGAAGACGACGATGACGTCGACATGCAGGATGGTGACACTGAGGAGGAAAATGCAGCCGCCGCACGGGCGGCTGCAGAGAGGAGAGAAGAGCGACTACAGAATGAGGCCCGTGATTCTCAATCAAATGGCGACGTACAGATGGGCGATGCGTCGAATCAACAAGCTCCCGACAAGATGGAAGTGGACGCACAAGAAGAGGAAGAAGTGGATCCCCTCGATGCCTTCATGTCTGAATTAGCAGAGTCTTCCCCTCCGAAAAAGACGATTGGCGCCAAGTTCGCGAAAGCCAAATCACAACAGCCCGAGGCTCTCTTTGGAGACGAGAATGATATGGACATGACCGCTGTTGGTGACGGCGATGCAGATGATTTCCTTGCTATTGCTAACAAGGCTAAAAAGAAGAAGGATATCCCAACTGTTGATCACAAGAAGGTGGAATACGAGCCTTTTCGCAAGAAGTTTTACACCGAGCCTTCTGACTTGGCAGCGATGTCCGAGGAAGAGGCTGCTAGTCTGCGGTTGGAGCTTGACGGCATTAAAGTCCGCGGTGTGGAGGTTCCAAGGCCAGTATCGAAATGGTCTCAGTGTGGTTTGGGTGTGCAAACCCTGGACGTGATCGATAGACTGGGCTATACTGCACCCACTTCGATCCAAGCGCAAGCCATCCCTGCTATTATGTCCGGCCGTGATGTGATCGGTGTAGCGAAGACTGGTTCGGGTAAAACGATTGCATTTTTGATCCCTATGTTTCGGCATATCAAGGATCAGCGTCCGTTGGAGAACATGGAAGGCCCCGTTGGTCTCATAATGACACCAACTCGTGAACTGGCAACTCAGATTCATAAAGATTGTAAACCGTTCTTAAAAGCTCTGAATCTTCGTGCAGTTTGTGCCTATGGTGGCGCTCCGATCAAAGACCAAATTGCTGACCTAAAGCGTGGCGCGGAGATTATTGTCTGCACACCTGGGCGTATGATTGATCTGCTAGCAGCGAATGCTGGTAGAGTTACAAACTTGCGCCGGGTCACATATGTGGTCCTGGACGAAGCTGATCGCATGTTCGATATGGGTTTTGAGCCCCAAGTCATGAAGATCTTGGCCAACGTCCGACCTGATAAACAGACTGTCTTGTTCTCTGCTACCTTCCCGCGGAATATGGAAGCATTGGCTCGTAAGACCTTGAACAAGCCCGTTGAAATCGTGGTTGGCGGTAGAAGCGTTGTTGCGCCTGAGATCACACAGATAGTGGAAGTGCGGAGTGAGGACAAGAAGTTCATCCGGCTTCTTGAGCTTCTGGGTAACCTGTACTCTAGCGATGAAAATGAAGACGCACGAGCGTTGATCTTCGTTGAACGTCAGGAGGGCGCCGATACACTACTTCGTGAGTTGATGCGTAAGGGTTATCCTTGCATGTCCATTCATGGAGGTAAGGATCAGATTGACCGTGACTCCACCATCGAAGACTTTAAAGCAGGTATCTTCCCGGTTTTGATTGCCACATCCGTTGCGGCCCGTGGTTTGGATGTGAAACAACTCAAACTCGTGGTGAATTATGATGCGCCGAACCACCTCGAAGACTATGTGCACCGTGCTGGACGAACTGGCCGAGCTGGTAATACTGGTACGGCGGTTACATTCCTGACAGAAGACCAGGAGCGGTACTCTGTTGATATTGCTAAGGCGTTGAAGCAGAGCGGACAGTCTGTGCCGGAGCCTGTGCAGAAGATGGTTGACTCCTTCTTAGAGAAGGTCAAAGCAGGTAAAGAAAAGGCCAGTGCGTCTGGGTTTGGTGGAAAAGGTCTGGAACGCCTTGATCAGGAGCGAGATGCTGCTCGTATGCGTGAGCGCAAGACCTACAAGACTGGCGACGAAGGCGAAGAAGAGGAAGAAAAGGATGAGAAGAATGAACAGGCCGAAGAACGGTTCAACAAGGCTCTCTCATCGGTTCAATCCGCCGCTGCGCCAAGCCTACCTGGCGTTCCCAAGGGTATTGATCTGGACGGCAAGATCACCGTGCACAAGACTGAAAAGGAGGCCAATGGTTCGAAGAACCCACTGGACAAGGTGGGCTCGGCAGTTGCTGATATTCACGCTCGTTTGAGCCGTGCTGGTGTGATGAGGTCTGGAGTGCCCATCGATAACCGCGGTCCTGATGCCGGAGCTTTCCATGCTACGCTCGAGATCAATGACTTTCCCCGTAAGTTTATACCCTGCTATTGAATTTTATCGTCGAGTCTAGTCCAGCTACTAATATGGTCTCACACAACAGAGAAAGCTCGGTGGGCTGTCACTAATCGTACGAACGTGGCTAAGATTCTCGAAGCCACAGGGACATCCATTACCACGAAAGGCAGTTTCTATGCCACTGGCAAGGAGCCAGGTCCCGGAGAGAACCCCAAACTGTATATCCTTGTTGAGGGTGAAACTGAGTTGTCTGTGACGAACGCCATGCGCGAGTTGATGCGGTTACTCAAGGAGGGAACCATCGCCGCTGCCGATAGTGACGCGAGGGCTCCGGTTGGAGGACGTTATAATGTGCTTTAAGTATCAGCGCATACATATAGCTGTATCATATCCCGAACATACAGAATCTTATTTTTGTGGAACGAATCGTACTCTCTCTTATAAGCTTGGGTATCATAGTCAAATTCCTCGACGGGTACTCTGTACCCGCGCCCACAATAAAGTCACGACACGCTAAAGATCACTGTAGTCAATCCAAACGCTCATTAACCGCCAAACTCCAAACGCAGAAACAAAAAGTCCGACACCGGCGATTCCCAGCCCAGAATCAAGCTGCAACCAAATAATCTATGCATCCATCACTCCCACCTTCTAGCTGAAGCAGCATTATCCGCATCCCTAGCAGCCCTTTCATCCCGACTAGCCTGACCCAACGTCTGTGCCTGTGTCTGGGCCTTTTGAGCTGCCAACTTTGACCCTAACTTGCCCTTGTTGCCCGCCGTAGTAGACTCGGCCCGTTTCTATACATCCCGCATTAGCACACAACCTCGCACCGCGACACAATACAGTTTTCTTGGAAAGGAAGAAGTAAACTCACCTGGGCCGCAATCGCTGCATTCGTCCGCGCATCAGCGGTATCCGCGCCCGCCCCTGGAGCCCCCGCGCCGCCCAGGGTCCTCCCCGTACTGGCCTTTGCGGGGAGCGGGGCGCGCGGACCGGAGCTGGATTTCCCTGTTGCTCCAGGGGGAGGATTGGCGGAGCCCAAGACACGACCGGGGCTGGAAAAGGCCTCGGGTTGGTTTTTGGAGCGGGAGCAAATGTTTCCCATTTCTCTGGTTTGGTTTGTCTTTGGAGTTAGGTGGATTGGTGAGAGGACGGGAAGGATTGATTGGGTTTAGTGGTGGTGATCGGCCATGCGGTGTATGTGTCTCGCTGTGTGACGGGTTCCAACAGAGCTGGTAGGCTCGATCGAGGTGATTGATATGTCAGATTGGGTAGATTTAGGTGTGGGGTAATGCGATTGAAGGTTGATCGAGCCGTTGAGATTGAAGAATGTACGGAGATAAGAAGTCATAAGGTTGTAGCCTACCGTTCGGGGACGACGATCTGGAGTAAGAACGGCAGGTGCACGTGGTTTGGGGCCCGCATGGTATTCGCATTCATCTGAACTCCGATACGGACGTAGACCGGGGCTCGATCCTCCCATATCAATTAATATAGACCATTATTACCAAAATTGTTATTGGAACGAGGAGGATTGTTTCTGGCAATATGTCTTCTATTACGAGCTTATCTTTGTTCAATGGATCCATGGTTATACGGCGTTTCATAAGACCATCGACGAACATCAGTGGGTTCCGTTCTGGGAAAAAAGTGGTGCCAGGGGAAGTGGGAAAGCTAGGAGCCTGATCTTACAGGCAATCTGCCTTTTCGTTTGCGTTTGCGTTTGTTTTTTCTTTTTCTTTTTTTCTTCTTCACCCCCCTCACACTTGACCCAATGAGGCAGTCACAGACTACTACTTATCCTACTCTGGACATACGCAGCAAACCTTTTTTCGAATGCCTGAAAAACTTGGTTTTCAGATAACAGAAACTTCGCAAATCTGGGCACGCTTATTCGCCAAGGGTAGGCGGGCAATGACGCCCTAACCCGCAGGGTACTCACGGCCGCTTTTCTCCCAAGGTCCTCAACCGCCGTCTGGATTTGGTGACTGAAACTTATGTGTGATAGAATCACCGCAAGGCGAATCATAACTCTATACTGAAGATCTCTTCATTTTATACATCTCAGAACGCTCCCAAGGTCCTCGCCCCCTCTGGTCCCTCATGCCCCAGGCGGTCAGTTTTTTTCGCTTCCAATTGCACCGGCCATTCCAGGCGATCGTGACGCACTGTGCATGGCTGGTTGAACCTGGTTGACAATCTCGGTTATATCCCGCGGATACTGCAACTGGCAAAGATTGCGATCTTTCTTATTGGTATGTGCTATACCTTCTGCTCGATCGCGTGGTGGCGATGTGGGCTAACGTTTGCGAAGTCTGGAGTGCTCAAGGACAAAGACCCCATACCTCCGAGTGATCTCCCCGCCTCACTCTTCTCTTCCTTTCTCTCCGGGTGGCACTCGCGTTTGACCCTTTGTGAACTCTGTTCCTGGATTCAAATTAAACGGTCTAATCTCTCTACCGGGTACCAGAAGACTGTCCGGACGTCAAGTGACGTCGGTTGGGTTTGCCGTGCATCATGGCTTCTCACACTAAAAAAGACGATTACTGCCTCGAGTGTCATTGGGAGTCCTTTCATATAGACGGGAAAGAGCCGGAGAGCCAGTCTGATGCCCCCGCAACATCTCAGTGGGATTGCTCAGGCGAGGGGCACGACGCCTCGCTCGATCACTGCCATGTCGACGACGCCTGCTGCGACATGGACGACTGCTCCATCACTTGTCCTTCGGTTTGTGACGGGCTCGTGGAGTGCGATGACACCGCATGCGCGGACACCCACTGCGATGATGGCTGTGACGATACGCACTGCGAGAACGCCGAGGCTCTTTGCTTTGATGAGCATTGCTTTGGTCACAGTGGTAACGATGCAACTGTTGCCGACCATACCCTTGAGTCTCTTCTAGGGCTAGCAGGCCCCATTAATTTGGAATCCAACGAGTTACTTTCGGCATGCACAATTGGACAATCGCAAGGAGAACAACTACCCAAAACAACGGGCAATGCCACTCCGGAGATGGTGGCTCCTCAGGCCTCTATGGACTCCCTCTTCCCTCAGCATTCCATCCCAGTCGCCCATTGCCACTCGCACAGTTTCCCTCACTTTCATTTCCATGACTCTTCTAAAGACGCTCACGGCAACATGATGCACCAACCGTTCCCGGTTCAGAACGGCGTTAATCCGGCAGATGTATTCCACATGTTGGGAATGTGTCCTGACCTTTCTGCCTGTCACAACTTTCATGTACACGAAAACACGAACTGCGACCATGTTAACAAACCGAATCCCGACGCTAATTCTAATTCATTCGCCTGTTTCCATATCCCGCCTAATGTTAATCTGAACGACCTCATGAAAAGTCCGGTACATATCCACAGTAACCCCCCGAGGGGCCCTTGCCGCACGCACCACCGATGTCGCACGCACACGCATGCTCATGTGCATCCGTACGGACATTATTCGCCATACTCCCGCCAGTCCCGGTCCAGCGTGAGCTCGCAATTGATATCCAGCCCGGGCGATACCCCTCCCCCTCTGGAGGGCGGGACACCGTCGGTGCTGACAAGCCCGATTACCCCGACCGAGAACGAAGTGCATATTTGCAAGTGGACCACTACGTCAAGTGGAGTGAAGACCATTTGCGGAGCAGAATTCTCTGATTCCTGTACTCTTCAGGAGCATCTGATCGCGCAACATATGTCAACCATCAATGGCGCCAAGGGAACCGGATATTACTGCTGCTGGGAGGGCTGCCACCGTCCGGATGAACCCTTCTCACAGAAGTCGAAATTACAAGGCCATTTCCTGACCCATAGCAACTGTAAGTCCTCACCCACCCTCATCACGGGCAGTGACTGACATACCAGGAAGACAAGAATTTCAAATGCTCGGTCTGTGGCAAATTCTTCGCTCGACAGGCAACGTTGGAACGCCATGAACGAAGCCACCGAGGGGAGAAGCCCTACAAGTGCTCTGAATGCGGGAAGGCTTTCACAGACAGCAGTGAACTGAGTATGTACAGTTATATGGTGTGAGATGACTCGTGCTGACCGAATAGAAACCCATTCACGGACGCACACCGGGGAGAAACCTTTCAAGTGTACCTTTCCCGGCTGTAATTTCCAGACCGGTGATGTGAGTGCCTAGTCTATCCACCACGTAAGGCAAGCCAACACTGACATAATTCTTACAGTCATCAAACATGTCTAGCCACCGCTTAAGTAGGTTACAGTCCATTTGTTGCCCGCTGTGATACTAACAGATACAGCACATGGTGAACGGAAACACAAATGTATTTACCCAGGATGCACCAAGAGCTTTACTCGACCTGGTAAGTGCCTTGAACACCTACTAACCTTCCCCATGCTGACCATGACAGACCAACTCAAGCGACACATGAAATCGACCCACAAACACGACAGTTCGACCATGATGTCGCCCGTTTCGGACCAGTTTACACTCTCTTTCCCCATCGTTTAGAGTTTGGAGTTCTCGGGCCCTATTATACCTATTTTACAACCTACAGTCACGGAGAATGGCGCGACCGGAGTTGGAATATATATCTAGTGGTCGGATTTACATTACATTCAGGACTATTCGCAGAACGGAAAATGAGATACCTAGGTTGGATATATGATGATTAACGAGCTGTCAGATGACGATTCGCCTATGTTACAAGCCATGTATAGTATGCATTTGCTATATCAGCAGAGGAAAAGCATCTCACGGAATAATGGCAACAATGCAATATCACGTTGTCGCCGTCGACCAATGGCAACAATCTACCATCTATTACCTCCCCAATTAAACCCACCAACTAAATTAGCAATTAATCATCCTTAGCCCTTTCCTCCAATGCCTCCACCGCATTCTCCAACTCCCTTAGCCGCTGCCCAACCCTCCTCTTGACCTCCGCGCGGACCTCAGGCTTGATATCCGCAGGATCAAAATACGTTGATACAATCTGACTACCGGAATCATCCGGCTGCGTCTGCTGTGTCTGCTGCGACTCGTCATACGAGGGCATCTCGGTCGTATAGAGCGCAAACACCGCGCTCAGCTGATTCAATGCGTCGCGCGCCGACTCCCGGTCCGAGGCCGCGTAGATGGTCGTGCCGTTTGTGCTGTCGGTTGCGATTTCGAATTCGTCTTTAGCAGTTTCGTAGCTTTTGTCTGAATTAGTATGACGTCCTATTTAAGACTGGAGATGGGATTAGGGGGGGGGGGATACAGCTCTTGGAGTTCTTCGACCATCAAGTCAGCTTGGCTTTTGCCGCTGGAGGTTTGAGTTGACCGCCGTCTTGTTTGTGTTGGGAATTGGGGACGGGAAAGCGAGGGAGGCTTGGTTGTAGTGATCATGACTGGTGAAAGGTGTTTTGGAAGCCATGTTGATAGTGGTCGGAGGTTGCGGATGGGAGTTGGGGCGATGGTCCGCGAAGGGCGGAGGAAACGGAGGGAGGATGTGCGCAGGGGAGGCATTGTTGGTGTCTTCTTGCTTTCTCAGTTAGAGAGTTGGGTTTTCTGCTGTTGAGATGGAATTGAGTCGATGGGGATGGTTGAATTGCAGTAGAGAGTGGAGAAAGAGTTGGAGATGAATGGGGGTAATGGAATGTCCGAGGGATGACGTCGGTACTTGACTAATGTATTCATGTGCATTCCTTGCCCTACTTTCAGGACATGAATACATATACACTTAAAACAAACCAAACCAAACGAAACCAAACACTCTAATTCTATACCAATTGCTCATAAGAAACATCAAACATAAATCAGAGACCCATTTTCATGCCCCCATTGGCACACACCACACTCCCCGTACACCACAGCCCATCCTGCGTACACAACATCCCCACTACCCCCGCAATCTCACTAGTAAAGGCCGGCCGTCTACCGCCCATCTTCTCCCTAATCAGATACCGCTGCTCATCTGTCAAGCTGTTCATCTTCTCATCGCCCTCCACCACCTTACTCAACGGCGTATTATCCATAAACCCTTGCATCTGCTGCCAAAACGCCTCCCCAGTAGCAAAATACATATCCCCAATCACCGGCCCCGGGTTCACCGCATTGACTGTCGCCCGATCCGCCAACTCCCTCGCCCAAGTGCGCGTCATCGCCTCCAACGCCGCCTTCGTGCCCCCATACACCGTCTGGCCCGTGAACCCGATGCTACTCGACACGCTGGAGATATTGACAATGCGCCCGCTGCGATCCGTAGGCAAGAACGGCGCCACCGCCTGCGTCAGCAGCAGCGGAGCCAGCACGTTGATGGTGTAATGCCAGTTGAAGTACTCGCGGTCCATGGGGCCCTTCTCCTCGTCGTTGAGGAAGCGGTCCTTGCTCACGCCCGCGTTGTTGATTAGGATGTCGACTTGGAGGGAGCCCCCCGTCGTGAAGTTGTCCTTAGCGGCCTGGAGGATCGTGGCGGTTGCTTCTTCGGTGTGGAACAGGTCGGCCTGCACACAGACGCATTTTATGGAGTGTTGGCTTGCGAGCTCCGTGCAGAGGTTCTCGGTCCGCGATTGGGAGCTCGCGGACGTGTAGTTGAGTAGTAGGGAGCAGCCTTTTGAGGCGAGGTTGCGCGCGATCGCTTCGCCGATTCCTGGGTTTTCGTTAGTTGAGCGAGGGGTGGGTTGTAGGGACGACTTGGAGCTTACCCCGCGAACCGCCGGTGACGATGCCGAATTTGCCTTCTAGGGGTCTGGACATTATGTGTGTTGTGTTTTGTAGAGGTAGGTGTGTACTTGTCTAGGTGTCTGTAGATGTAGACGCAAGTTCCCCAGATATAGACTATATAGATACAAACTTTTAATACTTGGATCACGCGCCAGACACGACGAGTCTGGTTTATATAGTCCAGATCGCATACCCAGTACCTCGCCGTTTAAATACAAATCTAATTTATCCGCTTCCTACCGATTTGCCCGCGCAATGGGTCCTTGAAGGGTTTCTTGTGGATCGTGGTGGCATTCAGTATCTCCACCGTCGGAAATTTACCCTTTTGGGTTCCGGTGGTACGTCGTTATCTTATCGTCACATTGTCTATACTGTATGTACATCTTCACCACAGCATGATCCGACTGAGAACCAAACTAACAGTGGAATTGCGGTGCTGAAATCTTTACCGTGAGGAGGACTGTTATAGAAAGCTTGTGTGGTAAGTCATTCAATTCTCAGATGCATCAAAATTAACATAATCTCAGTCGGATAGGCGTATCGATACAACATCTAGCCCTAAAAGCCTGCGAGTATTTCTATCTACATCTGCAAAAAAGATGTCATGTCATAATCATAATCATGCCTTGACCAGCGTCGCAACACTGCTCGCGCGGAAATCCCGGCTGCTAAACCCAGCCTTGAAGGTGAAAGCCCCAGCCGGAACACGCCAGTCCTGGGCAACAACATCCCAGTAACTGACATCCCGACGCATCAAGTCAAACGAGACGGTCTTGGCCTCACCAGCCTCGAGCCAGATCTTGTCGAATCCACGCAGCTGGCTTGGCGGGGTTCCAGCCGGCGTGGAAGGAGGGAATTGAACGTACAGCTGGGGTACAGCGAAACCATCCACATTCCCGGTATTGGACACCTCCACCTGCAGGGTATAGACCGTTTCCCAGAGCGCGGGGTTACCGCCTGGCTCGGTGGGCCGCTTAGCTGGGAGAGCGGTCAGATTGGCCGCGACAGAGCCCTTGGGTTTGAGGTCTTTCAGGTCGAAGGTAGTGTAGCTCAGGCCGAAGCCGAACTCGTAGCGCACGGAGATGTTGTGCGCGTCAAAGTACCGATACCCGACTTCGAGCTCTTCGTCGAACCAGCTCTGCCAGTCGTAGGTCCCGTTGGTCTGCACGGCTGTGGTCAAGGGCGCGTTGTAGTCCGACTCGTTGTAGGCGATCACGTACGGCAATTTGGCTGAGGGGTTCACGTCGCCGTAGAGGACGTCCGCAATGGTGTTTCCGGTCTCCTCGCCGGCGTAATGCTGGGCCAGGATGGCGGTGACGTTGGGATGGTCGGCGAAGGGCATAACGTTCGCGCCGCCGGAGTTCGTGATCACAATGGTGTTGTTGCAGTGGGTGGCAACGGCCTCCACGACGGCGTTTCCGTTCCAGTCGAGCTCCAACGAGGTCCGATCTTCTCCTTCCGCGGAGAAGGACTTGAGGAAGACAAGGCAGACGTCGGGCTGCTGGGGGATCCAGAGGGGGGAGGTCAGTGCCGTCGTGGTGAGTAGGGTGTTGTTCAGATAGGACTGGACCAGGGAGCCATCCTTGCGGGCCCGAGCATTGATAGCGTCAAGAGGAGTTGACAGGTATGAAAACCTGCAGGAACCAGAGCCTGAGGAGCCTGCGAGGACACCATACTCGAAGTCGCCCGAAAGGTTGGGACCTTGCGTGAGAGGCCCGGCGTCGTTTCCGGCAATCACAATGTTCCGGGGCTTGCGGAGGGGCAACGCGTTGCGTTCGTTCTTGAGCAGAACCGTCGACTGGGCTCCATGCTCGCGAATCATGGCGCTGTGGTTTGCCCGAACGTCACGGTTGGTGGCACCGGTGAACTTCCAGTCATACAGCCAGGTGTCGAGGGCTGAGTCGACATTGAGAGGGCCGACGGAAGCGTCCACGCTGGGGTAATTCTTCTCCTGACCAAGCCAGAAATAAGGAGTCATAATGCGCACGATCATGTCGTCCAGACGGAACATTGGAACAGTGCCATTTTGCACAGCTTCAGTGAGGTTCTTGCCGAAAAAGGATCCTTCGGTCCAAAGCTCACCATAGAGGGTGAATCCGCCGGGCATGGTCATGTCCATTCCACTTTCAATAGATGCTACCCCACTGTGGGTCGCGCCCCAGTCAGACATGACATATCCCTGGAAGCCAAGCTCGCCCTTAAGAAGGTGGTTGAGAAGGTAGGAGTTCTGACATGAGTGAGAGCCATTCAGCCGGTTGTACGAGCACATGGCACTAGCCACCCGGGCACGAACGGCGTTTGCGAACGGCCACATATAGATCTCGTGCAGAGTACGGTCATCGATGTTGGCAGAGACGGAGTCCTGAATATAGGTGGTCTCGTTGGCATCCGGAGCATATGTGGGGTTGCGCTGCGTCTCTTGCTCGTTGGCAATGAAATGCTTTGCGTTTGCTTGCACACCCGCATCTTGCATACCGTTGATCGTCTCCTCCATGCAGACTCCGGTGAGGTAAGGGTCAGCAGCGAAGCCCTCCCAGGTACGACCATCATAGGGACTGCGGCCCAGAGGTCCTCCGATGGGGCCCAAGATGACATGGGAGCCTTTTGCTTTGTGCTCCTCCGCCAATGCATACGCTCTGTCATACAGCAACTTGCGGTCCCAGCTTGCGGCGGCTGAAACGCTGCTGACGAAGACACTGGAGTACTCTCCCTGCTGCACGCATTGAGGTCCATTCTGGAGGCAGATGCCGCTGAAGTTGAGACGTGGAATAGGGAGAACATTGCCAACGCAGGGACCGGGCTGGCCTGTTGCCATCCAGGCCTTCTCTTCTAGCGTGAGCTTGTTCACCCATTGTTTGGCCTTCACCAAAGCTGTTTCCCAGCCACCATTGCCGGTAGTGTTTGCTGTGTAGTGTCAGGCCAGAAGTCGACAGCTCCCACCTATTGACAGACAAGGGTTACTTACGTGAAGGGTAAACAGGCGGAGAGTGACCATAAGGACTCAGGATAGTGGTGTTAAGAGGCTGAACGTAGCTGAAAGGCTCTCCTTTGTGGTTAATCGGTGCCTGGCAGGTATCGGCTACCACCGAAGGAGCTGAGAGAAGCACCAACGCTCCAAACAGAGTTTGTGGTGACAACATGACGGGATGTCGAGGTTCTTGGATTCAGTCAAGACTCAGAAGGACATGGCTTCTCTCTTAAATGTCTTTATTTGAGGTATTTCTTCGAACATCCCACCCCGGAGATACCCCAGAGGGGCCCCGGAGGGCTCACGGATCCACTCGTGGGGTGTTCTGTTGCTAGGAGCCGAGTATGATTGACTTTCAAGAATGACTAGCAACTAATGTTATGTCATGAATCATGACCGGGTTCGTTAGCATGTCTAGTACGGGCGTCAGCCGAGCGGCGAGCCACCCCACAGCCGAGTAGTTCATAAATTTCCCGGTACTGACTATATGACGGTATAGTCGGACGTCCGATTACATCCTCGGAGTGGTGGATCGGGTAAGACGGCTTTGTTGCCGGCCGATAGAGGAGCCTAAAAATGGCTTTGACATCGGCGAGTCACCGACATCTCGGTTACCACAACAGGGAGTCAGTTCCCGCGAGCTTCGTCGGTATACCGAGCAGTCATCATGTTCATTGTACCCCGTTACATAGACACCGCTATATATCATCGACGAATCCCTAGTCATCAACAATTCTGTAAAGCTACCCTTTAAAACAAATCGACAAAGAAATGCTCATATTGTGACACAGGCCCTGTCCCGGGACAACTTCTGGTAAACAACCCCACACTTTCCCATTCCTCCTCCACAGTTTTGCCCATCGTTATATCCGGGACTCCACGGGGCAGCGCTAAAGAATGCCGTGTTGGGAAAGTGTGGAAATGCTTGTCGTGCTTGTCTTCATACCCTCCAATCATCGTGTCTGACAGTGGGGAGCCGATAAATGCTTGGCCTTGCCAATTCACAATTGGCTTGTTGACCCATGGACGGGCATCCATCGGGTTTGGTCTGTGAGGAATTAAATGTAGCCGAAGCCGAACTTGTAGTGCACGGAGATGTGCGCGTCCAAGTACCGGTGTAGCCGTCTTCGGGTTCTTTTGTTGAACTACTAGTAGCTCTGCTAGTGGTTGGTCTGCACGGCGGTGGCTGTACATTACACGACTCTCGCTCTGTTTGTGGTGAATATATGTCTTCTGTCTTGCCACTGTGTTGAGTAGTATATAGTCTTAATTACGCTAAAACTGGTTCAACTCCATATATAAAGGTTCTAAGGACTTGATCATAATAAATTAGATTAGAATACAAAGGCACTTCATTTGACAATGAAGCGATATCAAGTATAAACGCGATAGATAGATGTTTGGATCAATTGTGTAAATGCGGCTATTCACATTCTACTACACTCACGCTATCACCAGTTCATCCACCGTGAGTGTCGTCCAGCGCAATAGGCATTTCTGCAAGTTATGAGGTGTCTCGTTGAGAAATTTTCGTCCATCCCTAAAGCGCTCTTTATACTCGGTGTCAAGCTCCGCATCCAAGAATTCATGTTCTGGATCTACTTCGCAGGGTGGATCTTGGGTAAGGGGAGTAGGCAGGTCCGATGATTCCCTGATGCACTTAGCAAAACGCCCTCTTAGAAGGAGGATACGGGGACATACAGTGTGAGGCGGTCAATCAACTCCTCTTTTAACCCTGACTCCGTATCAACAGTGAGAGACGGTTTTCTAGGTGTGCCTTCCCGGGTTTGGACATCTGAATCAGACTCTCCATCCGTCGTTGGAGTCTGGCTATCAGTTGACGGGATTGCAAAAAGGCCATCATCCGAGTCGTCCTCGGAATTTTTTTGTGGCTTTGATTGTACTGGCATTTCTTAACAATGTTATTAGACACCGCAACGACGCGATAAAAGGCGAGACACTTGCCTGCAAAGTCAAAATCCGGGCCTTTCCAAACAGCCCCTGTTTTATCGTCATCAGATGTCCACGACTCGCCAGCTGCGCTTGCCATATTGCTACCTGAACCGGGTTGACCTGCTGATCTCCTGTACTTTTCCTTGAGAGAATTGACCTTCCTTAGGGTCGATGATGCGCTACGGGTGGGTGGAGCCCTGCGAGGTAGGGGATTGACATAGGATTCTATGTTATCTCCATCGGGTGATATCCGAGAATCGAAATCAATAACGCCGCTTCGCCTGGAATCAATGTCTGAAAGTAGAGGGGTAGGCCCTTTTCTGCGATAGTTCCGTTGTTTCCGCTCGAAGTTATGTTGATGTTCTTGAGCCCTATATAGGAGATCATCTGAGGTGAGTTCGTCCTGATCAGACTGGTCACAGACGGTGCCCACGGACGATGCTTTGGCTGGATCCTGCGATACATTCCGGCCTTGTCTAGATGTAGCTATCTGCGAGGAGGAAGGTGTCGCCGGTGAGTTGGCATGCCAGTCATTAGCTTCTCCCGGTTTCGTCCCCATAAAGTAGTGTTGAACTGCCGTTGGTGACGATGCTGAAAGCGCCTCTGGGAGTGATATCCCATGGCCCACAGAGTTTGACGGTGCACAACGTGTATTACGGTCCACCGATGAGTCACGCACAAGCAACTTTAGTGAACCACCAGTATCTGCTTTCTTTGTCTTGAAAAACGCCAGACTGGCATCACTCAGCTGCTCGTTATGCTCCGATTGACCCGGCTCCGTCAGGAATATCTCGACAGTATTAGGGTTACGGATACCGACACTTTGGCAGATTGAAGCGCGCAGAGTCTGGGCAGAGTCTATATCCGTGATATCAACCGGACGATAGTCCAATTTGTTCAAGGTAAACAGTGCCCACTTCTTCCCCTTATCCATGGATTCAGACCGAGGGGAGAGCTGCTTGCCGTTTGAAACGAATGCATCTCGGGGACCATCACATAGTGACAAATCAACATCGCTGAACTCTTCTCCCGCATAGAGATGGGGAGGACGGTTTGGCCATCTGTTCACTGGGCTGGTTGGCGACTCCAGAAATTGCTCTTCGGGCGGTGGATAAGTAGGGTCTGCTTCTTTCTTCTTCTTTCTCCAAAAACGAAAGAATTGGCTTTGGGAAGAGTCGGATGACGGGTTGTCGCCGCTGGGATGGTGTACATGTGTCTCTTGTGGCGATAGACGCACGTTATCTTGCTTATCTGATTCATAATCCTGTCGATCTATAGCAGGCTCCGAGCTGTTGTACCGCGGGCGCTTATATATCAAGTCTGCAGTTGACGATGGTTCCTGACCAACCTGAGTTCCTTGTTGCGCATCATGACGTGTGGCCGGCGACAGAATTGGGGGGTACTGATCATTATTATCGTTAGATGAAGCTACACGAGTAGGGTAGTAGCCTTGTGGTTGATAGTTTGGTGGTCGCTGTCTCTCTCCCGTTGGTGCGCACCCCCGGCTTTCATTCGTAAGGGCAGTATGCGAGTTGAACTCTGGTATTCCATAGCTCCCACCGAAAGTACCACCTTGAGGGACCCAGGTTGCGCTTCTCGTCTGGGGCCCTGGAGGTCGAAGTCGCTCTGCAAGTAGAGGTGGAGGTGGAGGTGGAGGTATCCATTTGAGCGATTCTTTCCGCCATGTCTCATATCCAATGCTCTGGTGTGCAGAGGTCGTCACATTGGAGGGCCCATATCCTGTACCTGGTGGGAATCGGGGTGGGGGAGGCATTATCGGGACATATGATTGAGCAGGTAGGGCAGTTGTGGGCATATTGGGGGTATACTGCCGCACTTGACCATTCATTCTCCCACCGTCTGTGGTAGTTGGATAAGACGGAGCTCTAGAAGGTGTGCTGATACCGGGGGGATCATTTGATATCAAGTCGAAGAATGGGTCTTGGAAGTACTGGGAGACCTTATCTCCGTACCTTCGACTTAGAACTAGCTTTTCAGCAATATGCACATTCACTATGCCATTCCGGATTCTGCGATAGCGGTACTTGTGAAGGCAGTCCTGCGCTGCATCAATATCATGCAATATGGCCTTTACCACATGATAATATCCTTGAAGTTCGTCGCAGTGCTGTACGGCTCTGCCAAGCCGATCGTACCTCTCATTTGCGTTATCTTCTTCTACAAGCGTAGTGATTAGTTTGCGCTGCGCAAGAAGCGCTCGACCCTTTTCTCGTCTGCCTCGGTCACTCAGCAAGTGAAACAAGAATAGGTCAACGGCCAGCCTTACCTGCGAAGTTGTCCGGCATATATGATGACATTGAGCATCAGGAGCATTGTCGACTTCATCTTCTCCAGGTTACTTCTCAGAACCGTCAAGTTGGAGTCCCGTCGAGCTTCGGCAAGCACAAAGGCGATTCGGCGGAAGCTCGACCTGGTCGAAACGTCAATTATCTCGTTTATCTCATCGAAAACCTTCTGGCATTCGTCCAGTACCGTCTCCGCGGTACTACACGCCTCCGCAGAGTACAAATGTGCATCTTTGTCTTCCTTGAGGCTGGCACCCAGCTGACGCATGACGTTGCAGGTAAGCGCAACCTCTTTTGAGAGGCCATTGATGACCGTATCCGCATGTCTCGTCCTGTGACAGAGGGTGCAGAGCTTCACAGACACACGAGAGCCAAGCTCAGCAACTTGAAGGGCTGCTGCAACCACGCCTAATATTTCTATCCCGGACATCACGACGCCCTCGATTCAGCATTGGAACTTGCACCATTAGTTTTGTTTAGTTGGACTTGCGGAACTGATTCACCTTGGTCTTGGAAGAAAGCAGTTAGAGGAAGAGTAAGACAGAGCTGTAAAGGACGTGCCTGATGCGGCCGATCTGCTTCAGTAGCTCGAGCATTTAAATTACATAAATCCGCGGTACTAAGTATCTGTGCCCCGCAAGGCTGACTGCAACAGTGCGGTTTGGAGCACAGCCGCATGCCATGCCTCTTTTGATATCATCTCCGCGCTCTAGTAACGTAATTTCCGGGGTGAGTTCCACCCCACTTGACTTTTCAAGTGAAGCCATTCAAAACACTATTATATTACCCTGACATAGAGAAATGCGGGGTTCTCTCGGGTTGGACCGTGCATAACGTTTGGACCCTGTGCATCACACTCGGGCGGGGGCGCGCTTTGGGGCTGGTTCAGCAACGTCAGGGTCAACGTGGTCCATGGATAGACCTCGACATAGCCCGGGGTGCCCAAATGTACATATGTTGTTACATGAAGGTTCCAACAGGTCAAGGGTACTCTCTGGCCAACATCAACCACCAATTCTGCTATGGAATACAACAAACAACAAATAAACTAGGTATCGATCGCACACAAAAGCACCAAGATCACCACATTGGTTTTATCAATTTCTCTTCCATCGTCCTCACGGTCCTATCTCTGTCCAGCCCAAAATTGAAAGAAGAAGAAGACGAACTACACCGGACCAGAGCGTCCTCGTCCATTCCGCGAAATATAGACTCAGCGCGCTGCATAAACCGAGCTTGATGTGCCTCTGCCAGGAACTCATCTCGATGTTGTTGAAACTTTGACAAAGAAACATCGTACCGAAAGTCGAAGGGCTTGATCAAGCTCTCTGGTATCAACGAGCGAAAACGTTCCCGCTTCCGAGACATCGCTTGCATTGCACGCGCACAGCATAGTAATGTCCTCACGTAGAGGAGTGAAATCTTCTGATGAACGCGGGGGGTGGTAAAAATAGAGGTGGAGCACTCTCGTATCTTCGGGTCACCAAAGTCCCCTATACTGTGGAACATGTCTGCCACCTTTTGCAGATAAATCGGCGACCTTGAGGCAGCCTGGACTTACATCAGCTCAGAGTTCAGCTAGAGCAAAGAAACGTTGTCCTCACTGTCAGCAAGTGCTTCAAACACCCCCAAACTAAAGCCGAGGGCTGTTGTTCCTGGGGTGTGAGGCCAGTATCGAGAAAAGAAGCGAAATATTCCATCGAAAGCAGACAGGGCCCTGCCTTTACTAAAAAGCTGGATTGCTGGCTACAGGCCTTAGACGCCAGCAGCAACACATCGCTCGCCTTTGCTGTACTGCCTTTGCATTTTTGGTTGCTGGCGCTGTTGAATTCGTTCAACGCTTCCCGTAATGTAAAAGATGAATGTGCTTTCTTTTGACGGTTGGGTTTCATTTTCAATGACAGACAACGGCACTATCTGGAGGTGGAGTTCCCCATCGATGTAATACATGCCATTGGATGGCACCCCATAGGTGAAGGTGGGGGAATTATGCATGGGAAATGATGCCAGTGAGGCAAACCAGGAGCAGGGGGTTTCATAATAAGGAATATCGCTTCATGGACTGTCCAGAACTGGTCGGTTACCTGCGATACGAGCCGAATCATCGGGCGAGGCTACGAACAAATCAGAATCAGAAACTGGCGGCGATCTGCAAGCACATACCACGTTCTCCGCATTTTACAGCCGACAGTCAGGGCGCTGTTTGACTAACCTCAACAATCTTCTACATATCAAACCGGATGTTCATCGTTATGTCCGGGGCATACCGTGTTGGGAAGTGTAAAAGGCTTGTGCTTGTCTCGCAACCCTCCAATAATCATATCTGTGAGGGAGTTGATAAATGCTTAGCCTTATCAATTCACGATTAGTTGCTGACCCATGGATGGCATCCATATTGATCTATGATGCAATAAAGGTAGCTGAAGCCGTAGCATCAGTCTTGTCTGTACCCTTGCCTGTAGCGGCTACATACAATATGCATCACTCTGACACCAAGACCAAAAAAAAAGACATACTAAACATTAACCTGCAACTTCTTAAACGCCGCCGCATTCTCCTGGATCGCCATCTCCACCGGCAATCTCTCCATACTACTCGCACCATAGAACCCATGCACACCCTTGGTCCTCTTCAACACATACTCCGCATCCTTCGGCCCGGCCAACGGCCCCCCATGACACAGCACAATAACCTCCGGATTAATCTTGACAACCGCATCCCGAATCTCCTGGATCACGGTCACGCAGTCATCCAAGGACAGCGCCGTCTGCGCACCGATCGTCCCGGACGTGGTCAACCCCACGTGGACAACGATGATGTCGGCGCCGGCGCGCGCCATGCGCTCACCTTCATCCACGGTAAAGGCGTACGGCGTCGTGACGAGGTCCATCTCGTGTGCGATCCGAATCATCTCCACCTCCCGGTCGTAGCCCATGCCAGTTTCCTCGAGGTTCTGGCGGAACTTGCCGTCGATGAGGCCTACTGTGGGGAAATTCTGGACGCCGATGAAGCCGAGCCGGCGAAGTTCGGCGAGGAACGTACGCATGTCGCGGAAGGGGTCGGTGCCGCAAACGCCGGCAAGAACGGGGGTGTTTTCGACGATGGGGAGGACTTCGGAGGCCTTTCATATTCATTGCGTTAGTAGTGTCGATATTGTGTAGTGCTTATTGTTGGGACCCAGTAAAAGATGGGTATGTAATGGTGTGTGTATATAATTTGCAAAAGGTATATATAAATAAAAGATAGTACCATTTCAACAACAACCTGATTGGCATCAGAATATGGCATCATCCCCGCCAGCGATCCTCGTCCGGCCATGCGGAACCGACCCGAGTTATAGACAAGGATGAGGTCGGCGCCACCTTTTTCGATGAACTTGGCGGTTAGGCCAATCCCTGCAGATTTAGTCTATTAGCATAGTGGCAATCTATATAGTTCTACTTAGAATATCAGAAGAATTGATTACCTGCGCCAGCGCCGACAATGATCTTCCCATCCGCGATAGTTTTGCGGAGACGGTCGAGCACTTCTTGCCGGGTGGTTGGGCGGGGCATTCTGCTTGGTTTGGCTGTCTTGAGAGATTTATAGTGTTGTTTTCTGGGTTCGAGATGTCTGTGAGGGAGGCCAATGCTGGTTTGTTAGAGAGGAAGAGGAGGGAATTGATTGTGGTGTGATGGTGACGCTAAATAAACAACTCATTCTCAACCCCACCTTCGTTGCGACGTCATGTTTTTTTTCAATCCTATCTTATCGATGTTTTGCACTACGTACAAATGTACTGTATACCAACGAAGCTTGTAAATAAAAATATATACGGTTCATAAAGGACTTGTGTTATTGGGGTCATGAAGGGCAGTCTGATAGTTTGATTTGGGACTTGAATTTAATCTAGCTTGTTCAGAGAGGGTTATGATGGGGGATATATATTTACAGCGTAACTTTCTTGGAATGTACATATTGGATATCGTTGCCAACAGCGGTAGCATCCGTAGAAGTCTCATAGATATTTGGATACTTTCTGACTATATCTTTATAGCCTCAATGTTCAAAAAGTCTGGTCGACAAGGGGAACAACTGTCCAGAACTGTATCCAGATGACAAGTCAGAATCAGAATCTCAGACCCACAGAACATGAACACCTATGGCATGCGCCATCTATCTACTATAAAAGTACTAGGAGAAGATATATGGCACTTGTCCTCGCTCCGATCAACTCCTCCTCTAGATCGTAGGATGTGACGGTGTTGAAAGAAATAGGCAACCTTCTAGGGCTAATGTTGGTGCCTGAGGTATACACTGACATTGTACTGATCCGGCAGCCCATACAACTTCACCAGACCTTTCACTGAGTAACAAAAGTACAAGCTACCTACAGACAACGGTGGCAACTTGGCAAAATATATGGAAGAGTCAGGGTCTGTTTGTGGTAGTCTCCGTGTATCAGCAACGAGGGATATACCATTTTCTCATTACCCTACTTCATTATCAACATCATTATCAATATTAGTCCCGTAGCCTTTATTCAGTACTCTTTGTAAAGTTCTGAGACGAAATGAATCGCCGTCCACTTGTTCCTACCCGACTACCATGGAGGGCTACCTACTGAAGGACGCTAAAGAGAATAGAAAGATGGTCACGCACGCAGTTACACAGACCAGGCAAAGGTATGACTAGGGTGGGCCCAATATTTAGACCCTGGGAGAGCAGCCTGTGGAGTTTTACGGAAGTTCAGATTTTCAAGTCCCAACCTCATTTTCATCGAGATCAGAATCAACAACCAGGACAGCTATTTGACCGAGAAAAAAGTGCCAATAGTCTTCCAGGTCATGTATATTGGCTGTATATGACTTTCAGAATTTTTTTTCTCGACATTTTGGGCGGGAAAATGGCTCCAAAAGCACGCACTGCGGACCTTCCCAACATCCAAAAAAATTTAAATAAAAAATAAGAAAAAAAGAAATGCATGATGCGTGATAATTTTCATGCTGGACTGTCTGCTTTTTTCTCAAAAATATCTTTTCCAGTGTGGATGGTGGAGGGCAGGCGTCCATCGAGCCATGGCTATAAAGACACTCGTTCTCTCTCTTTCTTCGTCTCTTGATCTCGACTATCAACTTAGTGGTCGCTGATTCAAAGACACTGCCATCATAAAACCAAAACAGTCAAGATCTTCGAGAAGTTCGCTATCCTAGCTCATCTTCTATCAGTATGTGCTTCGTTTGGGGCTGTCGTTCTTAGTGCAAGTGCAACTAACCTGTTCTTAGGACATTAGAGCCGGAAGATCCATCCGACGTTACAATGTCTCAGATCCGATCGACTGGAATCAAGAGTCCCATCTATGAACAGACACCCAAGAGTGCCCCTGTTTCGGCTGGCCGGCAAACCTTCCCGACATCAGGAGCTCTTGGGCCTCAGACCTGGACTCATCCCGATTCTTTAAGAGACGATTCCCCGAGCAGCAATTCGGATGTTACCAGATTGCTCGGTGGTGATGATATTGCATCCATTCCGCTCAATGGTGATACCTATTACACCGTCTCAACCCCCTGTTCCTTGCGCGTGGTGAACATTATCACCTTCCACGCACAATTCTCTCATGACTTGTACCGCTTCTTCATGTACCGACTGTTGAAGCATTTGCGGAGTGAAATGGACACGCTGAGGTCCTTCTTTGATTGGATCTGGCCAATCGACACCCAGCATCGTTCTTTGCAGCCAGTCCAGGAACCAATGGGCCTTGACACACCTCGGATTTCCCTCGGACACCTCTTTTCCGAAGCCATCTACGGCAACGACGTCGACATCCCACTGTACTATTTCAACATTGTACAAGGCAGGGATAACGCGGTCAAAGTAGTCATCACCACGTCGAAGACCGGGGCTGCAGGTGCAGCATACTATCAGGCTGTTTGTGGATTTTCAACCGTGGCGATCTTCGCCATCTGTCAGAGAGCATTGAGAAGATGTCGAGAGGCAGATTCTATCTTATTCAGGAGAGCTCTGACCGTGACTGAGGCGAACGAATTTCTTGACAAGGATCCAGTGTGGGTAGGGCTGATCTTCTAATCGACACTGGAGTTTGGTATCTTGATAGATTCATGAGAGGAAACGAGGCTATACTCAGGGTGAGGGAGTGATCCCCCCCACCCAAGGAGCAGGAATTTATGAAGATGGCCGTCGTCTTTGCATTTTTATATGTGGCCTGGTTCCTTCTGCGCTTCTTAGGGCTTCTGGTTTCTTTTCGTCGAATGGCTCTATCAGCGCTTAGATTTGGAATGTTCTTAGAACAGGTTGCCACAACCACCGCAATATAATCTTTGTTTCGTGTTTTGAGTACCCTTAGTCTTCGTAGTATCATCAAGTACATAGTTCAAGGGCCTTTACACCCATATCTGCAGCTATATGCAGCCCCTGCATGCCACAGCCTCTTACATCAATAAGGGATAACCCCGCACATGATCCAACTCACCTCCATCTCCATTATTGATTTTCCTTCCAACAAAACACCAAGACTCGATACCATCAAAGAATCTCGTCTCAAGACCTATCACTAGCAACAATGCAGCTACTCCTACCCATTCTCTTCCTGGTACAAATCCCAACACCAAATAAAAACAGACCAAACTAACCAACCCACAGTGTACAACCGTCTCCATTATCCTGGGCGCGTACGTCATCCCATCCCCTCCAAAATAAAACCACTAACAAACAAACCCAAACAGCATCGCCTGGGCGAGAACCACAACGCTCTACCTCCCGCTGCCAGTTTCCCTCTCAGCAACAACGACAATCCTACCCATCCTAACCCCGATCCTCCTCTTCCTCGCCAAATTCCTCTCCAACCCACCCACAACAGGCACCAACACCCCGACCTTCCGGAACCGCTTCGTCGCCTCTGTAATCTCCTACCTCCTCACAATCCTCCCCTCCGGCCTCGCCACTCTGGCCCTAACCTACCTCTTCGCCCCGGACCTCCTCGTTTGCCAACTCAACAACCAATGGCAATCCTACTACCACAACAAGGATTCGCGCGCCATACGCGCCATCCAGGATAGCTTGCACTGCTGTGGATTCCGGAGTGTCAAGGACAGGGCATGGCCGTTCAAGGACAAAAGCCACGGCGACGATGCCTGTGTGCGGCAGATCGGGTATGACAGGGCCTGTTTGGGACCGTGGGAGCGGGAGGATAAGAGCGCCGCGTGGATGGTGTTCTGGGCTGCAGTTTTGGTTTTGGTTGTTAACGTATGTCCGATCTTCATTTATCCCAGTCTGTCTTGGCTCTTCTGGTACAAATTGGCTATGGTGTCACAGACTGACTGTTACAGATTGCGAGCTCGCAGCTGAATCGCGGCCCGAGTTGGATGCGGAGGGCGGATGCGAGTCGCTTTATTAGGATTGCTGGTGCAGAGGACCAGGAGGAGGGTGAGGCGCATGCAGGGGAGAATGGAAACGTGGGTGATGATCGGCCTACTCATCAGTTGCCCCAGCCAGGTCAGTCGACGCATGATGTTTGGAGATGATGCATACTGTACTTGACAGGCTGCTCTGATAGTATGTGATTTGGATGTGAGATGGTTAGTTGATGCTTTCGGGTTATTTTGTTGGGGAGGATTGCGAGCTGTCTACGGCCTTTTGGCGTAAATTGGAAGTCTAGTTGAAAAGTTGATATGTGGCGTTTGGGACGCGGCGTTCGTACTGTCTGATTTGAGTATTTAGTCAATTTAAAAATGCACATGAAGGGACTACTATTCATCTAGAATACCACCCATAAGAGGATAGCATCCCAAGTCGTATAAGGGAGTTCAATCATTCATTATACTACACATATTCCTTATCGCTCTTCCAAATCACTCTCAGAAAGCATAAGAACATTCTCCTTAGTATGCTAACGGAAGGACATGAAGCATGAGTCTCATATCCCGCAGTATTTCACTAGAACCCTAATACAGATATTTGAACCGACCATCGCTAGAACCAGTATAGAAGCTTAGACAATCAGGATAGTCACAGAACGAAGCACCCCAGACCACGAAAATCCAGAGCCCACCCAGTTCCCCTTGACACCATGAACAAGTCCAAACTCGCTGAGCGATTGACCTGGGGCAAATGCGACGTCGATCTCTTGACTCGCTAGTGGGGAATGGGGATTCGGGTCCGCAGCCCTCCGAACACCAACGCCTTCACCATCGGGGGACGGATGTAGCGTATTTGAATTATAGGGGATTAATAGTCGCTTGATATTGATTTACTAATTGAAGGACCGGTGTATGGTGTGAATCAAATTAAGGAATTCGTCAGCCAGGGCTGGTGATTAGAAATGCTTCGTCCTATTACATATTCGACTTCACACGCGTATCTATATAAGGTGCGAACTTCATAGCAGTTCATGGTTTCGATCCCTGTTTGATAGCGATATTGAGATTTTATTAATCAATTTCACACTATGGAATCCCGTTCCCTCCTTGTTAACTTGACAATAGCCTCATTTTCCCACTCGGCTGCATATGACAGCGGTGTTCGACCATAACAATCCACGGATTCCAAGTTGACACCCCAGTCGACCAGTAGCTTGATAATCCTTATGCATAAAATGCGACGATATCATGAGGTTGGTAAATTTTCCAGTAGAAAGGTTGTGTTTGCCCCTTCAAAAAATTGTGAACCATGCAGACCAGCTCCTTGACTCTGGAGTACATATTCTCAAAGTAGAAGAAAATAAATCAGCACAGGTGCTCTCACTCGCCTCGCGGTAATGGGTACCCCAATTTTTGGCCGATTAATCTAGGAATGTATATTCATTGAGGAGCTCGCCATCATCTATGCCTGCAACTGTGGAGGTTGAGTCGTTATTAAGAAAGTCAAGATACAACACACAGGCTTCTGCAAGAATGCTATGTGCGTCACAGTTGGTGATAGAGTGTTGCCAACATGAGTCCCGAGGGATAGCTGTGGTTGCAAGTAGGAATTCTCGAGCGGTTTGGTGAATAAAATACACCTGATCATGGTGGACAGACACAAATAACCCACGCCAATTTCTCAGCCGTGTCGTGAAGGCCTTGTCTTCTACATCAAGATCATGAATTGACATTGATGTCCTATCAACGTTCAATGCGACGTTCATCTCTGAAACAGATAATGGCCGGCTCGCTGCCAAAATCATACTTAATGCCCGCCGAATCATCGGTTCTTGCTGGTGTGACTTGGTCAGGATCTGCTCATATGCCCCGTAGATAGTGGTGGGCAGGTCAGCCATCATGCCATCGAGACCGTTGGGTGTTTTCTTGAATTGTTGATTTTTTAAGCAGTCGAACACAAGATATACGCAAAGGTAGGTACGGTGCGGGATGCCGCAAGTCGGATTTGAGCCCGGGAGCTTTGCAGAAGACACGGATCCGTGACAACAAGATATGGCAATAAGATACTATATATAGTTTAAACAGAATAAGTTTCGATATTAATTTATAACCCTCTAAAGATAGAAGACTAGCAGAATACTACTATTACAGACCGTCGATTTGTAGTATTGATCTGTCAAGATCGACCGACTGGTCTTCTTCCCATACAGGGAGGTAGTCTCTCATCAATCGGAGATTTATCGAGGACAGATTTCCCATACCCGGGTCTGCTGATACCATTAATGGCCCGGAATCCTGGTGTAGCCAATGCCGGAAATGATCGTTGTTGAGAAACCATTCGCAGGTGCCCCCGACTCGCATGTCCACACAATCCTTGTACCACTAATATATGGTGTCGTGGGCTGTAGAGGTGAAAGGGAATAAATAAAGACAGTCTAGTGACCTTTCAGACAACTTCTTCAAGATGTCATTTCCCTGTATATCGAGCTGTGTCTGTGCAATGTTCCTGTGGTCTTCTGTGACGTCTTGGAAACCTACCATAATTGCCTCTGTTAGTATTAACCTATAGGACGACCATTTCACTGGGTTAGGCGAACCAGATAGAATGTTGTCAATCCTCCTCTCGGCCTCGATCTTGTTCGGTGTGATCCGAGCCAGCAAATCTTTGGCGTATGCAGCCGCCACCATTGCTGCATACCCTTGCCAGTCTTCATTGTTGTGCGAGTCAGCGTAATCGCATATGCCCCGAATCACTAGACAGGGAAAACTATTCATGAGACCTGCGGCCTCCCTTTCAAAACAGAGAACATCTTTTTCCACCGCCAACTTATCTCGAATTGAAGCATCCGCCATCAACTGGTTGGCAGAAGCAATCAGGCCGTAGTGGATGGCAGGATTATCGTCATATTCAGTCCGCTCGCGTCGCATAACTAAATTGGAGGGACTGCTCGCACAAAATTGGTCGCAGCCTCTTGAGTCGTGAACGATTTCGGATTTGAATAGCCGATCAGTGATTGGTTGTGGTCGTTCATACTCTCGCCGTAGCCGTGGGTTCCTGTCGATAATTCTATTGACAGCCTCGGCAAGCTGATGTCCTTTCCTTTTATAGTGTGCTTGGATCCCTGATATCGCGGTGCGTAGTGTAGTTGGGGGCTGGTTCAAGAACCGTATATGCTCAAAGCTCTGGGCCTGTATCGACTTGCCAAAGTCGTACTGGAACACACCACCCTCACCATTACGAGCTGCACTGACTACAACATCGCCCAGACGGATGTCATGTTTCTCACTTGGTACCCCACTACCAATGCCGACCATAAGCCCGATCCTGACGTTCGGGAAGCTGTTCAACATGTTCGCTGCCACACTGGCCGCAGAAGCTGTTCCATGCTCACCATCCGGCAAAACGGCAATCACGACGTTGTGTTTCCCAATTTTGCCCAACGTGTAGTCGTTCGGATCATTCGGTGACACAAATGTCGGTCCTTCGTGCTCCTCATCGAGAATTTCTTGTGCAGCAATGTATTCAGTGGCCAAGGAACAAATCCAGCCGACAATGTATTTCTCAGGGTCGGACATTCTGGCTGGTTAAGAGGAATCAGAGTCAGGGTAATCGTTGTATTGCTTGGTGTATGTTTCAAGCTCTTCACGATAGAGGGTCGAGCTGCTGCTTTTTTTCTTTCGAATTTTTGTCGTCTGGTCTGTAAGGGACGAAGGCTTGAGCTAAAGAGATAGCGTATTGCAGTAACAAAACATAGTAGGATGGTCAAGAGTAAATGAAATAACAGAGACGGGAGACCGAGAATTCAGCTGCTGTGGTTCCTTTCTCTATGCAACAGACTCGTGGTGTCAGCCTGACGCGGGGTAGTTTAAAAGGTTTTCGACACACGTAGGGAAGCAGCGTCCCTGACAGAAGTCGTCATTGACACGGGATATGATTTATAGGCAAGTATCATTTGAACAATTATTGAAACCTCTTCTTAAGATCTGTGCTACACTATTTGTATCCGAAAGTGAATGATAATAGAGAGGAACCTTCCAGTATCAAGAATGTGAATCTATTATTACAATTGGTAATTTTGGATTCTAGAGGGTAGATCATTAACCTATATTTTCTTTAATATATCAATTTTGGTTAAAGCCTTTAATAACAGTGATACATTATTTATTAGTTTATCTACTAGAGATACAGCTAAAGCAGCAAATCGAAAGGTTATAGATACTCTGTAGAATATTGCACTACAGTATACAGACTTCAGAACGTTCATCAAGGATATAAAAGTTCTCTGTACTGCATAGCACCCAATATCTTTCAATCTGGGAGTACTCATATTCCTCTGGTACCTCAGCAAACCCATACATAGTTCTCATTCTAACAACGTCTACGGCGTAAGCTTGTGTTCTAGAAGAGCACTTGCATTGATGCCTATGAAATTACTTGGCCTGGTATTCCCATGGCCACTTGCACATACGCAAATCACATCGACAGGGGTCATGCTGCAATACCTTTCGCACAAAATATGTGATTAGAATGGAGCGGCAAAACACACCTATAACTCTCTTTTGAATACCCAGGGCATCGGCAGCGGACCTCGAATTATAACACTCCTATTGGAAGAATGTGGAGCTTCGGTAGTTATGACACCAGTAATGAGAGAAAATCAGTCGAAAACTGTGTCTGTCAGGCAAGTTGAGTAGTCGTCAGCAACAAGGGTCTGGTGTGTCTCCAATCTTAATGGCCCCCGATAATCATTGTTCCACAATGCCCACGGGCCTTGACAATATTACATTCTCCAACTGCTGCAAGCGCACAGAAAAGGTCTCGAACAACTTCATTGTCACAATGGGTCTCTGCCGGTGACAGACGATTGGTAGTCACAAACCTGGGTCTTCTCAACTTAAGGTACAGTATATAAATAGAACAGATGGCATTTGTGAAAGTTCCCAATAGTAAAACTTAGCCTTGTCTTATACAATGAAGTGGCTTTATACCTTGTATTGTGTTGTATGGTGTCACAGTAACTGTGGTAGTACACCCTTCTGTAGAGCATTGTAGTACGCTTACTTTATAGCTTAGACTTAGTTATCATGGCCAATGCAGAGCATACTAGTCTAATAAACCTTACACCCACTGGGGACACGCTTATCAAAGCCTGCTAACTAGCTAGTTCAGTTACTTTATGTCCATCTCTCAATCATCCATCCATGTCATGGTATAGTGCTAGACAGGTATATCACTAATCAAACCACTCTCCACTCCTGTATCTGCACGATGATACCACCAATGCGACGTCACCCCACCGAACAACACATCAATCACTCAATTTGACACGCAGGTTAACAAGGCCCAGGCAGAGCTTACTATATTTTAATTTTATAATATTAATATTTTTATTACATTATAGTTTTGTTCCTTAAGTCAGTCAATCTAATAAACACAATATTCCACCTGCATAAACACCACCTACTACCACCACCTACACTACACCCCCTCACCCCACTTATACTTCCACCACCTATACAAAACAATCACTACACTCCCACCACCATCAACACAGTTAATCCTATCCAACCCCAAAATGCCAAACCCCCCCACAATCCTCCTCCTAGGCACCTTCGACACCAAAACCCCCGAACTAACCTACACTTACCAAACACTCCTCTCCCAGTCCCCTCAACCAAACATCCTAGTCCTCGACGTCAGCCGCCAACCCCCAACACCAAACCCCAAAATCGCAATCAACTACACAATCCCGCAACACGATCTCCCCGCCCCCCGAGCTCAATACATAAAAGCCGCCTCCGAGCACGCGACCACCATTGTCGCCGACCTGTACCAGGGACACAAAATCCATGGCATAATTTCACTCGGCGGGTCATGCGGGACGAACATCGCGACGGCGGCGATGCGGAATGCGCTTCCCGTTGGGTTCCCGAAGCTGATGGTGTCGACGATGGCGAGCGGGGATGTGCAGCCGTACGTCGAGGAGACGGATGTGACGATGATGTATAGCGTTGTGGATATTGCGGGGCGGAATTGGATCCTCGAGGGGATCTTGCGGAATGCTGCGTGTGCGATCTTGGGGATGGCGGCTGGGTATCTTCATTCTTCTTCTTTGTCTGGGGGATTAAGTGATGGTGGTGGGGGGTCTGGGGAGAGGAAGAAGATTAGGGTGGGGATTACGATGTTTGGGGTGACGACGCCTGGGGTGGATTGCGTTCGGGCGCGGTTGGAAGATGTCTACGGGTTTGAGGTGTATGTGTTTCATGCGACGGGGGCGGGGGGCAAGGCGATGGAGAGGCTGGTGCGGGAGGGGCTGTTGGATGCGGTGGTGGATTTGACGACGAGTGAGGTCGTCGATGAGGTTATGGGGGGTGTGCTTTCTGCTGGACCGCAGCGGTTGGTGGCTGCTGCGAGGGCGGGCATTCCGCAGGTGGTCAGTGTGGGCGCGTGTGATATGGTGAATTTCGGGCCCCGGGATACTCTCCCCGAGCGGTATGAGGGTCGGTTGATCTATGAGCATAATCCGACGGTCACGTTGGTGAGGCCGAATGCTGAGGAGACGGTGGAGGTGGCGAGGTTTATCGCGGACAAGTTGAGGACTAGTGCTGCGAAGCCGGACTTGATTCGTTTGGTACTTCCGACGGGCGGGATTAGTATGATTGATACGCCTGGGCAGCCGTTTTATGACTCCGACGTGGATGAGGTGTTGTTTTCTACGTTGGAGAAGGAGCTGGATGGGAGTGGGATCTCCATCGTCAGGGTTCCGAGAGCTATCAACGATCCCGAGTTTGCGGTCAGCGTGGCGGATATGCTGGGGGATTTGGTCAAATCATTGTAAATCGTATGAGAATGGGTCATGACTTGGATGAAACAGAACGGCCATTGTATACGTGATAAAATGCGTTGATATGACGAGATGCTACAGTTTACGAAACTTATTCAGGCAATTTTGAGGCAATTTTTTTTTTATTATTTAAATGCTCTATAGCACGCCTCGGTCTGGCTTTCATCTAACCGCCAAACGTATTGTGAACATTAAGACATGACCCATTAGTACGCACTGTTGAATGCAACATAGGCAAGCCGACCCATAAACACTATCCGTAATAACCCCCATATATGCCACTTTTATTGCCGTTGAAGACAAAATACTTTTGAGCCCAAGTTAAATGGAACTCTATGTTATTCGTAACATCGTGATATGTTGAAAAGAATCTAGGTTAGGGTATACCAATCATCAACAAACGGAAAGGAGGAGTTTAGTAGCGGTAGTGGTCGGCCTTGTAAGGACCCTCGGCAGGGAGGCCAAGGTACTCAGCCTGGACGGGGGTGAGCTTGGAGAGCTCGGCGTTGACGTGCTCAAGGTGGCACAGAGCAACCTGCTCGTCGAGAACCTTGGGGAGGACGTAGACGCCGACGGGCTTCTTGCCAGTGGTGCCGAACTCGACGTACTTCTGGCCGAACGCAGCATCCTCGGCCTTGTAGAGGGCGATCTGGGCAAGGACCTGGTTGGAGAAGGAGCAGGACATGACGAAGGAAGAGTGACCAGTGGCACAGCCAAGGTTGACAAGACGACCCTCAGCAAGGAGGATGATGTGGCGGCCGTTGGCCATCAGGTAACGGTCAACCTGGGGCTTGATGTTCTGGACGGACTTGGCGTTAGCCTTGAGCCAAGCAACGTCAATCTCAATGTCGAAGTGACCAATGTCTAGTCTCGTCAGTATAGATCCAAATCCGGGTGATCAGCGACAGCTACTTACTGCAGACGATGGCATCATTGCGCATGACCTCGAAGTGCTTGCCAACGAGGATGTCACGGCAACCGGTGGTGGTGACGAAGATCTGACCAAGGGGAGCGGCCTTCTCCATGGTGGTGACCTCGAAGCCCTGGACAGCGGCCTGGAGAGCGTTGATGGGGTCAATCTCGGTGACCAGGACACGGGCACCCATGCTGTGGAGAGCCTGGGCACAGCCCTTGCCGACGTCACCGTAACCGGCAACAACGGCGACCTTTCCGGCAATCATGACGTCGGTAGCACGCTTGATACCGTCAATGAGAGACTCGCGGCAACCGTACAGGTTGTCGAACTTGGACTTGGTGACGGAGTCGTTGACGTTGATGGCGGGGACGAGGAGCTTGTTCTCCTTCATCATCTTGTAGAGGTGGTGGACACCAGTGGTGGTCTCCTCGGAGAGACCGTAGCAGTCCTTGAGCTGCTCAGGGTACTTCTCGTGGACGAGGGAGGTGAGGTCACCACCGTCGTCGAGGATGAGGTTGAGCTTCTTGCCATCCTTGAAGGCAGAGAGCTGCTGCTCCAAGCACCAGTTGTACTCCTCATCGGTCTCACCCTTCCAGGCGAAGCTAGAGTACGTTAGCCTCGGAGTAGTCGGGGTGTGTTATTCCTGTACTTACACAGGGACACCAGCGGCGGCGATGGCAGCGGCGGCGTGGTCCTGGGTGGAGAAGATGTTGCAGCTGGTCCAGGTAACCTCGGCACCAAGGGCAACGAGGGTCTCAATGAGGACAGCAGTCTGGATGGTCATGTGAAGACAACCAGCAATGCGGGCACCGGCGAGAGGCTGATCAGCGGCGTATCTGCGACGGATGGCCATCAGACCGGGCATCTCAATCTCGGCGAGCTCGATCTCGCGGCGACCGAAGGCGGCCAGGGACTAGGGAATGGTTAACAATCTAAGCACGACAGTATCTTCGGCACCTTGGGAAACACGTACGATGTCGGCGACCTTGAACTTGTGAGCGGGAGCAGCCATGGTTGCTGATTATGATGGTATAAGGAGAAAAGGAAGAGGTACTGTTGAGTACTGTTAGCAATGGGTATCTTCGAAGAAAAAAAAAAAAAATAAGGCGGTAGGTAGGACTTACTGAGAGGTGTATCAAAAAGGGTATGAGAGGATGGAAAGAGGAGAAGAAGAGTGGATTGGGGGGGAGGGGAGAGAAGAATTAATAGGAGAGGAGCAACAGAAAAAGAATGAGAGAAGAGGGGCCGCTGAGGCACTGGCGGCCCTGGCCTGGCGGGGCTGTTGATTTTCTCTCCGGACTAACTGTCGTCCCGGACCACCTTTGGATTAGCGTTTATCAGCCGGAGCAGATTATGCAAAGCCTGTCGAATGTAGTAACAGTCCATTGGAGTTCAGAATACCTTGTACACAGTAGGTTACAACTGCCACTCAGCAGGTGGTCATTGCCTTGTTTTTGACCATGCAGTACATACAATGCCTACATCTATACACACTGCCTGTCAACCGTTTAAGTTTGGTCACCTGACCCCAAGATTGGTGCCTCAGAAAACGGCCCGCCAATAACCTATCAGAACTGTCACATGCGGTCTGACACCCTCAACCCCGAAAGGTCCCCATGCGTTCATCGTCTCCTCTTCTTCGATGCAGTTGAAGGATCTGGCAGATACGAAGTGCAATCCACAAGCAATCAATACCCTGATCCAATTGGAGCTACTAATGTACCCAATCTGACATAATCGGTACTCTACTCGAAATGAAGAAACGAGGAACAGCAACAATTCCCCAAGATGCTAACCCAGAAAGTAAGAAACACTAAAGCCTTTCCAAATCTCCATGTCTCAACGCACCTGCAGGAGGAATACAAGGCACAGACAATGATGTAGATACAACAAACCATAGCGGGGAAGACGCGAGGGGTACGCCCGCGGCCAAGAACTGCACGATTGATTTTACCGCAGATCACCGAATGCGAATGTTCACATTCCAGGCGAGCCCAAGAATGCCAATTAAGTGTAACGTCATCGCATATCCACCGGTCGTAAAAGAGACTCCCCAGAACCTTTCAATTCCCCGTACTCGACCTTGACTGTACACTTTGTATACGTTCTCCAATTCATAAACAATGAAGCTCTTTCGTTTGTTTACCTCCGCTGCCCTTGCTTCTCTCGCGGTGGGCACCCCCCTTCGCGATGTTATCCTGAGCGCCGACACGTCCTGCCAGATTCAGGGAGGAGATGAGGCTGCCAATTTGGCATGTCGTGCTATTGTATTTTGTCCCTGTTTGGTGACTTACGATATAGAGGCTAATCGATTCGTATAGTGCATTGATCAAGGCCACGGATGGACGGGTGGGTATTGTGACGATACGCAGTATGCTCTTATTCCGGAATCATGATGGGAAAGGGGAGTGCTAATGATGTTAGAATCTGCCACTGTACGTTTGAGGGACTATCTGGAGTGTAGGGCTGCTGTCGATGGTATCCCTTGTTAGAGGCCGGACGGTGAATGAGTATGTGGATACATTTATTTCGTGTATGCTATGCACAAATAGCTAGTGCATTCTCGGTTCAATTGAATTTGCAGATTGCAGACACTCATAGATATACTCTCGTTAAAGAAAAGTCATGCATTAAAATACTGGTATACGGCCGTAAGAGTGAACATGAAACTCGAATAATCTTCCAAATCAAACGCCGTCGTTGAACCTATAGTAGTTCATCCATCTCTGCGAGACGTTAGCTGCTATCACAAAAGTCGGTACAGGAAACAAACCTTATCATATGGCTTCGAGGAATCGCAGAATCGCAGATCGGTTGCAAGACGGATGACGTTGTCTTCGTCGTTGTTGATAGTTGACGCGTGGATCTCGAGAGTCCGTTAGCCAATGCGTCAAGCTTTATCATGTATAGATGAACTTACGACATGAGGCTTGTGCAATACCACATCGCCCGCCTCAAAGGCCGAGACAAGCCAACGTCGGTCATGTTCCTTAGCAAACTCCGCCGGGAATTCTGAAAGCAGACCAGTCGACATCATATTCGAGTTGAAGGCCGACTTAGCCTCTTCCTCCGTCAGACCAGCCTTCAATGCCTTGGCGGTGAACTCGTCTTCAATCTTCTGGCCGATTGAGTCGCCTGAAGAATGTTAACCCTGGATCACATACTCCACTCTCCGGCACCTACCATTTTCGAGATAAATCAGACCTCCACCGTTAATCTTAATATCCCCAATAGGCACCCAAGCAGTCACAGCCGTCGGCTCTCCATACCGAAGGAAGATCTGATCATAGTGAACACCAATCGGCTTCGAACCAGGGATATTGTTTCTCAGGAGCGTCCGCTTGAAGGTCAAAGTATCCTGGCCCCAGCCGGTGAACTTGGCAATGAAATCATACAAAGCGGGGTGGTTGACCACGTTCTTAGTGTACCAGTCCTTGTAATGGGCCTCGATGGCCTTGTCGACAAACTGCGCCGCGCTGTCTCCACCGGGGCGGCCATTCCCGCCCACATGGCCGGCTCCAATGCCGGGATAGTCGTCGATAGATTTCGACCGGTTAAAAACTCCCTCCACGGGCTCGGTGCCCTCCTGCAGAACCCCGGTCGGGGCGAGGTACTCGAAATAGGCCTTGCGGGCTTCCAGGATGTCTTCGCGAGGCAGCACCTGCTTCAGGAAGAGGTAGCCATCCTCATTATAGCGCTTGCGGAGCTCCTCGACGGGGAGGTTGGGGTCGGAGGGGCGCAGGTAAGCTGCGTTCTCCGAGGTCAAGGGACCGTCACTGACGGACAGGGTAGTTTCGGCTAGAACTCCGGGCATGTTGAAGTTTATGTATGATCGTTTGGGGAAATTGCAACAGAGGCCATTGTGGCCCGGGTTTGACCTTGACTTTATAGATTCAGCCCCTCGTCAACCCAGTTAGGGACCGTGGATTGCAAATATCATCGTGTTCCACTCTGCCCCGCATCGGATAAAGAAGTGGTGTTTCTCTATCACCAGTAGCAAGCCGCGAAGCTGTACTTGGGTGCTGGACGAGGCAATTTTACCCCATTGGGTGCTCTCCACATAGGCGGGCAACAATTCCTGATGCAGACTCCTGTGGGGTTGGTCCCCACGCACGGCGGGTAACCATTCCTGTTTGGATGGTTGAAATGCTCATCCGTATAAAATCTCGCTCTAGAAGCGGCGAAGTAGGGGGATTTGGCTTCGGAAATACGGCAGCTGATGGTCAGATTACAATTGTGAGTTGGTTATTTGTGGAATCTGTAAAGGGCACCTGTGACTTGCCTTTCATGGGTAGAACCATGGCCATGACCTGCCGCAAATATATAGATAGGATTTTGGAACTCATTGAGGTCTCCATATTCTATAGTAGTGGAAGGGAGCAAAATCTGGAGAGGATCTGCTAGATTTCATAAAGTAAATCCTAGAGCATATTGCAGAAATCTTTAATTATCATAGACTAGTATAACTTATCCTTCCATCAGTGAAGCGTTTTCAAAAACTCCTGCTTAGCAAACTTTACGCACATTCACTCAAATAAAGCGCTGAGAATAGATGCAGACGCTCATCAACTGGGACACCCTCGGCAGGGATCTTATAGCTGAGCGCTGACCTGGCCCTAGTAGATGAGATCTATGCTTCTGTCAGGCTGACGAGCCCTACGACCATTATCACGTGTATACCCGATATTCAACTTACCCCGCCAGCTGCCCCATATCAAAAACATCGAAAATATTTACCTATTACTCTGGCCAATTTCAATCTTCAGTTACAGCAATACCTTATGATCAGCCTTCAGAGAACGCACAACTGATTGTTACGGAAATAAAGGATATTATTATACGTAAACCAACAAAGGGAAATAGTAAGCCTAGGGGCTGGGAGTATAGCAACCACGAGCTGTCTGCAGCGATTACCAGACTAGAAACTAAATTAAATCAAATTGATTTTAAGGTGAGCATCATTCGCATTACCCACGGACTTCTTCTTACCCTAGAATTCAGGTTATTGAGACTTATGTGTTCCATATTATTTATGCCGGAAATATTTATAACCTTATATCTCACCTCTTTTTAATACCTTTAAATGGGTCTCCGAGATTTGATAAAGACAACGAGCCTTTACGAGAGAGCCACTATACCAGAGAGTCAGGAAAGATTAGTGGTCCTGATATCGATATTATTTGTGTTGCGTTGAAAGAAAAATGATACAGTGTATATAGCCAATATACTGTTTAGGTAATGGGCGAAATTGGTGCAAATAGAGGGATTGTCAATTAGTACGTTTCAGCTATAGAAATTCACATGGACTATATAATGTTATGTTTCGGAAAAATGACCTAGTCAGAATATCCATAGCTATTCTACTCCCACGTAGTTCTGTATTCCACTAGCTGGCAGCCATAGTTAAGTGCGTTCCCGCGTCATTTCTTTCACCTCCTAGACTGCACAGAAGTATGAGAAATTTAAAACGATGCGACGTACTCCATCTAATTCAAGTACATCTCTATTTGGATTGTACATCTCAGCGGTATGTTCTTCTAACGATCGTCTAAACCAATCCATATTCACGTGACTGCACTAGCTCAACAAAGTGGGTCTTGAGTGGACCCACAGTACACCCGTTCTACACTTAGTACATAGTTCTTGATCACTGAATCTTATTTTCTCTATTTTATTACTATAAGTATATGCATTTAAAAAAATATGAACGACAGAAAGCTAAAGAAATCATGGAGGACGCTGGGTTCGAACCCGGAAAAGGGAGGCAAGGTAGGCAGGCCAAAAAAAAAAAAAAAAAAACTTTAGCTTCTCTTTGATTGAGCGTGCCCACCCAGGTATATGCCAGTAGACCATGCCCCATAGGGCAAATCAGTATTAACCGTACTTGGTATATATTGGTATTCAATGAGCTCACACTGCCTGCCTTTTGCTGAAGCTCCTTCCATTCGAGCTCCTCCACTGCGTTCCTTCCAATTTCGGAAAGCATACGGCGATAAATACCTCTACTCCCCCCCGGACTCAACCTTTTTCTTCTCTTCTTCAGCTCTCTAGCATGGCATTTACCTAGCTATACGCTGGGACTTAGTGTAGAGAATCCTATCTAAGCTAGGTCAGTCTTCAGGGCCTTTAGGACCTTGAGGCAATTTTTAGAACCATCTGCTCTTCTTTCATTTCTTTGTTCTTTTTTTTATTATTATTATTATTATTTCATCAAATGCGTCGGCTTGTCCGATGGTTTGGGGAAGAGAACTGCGGGTTGTATCCAGTAGTGTAGCTATTCCTAGTCATGCAGTAATCAAGGCAGTTATCATGTATTAAGGGCAATGTTCGGGAAAGAGAAAGGTCTGAATTGAATGTTGTGTTTGTTAAAAGTCTGTGTACACAGAGATACCCTTGTTGTGTGCAGCGTATGTGTAGTCTATGTGTAGATTGTGTGCTTGCCTATCTGAGCTTTCCGACACCTATACCTATAAGCATGACTATCAAGAAAGGTGGCTCATGCAACCAAGATACTGACTCTAGTATATTGACCGTCTCTTGGCCTCTAGTGGTCACGTAATAATCATCTTGATTGATTAATGACACCAGAACTGAGATTAGTACCTCATCATTACACCATTTGGTGAAAGCATACAGCAGTGAAGAACATATTCCTACAATCCATGACTAGCTAGATAACTTGCCGGTTGCAGACCTCGAATAAAACGTGATATATGACAGCCAAGAATAGTAGGAAACCCCGTAAAGTGATCAGCCTGCTCTAAGTCTCAATACTTCATTCATAGCCAGCTCCCCTCTTCCACGGACTTGAGCCGTCGTCAGGCCTGTCAGTGTCTATAGGCAATATAACATCGAGGTTTGCAGGTGGCTTATAGGGTCGATGACCACGAGGGACCCCACGCCGGCAGTGATAGAGGGGGGAATTTCGATGTCTCACACCACGATTCGAAGAAAGACCTGCCGAGGGCTGGCCTTCCTCAAGCGTGTCTTCACTAGTTTCCTCATTGTAATGTTCACGCCTATCCAAGGGATCAACTAAACTTGGGGTGGAGTTGTCGTGGGTAGAATGTTTATCACCGCGAGCAGCGGCACCCAAGGCATCCAACTCCGTACCCAGCTGATGTTGAGATTGTGATCTAATAAACGACTCCCGGTCGTCTCTCATCGGTTGGTATCGAATGTCAGGGTTTTTCGATACAACGGCGTAGATGGACGCAATTAACACGAGAACCAGGAGAACCAGTGAGAACACTGCGTTGTAGGCAAAGAAGACGACTCCCATCACGCCTGTCAGAATCCCCGGTTGGCTGAACACATTCGAAAAGATCAACAGGAAGACAGCATTGACAAAATTGATAGCTGCGATTGAGATGTTGTATATGTCCGTCTTCTTGTTCATCCAGGGCCTCAGGATGCTAACGGAGATCAACATGGAAGTCTCGATGATCACCAAGGCGATGGTCTGCACCACAGGGGCTGCTTGGCTGAGGCTGATAAACATGGATTTCACTATGATGTAGACAAGAGCTGGAATGATGAACCAGTATGCCTTGGCTTGATATTGCACGTAAAGAAAGCCCCATTTATTCAAACAGGCAGGGTCAGTGTACAGAATGTATGCAGGGTTTCTGTGCAGTTTCACCGACTGTTTCGCAAGACGGGCGACCTTTTGTGTTGCAAACCCAATGGCAACGGTGGTAGTCAAGAGCATGACGGAGGCAAGGATAGCCTCGGCGGAAGAGTCATGTTGAGTGAATTCCCACAAGCAAAGTATGCATATCTGAGGATACCCTAGCAAGATCACCCGGAATAGAATTCCCTTCATAATGAAGTTCCATTTGACTTCATCGTCTTTGATCTTTCCGGACCTGACAAGAGACTTGTGGATAACTCTGGCTATTGCAACACATATCATTGCAAGTGTGGCAAAGAAGACAAAGAAGATCAGCCCTGTCAGAAAGATGTTGGTCACTTCGATTCCTGCCTTATACCCGACACGTTGGATGCCGCGTATCACAATGCTTTTATGTGTATCTGCGCCAGATTTGACGGTTCGCTTCCGCAAAGTGTCATATGAACGCTTTTTGAGAACTTGAATCGACTTTTTGGAGTGGTCGACAATGAGAGTCGAAGGCTTTCCACCTGTGGATCGCTGGTACCAGGTACACAAGGTCTCCAAGAAGCCGACACGAACGAGGCCCATGCTCCATTGGAAGTTCTGAGTCCATGACTGAGCAATTGGAGGCATGTGAACTGATGACATTCCAAACATTGCTTGTGACTGCATGAATCCAAAAAGCGAGATCACATTGGTTGCTATGTGCGTAGCGGCTTTTGAATGACCAAGCGCAGAGGTGACTGCAGACGCAGCCAATCCCAGACCAGAAATTATCGCCGTCGTCCAACCGACCCCCGGCTGATAAACTGTTTTACCATTGGAAAGTTCTGCTTCGAGACAAGTAATACTTCTTCCCGTATCGGACGAGTTGATGAAAACGCGCACGGAGGCATCTAAGTCAGGGACAGTATATGCAATACCTGCAATACAGTTAGGGAATAAAGTAATACAGGCAGTTGTTTGTATATTATAGACATAAACCCACCAGGAATCTGTGAAATGACTGAGTCGGGTACTTTTATGTTGGTGTTCATTACTGGGAGCTCGCCAGCCCTGACCGGGCAAAGCCCTTCTAGGTCCATGTCACAAGGATTCAACACTTTGGTCATCGCGGTATAACCGTAGACTGTGATAATCAACTCTGCGACAACTTTCCCAGATATTGATGACCTCCCATTAAAGCTTAATGCAATAGTACGATTCCTCGGCGTGAACCTTACATTGAAGTACGTCGCTGTAAACTCCAAACTGTTGGAGCAAAGATTCAGTGCTCTGGACTCGATATATTCCTCAGCCAGTACCAGTCGCGAAGCAAGTAGCGCAAAGAGGTAAAGTGCCAGTGGTATCGGTCGCATTTCGCCGGTTGTTATTGATGTATCTCAGGAAAGGTTGAGATGAGATCCGCGCATGCCGCGCAAAGCGGCGCTCCAGTGTTAGAATAGCAATCAAGAGGTGTCCTGTATGATCCGATTGTCGCTTAGCTATGTGCGATGTCTGATTGTGAAGGATAGGGAAGAAAAAGGTTTGGCGATTCTGCAACGGCTGGGGCGTGAGAATTACCGCAGAAACAAAGCATAGGCACTCACTAGCTTCAACAATCAGCGCAAACAAGCCAAATAGATTAGATAAAAACTACAAGACACCAAACTTTGAGGATCTCACAGGAAGAAACTTCAGATAAAACCTAATCGTCTTACGACGGTTAAGATGTAGTGCATTAAATGGTGCAGTCAAGAAGACTTCTAGCCTACCTTGAAGCAATCAGTCCATTGCTGCCTTGATAGCGTTATAGTTCAGGTATGTCGAGATGATGTAAGGGGCCAGAAAATCGGATAAATAAAATCGAGAACTGGAAGAAGAGTCACCACGAAGTCAGGGTCCAATTCCATGGATGTGGCACAGTCACATCACTTCAACCAACCAGGCCATCAAGGATGCCTAAGGTTGTTTCACACCCTTCAAGGCATTCACTCGGCCTTTCATCTCAACGAGTACGCAGGGCTTACACATGATGGTCGTTTGTATCGCAATAAACAACAGAAAGACAAACCCAATATTTTGCTGCCTAGCATATATACATTCATCAAGTACAATATTGTGACGGACTCAGAGTTATGCACCTCCTGCTGTATCTCTCAATGCAACATCTATCATGCACTTTGAGAGACATTCCTTTGCTCACTTGACTTATTTTCATCGACATCAGTACTGCTCTGGTATGTTGTCCGATGGCGCAGACGACCAACGGCATCATGCTCCGCATCCCAGCTCGCCAGCTCTGCGACAGGAACTTTGACCAGGTTATGCGTAACAGACCCGTCGTCAAACTCCAACACGGTCTGTCGAAACTCATACCCTTTATATTTGGGAAGCAGCGTGATCCATATGTAGTAGTATACGCCACAGGCAGCAAGTCTGAATTATACGTCAATCAAACAGAGCATATCAGTGAGGTGCAAGATGAGTACTTACAGTCCAATGCCGACTACCATATATGTGCCGTACCAAAAGCTAACGTCTCCACCGGTTGCACCCCCTATGGGCGGGTACCATGGGGCAGCAAGCAAGTAGAGGTTCGCCAGCAGTGCAAACCCGATCGCAATTGCCCAGGATCGAAACTCGGGTCTAGGGAGATTGAGCTTGCTGCGGCGCCAGCGGATTAATAAGAGTCCGGTCACTAAGAGGAAGTTGAAGATACTCGTAGGGTATACGGAGAGGTCGACAACTATTCGATCACTCTTGTCAGTCTGAGAATCATCTGAGGAGGGTTATTGAGAGGCACAGACCGAAGTTGAAGGCATCTCCAGCAGGAGGGGCAAGAATCATGATAACAGTCATGGCCCACTGGACGAGATAAGGCCCTAGGGGTGTTCCAAACGGCCTCGTAGAAGTCCAGAACCTAGGCCAGGGAAGTATACCTTGCCTATAGTCCAAATAATTAGCATGTTTGCTAAATGGATCTACAAGAGATGCCTAGTAGTTCGGGGGACTAGGCTAGATATCTCACCTTCCAGTCTCTCGGAGCATTCTGGAAAAGCTAACCATAACAGCCATCAGATTACCAAATGCGCTTATGCAAATGAGTACATTCAGCGCGCGGGCCGCCCCATTGGTGCCAAAGATCTTTTTGAAGAAGATTCCTGCGGCGATTTGCTTTGAGTTCAGGATTTCTTCCCTCGAGGCGGCAGAGAAGTAGGCGACGTTCACAAGGATATAGAGTGATGTGACGAGGATTAATGAAAATGGAGCGCTCCAGCGAAGTGTTTTGATGGGATTCTGTATACATCATTAGGTTTCATTATCCTGACGCTTGGAGGATTACCAGCAAACCTTGATTTCATTAACCACACTAAAAGCGTTAGTATAGCCGGCGTAAGAAAAGATAATTTTGACCATGGCATTAGTAGCACCGTAGGCGCTTGCCGATGATGTCCCTTTCCAGGCATCATGCCAGTTGATCATCGGGTCTTCGACCTTTGTATGCCCGCCGAGCACGACCAATCCCGCGATTGAGATCCTATGATGATAGGTGAGCTGGTGGACTAGGCCATATTTGCAGTGTGCACGACATACAATACTAGGGTTGCAATCTTGACGAATCCAAACCAGACAACGACTCTCAGTGACCATTTGGTGCTGGAACTCACAACTGCATTTCTCATCAGTCAAATAGCCGGGTACTGTGTGTATTCGATGCACCAACCTAAAGTTGCAACGGTATATGCAGCCACCGCGACACCTTTCAACTGCCAGTTTGTGTACTGTGAGCCGGCAATTCCAAAGACATACTGGGCAAAGACGATGGAGTTGCTACTCCCAAAAGAAAAGATAACATGTTTCGCTGCAAACACTGTAGGAAATAAGTATGCAGGCTTTGGGAAAGCCTGCTCAAGATACACGACTTCCGACCCAGAACGACTGGGAAAGTATGATGCCAGCTCCAGGTACACCGCAAGAGTGCTTTGGGCGAGCAGATATCCTATGAACCAGTATATCATGGAAAGGCCAACGGAGCCGACACCCTTAAGGATAGTGGCCGCTTCGGAGACATAAGTATGAGGGTCGAAATGAGGTGTTGGGACCTACTCACGTGTTGAAAAGATACCAGTTCCGACCATTTGATTGATATTCAGGCAGAGACTTGTCCAAAAGCTAACGGAGTATCCCAACGGCGAATCCGTCTCCACGGGTGCACCACTGGCATCTTGGTAGGTCACACTGGTGGAATTGACACCTTCTGCCGCTGTATATTTGACGGCACCATCTTGAATCGTACTCTCCTGGGAGGTGTTACGTTCCCGGACGGAGATGCCGGCATCCTTTTCTCTATCGTGCCAAAATGGTAGACCCATTGGGCAGGTTTGTAGCTTTCCTGTCTGGCCTGCGGGGAAAGAGAGGAAATGCGGAAGAAGAGGATAACAGAGTGTAGATGACAAGGGCCGCGAACATCCATGGATTGTCTATGCCGACTTAAGCTACATTTATAATTTTGTGAAACAAAACACTTTATGTCCGCCAGATGCTGTTAAGTGTCACCCCACACAATGCTCAGTTCGGCATCGAATGACGCTATCGGGAAGTCTGATAGGCCTAGACGAGGATATCATCGCCAGTGTCCAGTGGCTGTATGGTGTCTATTGGCTCAACTTCTGAACCCGAGCATATGCTCCAGCTGAGAATGGCGACACTCATCCCCGCAATAGTATCATAAGCTTAAATCTTGACGACTAAAACCCCCCCTGATTGCTGTTAGAATTTACTCCGTCTCGCCATGAAATTCAATTCCTCTCACGTGGCAGGCTTACATTTCCATCTTTACCAATAGCGAATCGTGAAACATCCCAGCAGATCTCGTATTGATAAGATCATTGAGCAAGACCGAACAATGATTGCTGTGCAAGTGTGTCGTGGATGGTGTCAATCATCCCTGCGGTCATCTCATCACGCCTGCTGAGAACTTCAAGTCGTGTAAAATTTCCAGCTTCGTCTTAGCCCCTGGTCTCTTCGGCAGGGGTGAAATTCAATTCGACCTGCATTATCAAATCCAGCCTTCTCAATTAATAATCATCCCAGATAATGGTTACGGAAGATATTCTTGTCTACTCAGCGGATGTTTGGATGAAGCGACGCGAACTAACCATGTGCTCGGGCCGCGCGCAGAACATCTCATTTTAGTTGAGAATTATGTGATCTGATGAACCTACTACTTACTTCTTTCCCCTCCTGTTGCAATAAATCCCTCGCCACGTTCCTCCCTCATCTGCATTATAGTTCTAATTTTTTTTTTCTCGACGTGTAGTTCGAATCGTTCCCTGTTTTCTCCATTTTTCATGGTATAGATAAAGTTCTTCCGGCTACGGTACGCTAACAGCCCAAAATCTTAAGTCTAAACACGAACCATAATCATAACCACAGCTCAAGAGTAGAAATATTGCACAAAAAGGACTTAATTGCTATATAACCATGATCGAACATGCTAGTATAAACGCTCTAGAAACACCAATACCCAAGCCAAAAACCACAAACCCTTCTATGGTATCTCAAATAACGCAACCATTACCGCTTCTCACTCATCCTCATCCGTCCAGTCCGTAACACTCCACGACCGAACATCATCTTCAATCACCAATTTCAGGGTGGTAAAAGTGATATTCTCGTACATCTCTCTTGCAGCACCGCGTGCCTTCTTATGCCAAGGCCCGGTACCTCCCAGCCTGGCATCATTGCGACTCCGCCAGAGACCTAGTATCATCATCAGCAATTGTGCCTAGAAAATACTAGAAAAAATAAAGTAACTCACAAGTAGCCAGATTCCTCCTCTCCCCATCCTTCGTCCCAAACCAATACTTCAGCAACCCCCCGCTGGCAACAGCCTCCTGATGCGAATAGGCATCCAAATCATGCAGCCGCTGGTTATCGATGTCGGCTTGGAGCCGGGACCGGAAAACAACCACGTAGAAATGCTGCGTCTGCCACCGATGCCCACTCTTCTGGGCCAAGTCCCGCAGGAAATCAAATACGGCTTGCCAATTGAATGATTCCGTGTACGGCGCCGTAGCGTAGTCATCACGGATGGGTGTGAGGATTGTGAGGGCTTTGGCGAGCAATTGGTTGGGTGTGTCGAGGGTTTTGAGATCCAGGAGGTGTTTGGGGTCGTTATACGGTGATGTGATGAGCAGGTCACTTTGCAGTGCTGCTGTTTCGTGGGGATGGCCGAATTGGAGCTGCAGGGATGCCGCGGCGTGGAATTTGAGGGCATCGAAGTCGGTGGTGATCAGGGTGTGGTCGTACAGAGATGGATGTTGGGTTGTGCTGGGTTTGGGGCTGTCTACGCCGAAGACCGGCTTGCCTATTTCCACTGGGGCCATTGGGAGGTCTCTTTTATTTTCTTTCTCTTTGTCTTTGGGGTAGTCACTTTGGGGAAAATTAGGGCTGGGGTGAGATGCGGAATGCCAATGGGGTATCAACGAAGCCAGAGGATGCTGGGAAAGGACAGACTTTTGCTCGAAAACGAAGGAAAAGGGGAGACAAATGGGAAAAGTCTACGAAACGTCACCTATATATCTCAAACGCCCCCCGGGGAAAGGGGCGGTATTGAGCGAGCTCCCCTTCAAAGCACGCAATACCCTGTCGAGACTGCCTGAGGCCCATTCGGCAAGACGGGTCACCATTGGGCCGTCGCTTCCCGGGGGATTTTCAACTAAAGCAACTTTATGCTTAGCGCCCCCGTTTTGGCGTCGTTAGGGCAAAGATGTCCCCGGACTGCTTGCAGAAACATAATCATGAACAAAATACCAGGCATTGAGCCAAGTAAATCATTCTTTATGAGTGTATCTTTAGTTTTACAACGCTTGAACGTGAATCTGACGTTCCGGAACTATGTTCTAGCGGCGAAACTTTGGGACTAGCACGCCATCTGCTCAGAATTTTACGTCTGACCCGGAGTATTTCGTCACCAGTTCCATGGTACCTGGCAATCGGCACGTGGCACGGCCAGGGTTATCCGACAGCCTCCCGAGACAAATACAAGGGATTCATAGGTGGAAATCTGAAGCAATAGCTCTATTACATTTCATTCTCTTCGAGCTTTGAATTGTCTCGAGGTTATCATACATTGGTCGATGGTATCATGCGAATTCCGAACGGATCCCCAATCTCAAAAACGCCTTTCTTAAGATGCTCAGGAAAAAAAATAAATGGAAGCCCCACTATCGCTTTAAGGGCAGCGGCGGAGGGCCCATCTTACCATCGCCTGTATCGACCTTCTTCTGTGGAGGAATCGGTGGCACCTTGAAACCTCCATTATCCTTCTGTGAAGAGTTATTGTGGCTTTGGCTACCGCCAACCTGTGTAAAAGTACCCGACTTGAACCATCGGTCTTCCTCTGCCTTACGTTTGCGGCTCAACTCTGCCTGTACCTTGGGGTCAACGAGCTCAAGTCCCTGCACCGGCGTAAAGGCGATGGTACTAGCCGTTCCGCTGCCGCCCAGCGAAGTACCAATGCCGGAAGAGCGAAGACCTTTGGCTTGTAGAACACTTGCCGTTCCGCCAACCCCAGAGCTGAACCCACGGAGAGACGAAGCCGTGCCACTGACAGGAGTCGCGGTTCCCCAGCCTTTGTTCGACTTGCTGAGTTTGGCTCGAGTCCTGTTATCGATCTGAGTTGCTCGAACCCGTCCATCATTCTGCTGGCCGAGCATTCCCAATCCAACTGTTCCTTCACCTGTACCGTAACCGACTTCCGCTTCTTCCTTACCGAAGGCCATCCGATTCTGGGCTTTGCGAATTTCTGTCATAGCAACTGCTTCCTTCGCCTTTCTAGCTCTCCTACCACCTCGCTTACGGGCTGGCTTGTCATCGGGAGCGGGAAGGGCCTTCACTCCAGAGTTCGGAGGAGGCTCAGTCAGTTTCTCTAGCCGCGTGAAGCATTGTTGTTTCAGATCTTCGCCTAGCGATCCGTCGGGGCTAAAGTTGGATACATCCGCACGGGTAGCAAGGACCATCTTAGCTGAGACAATACGGATCGCCTGGCGTTTCAAGTCATCTGGGACACCCTGGATCAGTTCCGAATTGTAAAGAAACCCCCGCGATCTGACGCCAATATTCGTAGCAAAGCCTAACCCTTCGGTTCTCTTGTTGCCTTGAGCACCTAGATTGCACGCCGGGATCTTAGCGAGTTCACGTAGTCCTCCGGTCTGGTTAAGGAACTGAGCTGCTGTCTCTGGTCCGATCAAGGCTGCTAGATTGGGGGCGATCTGCGTGATGCGAGACTGGATGCTTTCCGTGAGCGCCTTCCGCTCTCGATCCAACTTCAAAATCCTCTCGCAAGTATCGAGCACCGTCTTCAATTCCGACTCGGTCATTTCACGTCCTCTAGTGGTGGTACCCTCCACAGAAACAACCATCAATGAGGGGCCATCTAAGATAGACTTGAGCGGCTCTCCGACCATATTGTCGGCCGATGAGGAGATAGCTTTGATATCGTTGAGCGGGCCATTTTTTAAGATAGCGACTGTCTTCGCGTAGTCGATCGGACTCGTAACAAGGGTTTCTAATTCCGGAAATCTGACCGAGTAGTGATCGCGCAAAACTTTGTGTAGGCGAGTAAGCTCGTCACCGGTGGAGAGGGCGACCTCGAACTCATTGGTGACCTCAGAGCCAGCTTTTTGTAGGTGCTGCTGCTCTTCGTCCACATCTTCCTCGACTCCCTCGCCCGCCTGGAAGTCCTCGTCGTCCGATTCAAAATCCCTCAAGAGCTCCTCAGCAGTAGACATGATGAGCGAGCTGCAACACGACCAGGAGGTGAACTATGAATAAGGTGAAGTGGTGGTTGAATGAACTTTCGACGCCGTCGCCGAGTTGCTTTTCCATTTCGGTCATGTGCTTAGTCATCCACCTCCAGAGCTGATCTCGGGTGGCGCTGCGAACCTGACATGCAGCTTTTCCGACTCTTGGCTAGCAGAACCAAAAGTCGACTCAGTAGCAACGACATCTGACTTGGAGTTGTTCCGATACCGCGCGGTCGGTTAGAAGCTAATTTCTAGGCCATTGGCTTCTGGAGGAGGTACACGGTGCTCCTAAAGTCAACTTGGGTAGTGTGCTCTACCCAACACCCCGTCCGAATACGCGTCGCCGACAGCTTACCTGCTTGATATAATCTCACTTCACCATGGAGTCGTCTCGCGGCCCTCCCAGGGTCAAGAACAAGGCCGCTGCGCCGATCCAGATCTCAGCGGAGCAACTGCTCCGTGAGGCTGTCGACCGGCAGGAACCCGCGTTGCAGGCCCCGACGCAGCGATTTGCCGACTTGGAAGAATTGCACGAGTATCAAGGTCGCAAGAGAAAGGAGTTCGAGGACTATGTTCGCCGAAACCGGATTAACATGAACAACTGGATGCGCTATGCAGCATGGGAACTTGAGCAGAAGGAATTCCGCCGGGCGCGTTCTATCTTCGAGCGAGCGTTGGACGTTCTCCCGACCTCAGTACCACTGTGGATCCGATACATCGAAGCGGAGATGCGAAACAGGAATATCAACCATGCGAGGAACTTGCTCGACCGTGCGGTGACGATATTGCCCCGTGTCGATAAGCTCTGGTACAAGTATGTTTATATGGAAGAGACTTTGGGGAATATCCCAGGTACACGGCAGGTCTTTGAGCGATGGATGTCATGGGAGCCGGAGGAGGGAGCATGGAGTGCGTATATCAAGCTCGAGAAGCGGTACAATGAATTCGAGAGGGCGCGCAATATCTTCCAACGTTTCACGATTGTTCATCCTGAACCGAGGAACTGGATCAAGTGGGCTCGGTTTGAGGAGGAATACGGGACTAGTGATCTGGTGAGAGAGGTCTACGGTGCAGGAGTTGAAGCGCTGGGTGAAGACTTCATGGATGAGAAGCTTTTTATCGCCTATGCCAAGTTCGAGGCGAAGATGAAGGAGTATGAGCGTGCACGTGCTATTTACAAATATGCTCTTGATCGACTTCCCCGCTCTAAATCCATCACATTGCACAAAGCCTATACTACATTCGAGAAGCAGTTTGGTGATAGGGAGGGTGTTGAGGATGTCATTCTTTCCAAACGCCGAGTCCAGTACGAGGAGCAGCTCAAGGAGAACCCTCGGAACTACGACATTTGGTTTGACTTTACTCGCCTTGAAGAGACCTCCGGTGACCCTGAGCGGGTACGTGACACATACGAACGGGCCATTGCACAGATTCCTCCGTCACAGGAGAAGCGGCACTGGAGACGTTATATTTATCTCTGGATATTCTATGCCATCTGGGAAGAAATGGAAGCCAAAGATGCGGAACGTGCTCGTCAAATCTATAACGAATGCTTGAAGCTCATTCCACACAAAAAGTTCACATTTGCCAAGATATGGCTTATGAAAGCCCAGTTTGAAATCCGCCAGATGGAGCTCCAAACCGCCCGCAAGACATTGGGTCAGGCGATCGGTATGTGTCCCAAGGACAAGCTCTTCAGAGGCTACATCGATCTCGAGCGCCAGCTTTTCGAGTTTGTACGGTGCCGGACACTGTTCGAGAAGCAGATCGAGTGGAATCCCTCCAACAGTCAGTCCTGGATCCAGTATGCCGAGCTGGAGCGGGGTCTCGATGATAGCGATCGTGCGCGGGCCATCTTTGAGTTGGGAATTGACCAACCGACTCTGGATATGCCCGAGCTGGTGTGGAAGTCATACATCGATTTCGAGGAATACGAAGGCGAGTATGACAGAGTCCGGCAGCTCTACGAGCGTCTTCTGGAGAAGACCGACCACGTCAAGGTGTGGATCAATTATGCCCGGTTCGAGATCAATATACCGGAAGACGAGGAAGAGGAAGAAGAGGAGGAGGAACGGCCAGTCAGCGACGAGGCAAAACGGCGCGCTCGGGCGATCTTCAACCGTGCACACAAGGTGTTCAAAGAAAAGGAACTCAAGGAAGAGGTAAGTTGTGCCTTGATATATGGGAAGAGGGAAGTCTTGGTTCTAATTTTGTGCAGCGTGTGGAACTCCTCAATGCCTGGCGGTCATTCGAACATACACATGGGTCTCCCGAGGACATCGACAAGATCGAGAAGCAGATGCCGCGTCGTGTCAAGAAGCGTCGCAAGTTGGACGACGACCGGTACGAGGAATACATGGACTACGTGTTCCCGGCCGACGATCAATCAGCGGCCAACCTGTCCAAGCTGCTACAGAGAGCACATGCCTGGAAGTCGGGTCAGGCATGATAGGCTGGGTATTCACTGGAAAGGTAAAGAGTTGTGTGTTCAATTTATATGTGGGCTATGGGTACATACCATGGGATGGCCGTCGATGCAGTCTATATCAAAATTAGGTAGAACTAATCCCAACAAAATAATGATCATGAACCATGTTGCCTTTGTCTAATCCGTACTACAGAGGGTTCGGTGTGATTTGATAATTCCTATTCTTCATTTATCCAACCGATCTTCCGAATTCTAATCAGCTTCCTCTTCATGGTATATAATATAGAGCTCTATATATGCACAAATCTGAAGCAAATCAATGACACAGGGTCTTGTCAACTCTCATATGCAGACCCAAAAATGTGCTACAGTGTCCATGCAGGGCCTGAAAGATCGTGAAGTGGATCCTACTGTGGCAACGATATTAATCCCCACCTGTATTATGTCCTACCACTCAGGACACCGGAATATACTTGGCCAAATTTATAAATGGATGCTCAAAGCCGAGATGGGCACCCATCGACGCCATATCCAGTCTTTATGGCTCCTCTCAAGTGATCAAGGCCAGAACACTATCCACAGGAAGAACAATTTCTCTGCTGCATTGCCTCACGGAGGGACCGACGCCTCTATTTAAGACGTGTCAGAAATTCGCTTTTAGATAGATATAAGTGACTCATGGCCACACGCCAGTACACACCGCTTTTGCACGAACATGCTAAAGAGTGCTCATGCATGCCTAATAAGTACGTAGATCATTCATGGTCGGGTATCCAGCTGAAGACCAACATTTTCACGGGGCTGATCCGTGGCAGTGCAAATCTCCAGCTTACCCACTTTATACACCGTCGGTAAGTGGCGATCACTCTGCCTTTTTTCGCAATTTGTGGCTCTGCTACGTATAACCTAGGGTTCCTGGATTTTAAAAGCGCTGGGCATTGTCCTATTGTAACGAATGCTGGCAGCGAAATCTAATCGAACTACATTCTCAGAGTCCCAGTCCCCCACCACCATCTTCAACCTCACATTATGCAATCAACCCGACTTGAGCTGGTCCCCTTATCCACAGACCATCTGCCAGGTTATTTTTCGGTGCGGTCCGATTGGGAAATTGAGAAATGGAACAGTCCCAAGCCATTCACCTCAATAGAGGAAGCAGAAAAAGATTTGTTATCAAGAATATGGAGTGTCGACCCTACGCAAGATACATACGCAATCCTCCTCCGCCAGGACCTGGATCCCAAGACAATTGATAGGTCACAGTGCACAGAAGCCACAGATAGCGACAGTACAGATAGTGACGGTGTTCTCGTACCTGGAGGTTTCATCGGCTATATAGGTGTCTATAGACTCGATCAGGTGCCCGACGTCCACTATACTATCCACCGATCTGCATGGGGGCTTGGATTCGCGACTGAAGCACTACTCGCGTTCACGGAGTTGTTCTGGAAGACCTACCCCGAACACTATCGGTTGATAGGACGTTGTGACACCGAGAATCCGGCTTCGGGTCGGGTAATGGAGAAAGTGGGGTTTGAATACTACGATTATATATGTGCAGATGAGTTTCAGCCATGGATGGTACCGTCAGCACGAGATAGTCTGCGATTTGTACTGGCTAGGCCGGGCTACACCTTTGACTAGAGTGCTTTGTCGCAAGGTTGTGGTGGGAGGCTCGTGTGTGAACCTATTGAGACGGTTGATCCTACACCGGAATTGTGGATTCCCAGATGGAAGTGAAAAACTTCCTCTGGATGCGTTGTCGCTTTGACACCCCTCTAGAGTCACGCTTCGGCTACGATCTACTTGGGCTGAGCTGGATACTATCTTTGCATTCGTGGTTCTTGCTACACGGGGTCAATGTTGTCATTCTAGTTATCCCCACTGGAACATGGCCAAGGACATGATGTATCATATATCTACACCGATTACCCCGCGCCACGTATCTAGCGCAGCGGACAGACCACGAACGAGCCAAAGGTTCATCTTGTGCAACTTGAACCATGACAGAAGGCGTTGGACATACACATAAAAACGCATCTATGGAAGACATCGCCTACTCAATCAATCTGACCCCAACAGCTTGAGGTCCCCTTGTTCCCTGTTCCACTTCGAACTCGACCCTTTGATTCTCCTCTAGACCATTCTGCCCGGACTAAAACAAGAAGGGTTATCTTTTAGCACGCTATCATCCAAATGTTTCCTTTCTCAATTATGCCGTACATACTTGAAGTTCACTGAAATGGACAAAAATATCTGGCGAGCCGTCGTCTGGCTGGATAAAGCCAAACCCTTTCTCGGAGTTCCACCATTTCACTACGCCTGTTGCCATGGCTATAGGTTGTGGGATTGGCGGATAATCTTTGGGGAAGGATTTGGAAAGGAATCAGAAAGCCCGCACCGGGAACTGTATTTTTCGTAGAGAAATATCAACTGTGTATGTGGTTGCTGAGCCCTTCTCGGAACTCTGGGAATATGGCCTGCTTATATGCTGGCTGGCTGAGAATTAAGGTTCAAGCTGGGAAAGACTCTTTCTGCCCCATTGAGGGGCCCAAGCAATTGGATCGCGATCGGCAGAGTAAGTTTGCCTGTAGTTCAGCTGACGATGTGCAAGTATGGCTCAGCTGAAGCAGGACAAGCATTAAATACCTGCCGGTATAGCCGCCGGGCTGGGGGGGGGTTTTCAAACAGGCGCAGCGAGATGCGCAGAAGGTTGAATGATCCATACTTATGGATTTCTGCTCTACTTAGAGTCATCTGCAAATGTGCTGAGTTCTCATGCAAAAGCGTACAGGTTGATCTTCAGTAGAAATTGCCAAATCTCTCCAGAGTGGGGCGTGGAGACTAATCTAGCGAGCTGAGACTACATATTCTGTCCAGGCATACCTTATGCGCCAGTGTTAGTTCTAAGACCGATGCGAAAGAGGTTTCTTTTGGCCTTATTAAACAACTACATGGAAAGCGTCGTATATTGTCCCTTCCTTTGGTTACGTTGTCTAAGACCGTGTTGTGCCCTCTCGACAGCTGTCCAGAAGAGATGGAAACAAGGGCATTTAAAGTAACGTATGTGAAGAACGAAGGTTGCTTGGACTAGTAGTGAATGCTGAGGAATCGCGTAGCTTTGGAGCAATGAGTAGTATCACCTGAAGTCCCTATATTGATCAAAAGTTGACTCCACAGTCTTAGATAGAAAGTAGGTTTGATATTTTTCCATTCTATACTTCACTACAACAGGCGGATTGGCTGATGGGAATATATATATGGAAATAAACAGTACGATGGCGTCCTCAAAATCAAGGTGAGTTCAGGTCGTTGCTAATGGATTCCAGCAACACATTCCATGATATAGAGGGTAAGTTCGGAATCTAGTGGATAATCATACCCCTCAAATCATGACAGCAGTAACCGCCACTACGTATGAAGAAGAAAATATCTTTCTTATGTAAGGACTCCAGAAACTGTGCCTTCTACCTTTCCTTATATGCCAGTTATGCTAAGAAGCTCCACCGAAGGGGCTTGGTCCATCTTATGGGTCAAAGTGGGTTGTGTGAGCTTTGCATTAGGATTGCGTGTCTCAAACACTCCGCGGGCAAGTCATGCTAACTATCGTGTCTTAAGATTGCTTACTAGGATCTCGGTAAATTCAACCATTTCTCTTGTCTGCTTGCATTTTGATTGTATGGAACAGATTGTGTCATTGATAAGGTACGAGGGACAACAATTCCACTCAGCGAAGAAAAGCCATGTACTCATGGCGACGAGAATAATGCGAGCGATTGAGCCTTAAACATAAGGCAATAAATGTAACGAGATAGCTACGAAGCCTGTTGACAGTCCGTTCGCGTAATATAGGACAAGTACTAGTAGTCAAGAAGTCAGAAAAGAAATCAACACTGCAAAACAACAAAGCCTGTTGACTAGTTCACAATTTGTTGGACGACTAGCTATTGCATTCGCTTCGGAAGCAATAATATTCAGTAAAAAATGCAGGAAAGACTGTTGGAGGGAGTTGTTCTATCATATCTTCTCTAGGATGTGCTATTTAACCTATTTCCTCCTTCCTAGAACGGTAATAAGTGTTGTACCTAGCATAAGATGTTGCAAGTGTTCGTCAGTGTCCATGCGTGTACTTTTGGGAGAGTTTATATCTGCTCTGGTAGCATTTGGTCTTCTGTTCGGAGGATCTCTTTTGACTCTTCGCCGTCAACCGCCGTTGCAGAGAGTTGGTGCTCGAAGTCTAGCAGCTGTTTTCTTGCTGAGTCGTTCACGGACACCAACGGCAGCCACCTCTCCTTCAACTCTGTTTGCATTGAAGGCCTCGAATGATGACCCAAATACAGAGGGGCCCTGATTACCTGTCAGCTGGTACATATTGTGTGCCTGTGTCAGAACAAGAATACGCTTTGAGATCCCTTGTTTCTATTCCATATATACTTCTCCGGGATGATATACTCCGATACGACGCCTTTGATCGTGTAGATGACTCAACCCCTTTCCCAATGCACCGTGTGCACGGTGTACATCATGCTCTGAAGTTAGCTACCATTACCTTCAATAATGGTTTTTATTGTTTTAACTTCATGACATTGAAGACTCGGTAGATGGAACGCGGAGCCATCTGATAGAAGACCGAAGACACCCGCATTTTCTCCGTCTCTGATATAAAGTCTAGCATTGACAACTATTCCTAGTCATTAGTTAGCAATTAGTGTACAAAGTGGCTGGATATTGTAAAACTCACCTATATAAGCAAGGAGTTCAACTAGATCACGGTTAAATTTATCACGTCTTTTTATCTCCATGATTGAGAGGGCACTCGTGCTCTTTGGGGAATCATGATAGAAGAGTATATATAGTTGGTCTATCCTTCACTTCCTCTTCGTCTCCCAGATAAGCGAAGTTTCAAATTGGAGGTTTACTCCAACCGATTCCGGCTTCTTATAAGCCCTATGTCGAAACTGTTGCCTTCGGAACCTCCTCCAGGACCTCCCCCAGTAGGACCCCCAATCCCAGTGCCCCCGTTCTGGCCTTCCTCTTGACAGCCACAACAGTCAGCAGCAACAAAGGTTTTCTACAAGACCACCCGCCACTTCCTTTGTGCTATAAAATCTTCCCATTAGGAATGACAATATGGCACTCCAGATCGAGGACCGGTTCGAAGTCCGTCAAACTGGGCGGTGGTAGCCCCATTTAAACAAGCCCCTCAAAGAAGCCAATCTATGATACCCCAGCTTCATCCGCTATGGGTCATAGTTTATTTGGCCCTAGGCCCTTCAGTCAGGCAGCCAAGAGAGCAATGTCTGACAGAAACCATCTATTCCATGTCCCGCCACCAGTCTGGACATTGGGGTGCGCTGCAGCTATAACAACAGTAGTATTATGGTACTGCGGGGCCATCATAGACCATTTGAACCCAAGCCCGTAAACACGTTCTGGGGCTTCTTGCCCGCTAGATTCAGTCAGCAGCTTCCCTATAGTTGGCAGGAAATTATACAGACCAAAGCAACAACCAAAGAGGGTATGTCTCAGCACAACGACCAAATGACTTTCCCTAAGTAGCTCCCCGAGCCTGAACGATTTGAGAGACTTTTTGCTCCATCCACCAAGATTCAGAGACTTAGAATAAATTAAATAATACTGGGCCCGAATAAGCATATAACCCTGTCGCAGCCCTATCTATTATATGTCCTGCCATGCTAGCGCCGAGGAAGAATCCTGGACTTTCTCCCTGGGTATCTCGCAATGTGTACCGTACCACACAGGAAGGATACGTACAGCACATTATAGAGCACCATTGGTCATATACTGCAGCAACCATGAGGTAAAAGTTCCGCTTAGTTGCGCCCAATGGTGCTGGTCCTAAGCTGGATAACAGGCTGTGTCAAGCAGTGCTAGGCACACCCTGCACGTCCTCAATTGGGGTATTCCAGTCTAAAACTTGGCATGGCAATAAACATGCCGCATGAAAGGACGCACAATTGGTGGCGTAGCGTAACACGTGAGGTATAATACGCCTCAAGGGCAGAGCTCTCAATACTCACACCACCGCGGGGATGTACTCGAGAAAACCAGCCACCCGGTTATTAGTACGCTTGTTCCACTTTAGGATCACGCAGCATTTGTATGCGGCGCTTTACTCTGCAGCCAGAGAGTCCTGGCGTCAAGGAGTCTGGCTAGACCAGATATTAATTAAAGCCAGGAACCGAGAACATATTTTTTTAAATACCACTGTCCTAGCGGCGAAGATTTGTCGTAGTCCAAGATGTCTCTTGTCCAGTGGAAACTTCGGAAAATCTTGGCTAAACTAGATTCTGTATCAAAGTATATAGAGAGAAGGCGGACGTCTTGTGCGTCTGCCATACTAAAGGATCTCCATAGATGACTTACTATGGAAGAGGTCATTATAAAGGATTTAATTAAGGACCCTTGGGGATCCGCTTTGGGTTTTTGTTCAGGTAGTTTAGGTATGGACTTTGGTTGGTAGGGCAAGAAGAAAACGAGGTGGCGTTCTTGGAGATTTGACTTCATTAGGGCTATATATATGTTTGTGTATGTGCATATATTCATCCGCCGGGATGAATATGTTACCTTTAGGGAATATCTACATAGGTTCACCGTCCTACTGAAGTACACTATTTTCACCAAAAGAATTATATATGAATGAAGGAATGCTCTATATCTATTCCTTGCGTCGAGTCACGAAGTTGAATTCCAACCCAAATTCATCACGGCATAGCCTCCGAACCAGGTAATATACAGATCGAGTGAAAAAGACACCGTTCTGGGCCGATAATATCATGCTTAATTCACGTAAGCGAAAATACCAAAAGATTGAGATTGATAACAGAATCGAATCCTTCTCACCCTCCAATGAACAGCGGTACCAAGGTAGTATACTGCGGTAAGTTGAGTGGCAGGCCTGAGGTAAAAACCACCTGATGCCGGTGGGTCAACGTCCAGTTCGTCAGACACGATTCGGTAGCTGAAGGACAAGTGGGGACCAGCCAAGCAGGGGTACCGGCCAATCATGGCTGGGGGTATGGACGGGAAGGATGCAACTAAGTCAAGACGGTACTTGTCCGCTTAGTGTCCTCCGTGTGTTTGAACTTAGTACAGTCTGTACCACTGGTACCGTACCATCCACCATGGCGGGCGGTTTATTTATGGAAAAATACTGGGTCGAGGGGGTTTCATTGGGCGGGAGGTCGGCCCAAGCGAGAGAGAAAGAGAGAATTTCGGGTGAAAAAGCCTAGCTGGGCTAGGAAAAGGATCTCATGATGTGTGGCAACTTTGAATGGTGACGGGGAAATTATCCAAGTGACATCTGACCGGTGCTACGCAGGGGGGAAGCGAAGCAAAAGAGTACCTGCATTGATCCCACGTTATGAGGTAGGATTCTCGGACGAATACTTACTACGAGTAGTAATGCGTACAAATGGGCTGCAGCCGAGGCCCGTGCTGGCCCTGTTCCTGACCACTACTAGACCAATCAAGTCGGTCACCTGCGCATCACTGCCCTTAAGAATTTTCATGCGGGTTCTCCGTCCCTCACTGGCTCTGCTCATGGTGATTAATATAATACCACCTCGCCCAGGATGCCGCTGGGGCCAATGCCACGGGCTTTTAATCAATCGACTACGCCATGGAAAATTATCATTGGATTGAAATTTTCTGGTCAGCCACCATTAGTCCGGTTCATCCTCGCCCTAGAGGAGGGGGTGCAAGGGTAGTATTGTCGAGAGGGAATGTCGGAAAAAGAGGAAAGAAGGGCAAAAGAAAAAGAAAAAAAGAAAAAAAAAAAATTCCAATAGAAGTCCTCTCAATCTTGGGATATGCTCTGGAACTTTATACGACGGGAGAAAAGGGGAGTAAACAAGGAAAATGGGGGAGATATCATTCCAAACTTCGGGAGAACGACAGAACCATGGATATGCGGTGGGCTGGATGACACCATCCCGAGCCATTGGATGGAACCCCTGAGTAACCTGGACCGGGTCAAGTGGATTTCCGGTATAGATTGGGGGGGGGGGGAATAATTGTTTTGATGTTTAATTTGATGTGGATATCCCCTTGCCGCAGGGCACCTTCGCAAAATCCCCATGTAAGGATGACGTTCGAGAGGGAGACACGTCGAACCAGAAAATGTTTGTGTGTCAACGCGATCCGAAGAAATACGAAGTAAAAAAAAAAAAAAAGTAAAGTAAAGTGAAGTAAAATAAAATAAGTGCCGTCTTAGGCTTTCGCACCCAATTGATCCACATGCACACCTCAGGTGTCGAGGACCTGTTAACCGTTAGCGTGCCCTCCTCTGCCGTCGCCGTCAACCGTCAATGGGTTTTTTTTCTCCACGTTTCGTTGCTTTTTCCACATCCATGTATATCGAGAACGTGCTGGCAGGTTCAATTTGGAGGGTCACGGTTTGAATGATTCAGTCTATTCAGTTCATGTCTTTCTCTCGGCCTTCCTCTCCCAGTGCCTAGATGACGTTGAGTTCAATTTGATTGTTTTCTTGGGAGAATATCACGATTAGGGTGAGTCCGCCCCTAGTGCTGGTCTAAGCTGCCCTCCGTTGTTTCATCCTTCTCCCTGCACCCATCCAGACACGATTTGATCTTTCTCTCCTGATGCTCGGCTGCGCTGCTCTCTTTTGTTCTCTTCCTTCTAACCCACCTTTGTCTCTCTCTTCCCTCGTTTCCTGTTCGTTCGAGAACCGTGTCGCTCGCTTTTCTTCACCTTCACTGCCGATTTGATATCGCGCATTACTCCGAACTCGCCTCTCCCCCTGAATTCTCTGTTGATCACTTCGAGACAGGTCGCCATTCATTTTTGCTCAACAGCTATCCCTTTTTGAGGTATATCGTGGGGGTGGTCTTACCTTCAGTGAACGCCAACTGATCCTGGTTCGAATCGCTCCTTTTATAGTATCACGCACACGTATAGGTCTGGGAAAGGAAGTTTCGTAAAAAAAAAAAAAGGGAAGAAAGGAAAAAAAAGAAAACTCTCGCTATCTTGACGTATTCGAAGACAAATCTACCGCTCTGGTTGATTCAGGTTGGTAACGGGTTGAAAACACCTTCACGGCCCAGCGCCCCAAACGATCAATCGACCCTCGACCATGAGATAGTGCTCTGGCAGTCACCTTCCATTCGTTCTCTACCCTTCCGCCCGTGTCCACACCTCTGGCGGCTGGTTAATACCTGATTCTCTTCGGCTGGTCTTCTCGAAGAAACTCACTCGTTCTGTCATTCGATATGATCGTTCCCAAACCTCCTGTGAAATTGGAGGACCACTGTTCCGTCATTCACGACAACACTTTATACACTTACTCAGCCAACGGTTTCGCTTCGATAGCACTCGAACGCAATGCGACATGGACGCAATTGCCTATGGGACAACCGGTTTCCAAAGCCGCTTGCGTTACAGGAGGAACGGACGGTAACGAGGATCAGCAGGCGCTTTATGTGATCGGAGGAACGCCTTCCAAGGGTGTAAGCTCGGGGTTACAGCGATACTCGTTCAAAGACAAAAAGTGGAAGACAATCGACGGCGTCAACGGGAATATGGCCAATCGAACCTCCCATAAAGCGGTCTATCTCAAATCGTCCTCCGCTCTTCTGATTTACGGCGGCCACCAACGTGAGCAAACCGATGCGTCGTCGGACACGTTTGCCATTAATACCCAGGAGCCGTACAATCTTTCAGCATACTCGGCCGCAGATGCATCCCCGGCTTACAATCCCGTACTACTACCATGGAACGACAAGGAGGCTGCGCTGGTTGGTGGTTTGACGACCCCGGATCAAGTGCATTTGTTCGATCTCATCCAAGGCTGGCACAGCTCCGATGTGACCATCCCAACACCCCTGTCGGACGATGTACAATGCGCTCTTGTCAATGGGACCGACGGCAGCAAAATTCTCGAAGCTTTCGACATGAGCACATCACCCAACAATGTCACCAGCATTACCTTACTCAATTCTGACGGCAACCCCGCTCACAAGTCAAACAGCTCTGAATCATCCTCGACCAAGAGGGGGATTACTCTCGATGATTATCCAACATACGACGACTCTTTGGCGCCCACCACCACGCGCAAAGACTACTCACTGGCACAGGGCAACAATGGATTGGTGGTTCTCTCCAGCGGCAGTGGCACGGACACCTTGGCAATTTTCAACCAAACGTCGAACAGTTGGGTGAATGCAACCAAGCTTTTTTACGGTGAACAGACCTCGCAACAAATCCTTGGAACGACGACCTCAACGCCGACCGCTACGGCAAGCGGATCCAGTGAGACTTCCGGCGCCCCGGCCAGCGATGACTCCTCGAGCAGCAATGTTGGCACGATCATTGGAGCCACTCTTGGAGGTATCGTAGGAATTGCTGCCATTTTAATTGTAATCCTCTTCATCCTGAAGCATAAGAAGGATGCGAAGAAGCGCGCTGCCCAGGGTCAAAATGGTGGTGACAAGGATCGCTTAAGCTTCCAGGACCGCGGTGTCGAGCCGCTGACTCGGTCCGCATATCCGATGGCGAAGAGCCCTGCACCGCTTGCGGCATCGTCGGTTGACTCTCTTGCAATCTTCTCCGGCAATGTCGGCGAGGAAAAGTCGCCCAAGCCCGCCGGCGCCCCTCCCAGTTTCGATCACAAGCCGAGTCCCTTGAGCACCATTCAGTCCAGTAGGGAGCTCAGCCCAGGTGAATTTGACAAGGCCATCGAGGCCCAGGATTCACTACCCAGAAACCATCCTGGAGACCGGCAAACGAGTGAAGGCTGGGGTAGGTATTTCCAAGATACCAGTGCGGCGCCTCTGATGGTTCCGCCGGCAGCTGTGCCCGCCCGGCCTGACTCGACGGCCACGACCGCTACTGCATGGCCGATGAAGACCCTGACGCCTCTGGACACCAACTTCTTAGAAGCACCGAAGCCGTTGGGATGTGTCGTGAGTGGCAGCCCCACCACCGAGCATGCTACGTCACCTAAAAATGGACAATACATCACAATCCCCGAGAGCCAGTCCGCTCGCATCTCCACTGCCAGTGACATCACCGTCGAATCGGTCGAGGACTACGAGGACCACGGGTCACGTGCCCAACAAAGCTGGCTTGGCCGTCCCCCGAGCAGCACCTACAGCAGAAGTTACTATAATCCAAGCTATTACAACTCGAGCACGTCTGACATGCCCTCGCTCGTGACCCCGTTACGCGATGCCCGCATGAACACGCGCGGCTCAAGCGTGCTTATCCCCGACAGCGTCGAACCCGTCCCACCGCGCGACCCTCGCAACAACAACAACAACAACATCAACTCAGATATGAGCTGGTTGAATCTCAATGCCGAACGTTGACCTTCCCGAGTTTGAACCAGAAACACATTCCTTGAAGCTCCTCCTCTCCTTGGCCGCCATCCGTCCCAGACTAGGTCTAATCCGCTCGCTCCTTTCCTGACATAGCCATACCCTAATACCAGCCGGAAAAAAAAAAGACACCTGTAAAAATGTTTCTCACTTTCCTTGCGCTCTTCCCCGACGGATGGACTGTACAGCTAGCCGCAACATTTCTTATAGTTTCAGCATCTCACCGCACATGTTTCTGTTCTGCCTCGCACTAGGATTTGATCGTTAAAGCGTCCCAATTCCAAACCTGTTGTGCCTCGTCCATGCATCTACGCATCATATTGTTCCTATTTGGTCTATCACTTTGCCTCAATCGCTTTCATGAAACCCATCATTCTTGCTTTGGATTCCTCTTTCTTACTCGGGACGGGATAAGGATACCGGTGTTGTGCGTCGGAGTCGTACATAGAGTCTTTTTTTTTATTCTTTCTTCATTTATTCTCCCATAAATGCCACACAGTAATTTAATCCAAATGACCCCGCCGTCCCTAATCTCTGCATATTAATATACTTAAATCTTACTCTGAACCACACCCAATCAGAGACCCGGGACCCCGCCAGCCACGGTACTTTATTCGAGGCGTGGCTCATGCCATATGCTCCGTTTTTAATCTCAGGTCATCTATCTAGTGCATGCGGCATGTACTCCGCATTTGTGAATGGATCTGGGATGCATGGGTCTGTGTTTCTGGTGGAGATTTGGTACCTATGTTTGGTGTAGAATGCTGGGTGTGGTTTGGGCTAATTAGTAGGTTGGCTTTGCTTGATGGATAAGCAGGGTTGTTTTGGTTGGTGAGCTATTCTATCTTCTTGTGGTGAGGTGGTTCTGTACCGTGTAATATGTGCTAGAGGGTTAACTCGCTTGCAGGTTGGATGCTAAGTATGCAGAGCGCTGTGTGAGGGTACTGAGAGCAGGGAAAAGGAACATGCTACCCGAAATAACATTCAAAACTCGACGTATAGAGACAAAAGCCAATTGCATAAAGACATAAACTTGCAAAGCACATGAAATGAAGCAACAAACAAAAGAAAGTCATAAGGTCATCACCGCCATGGCCATCATTATCATACAGTCATAAATTATAGCATACACAGATTGGCAATCTCAATTTCATATTTCAGGTTTTTTTTTTTTTTTTTCGTAAATCATACTTCTTGGGCTACCGACATAGACCGACCTCTCGATCCACGTTCAGAGGCGGGATATTCTTCGATTTCGTCGGGATACATTGTGTATCGGCGTGGCATGGCTCCGTAACTTTGAGCCCGGCGGCGTTCTCGTCTCGAATCGCACTGTTTTCGGAAATCTTTGCGCTGTTTGCGCATATGGTCGACGTGTCTCCATTCGTCGATTGCACCTTTGATGCCCAGCGTTGCGAGACCTACACTCGCGGCGTCGCCAAGATTGTTTTTCAACCTGCGTTTGCGTGCTTCTTCAGGGGACATGTCGCCCTCCTTGACCATTTTGACTCGTTTCTTATGCTTTTCCATGCTTCCGTGTAATCCGTGGGCGGCGTGGATGGTTGCTACGGTGGCCAGACCGGTAGTTAGGAGCATCTTCCGCGTCAGCTTTTTGCGCTGGTGTTCCTCATCGGTACTGCTTCCAAGGTCAGAATCCATCTCCGAGTTTGAGTTTATATCCTCGCAGTAAGTATAGCCTTCTTCGCCTGAGGCTCCGGACCAACTAGGGGAGGATGGCGATTGAGTATTGCCAGGGTTTAGAGATCGACCTACATCTCTGGAATGCCGAGTCCGTCTTGAGCTCCCATGGTGCCTAGATCCGTAGTCACTCTCCGAGTCATAGTCCGAGTAGTCATCCCGGCGAGAGGGTCGATCGCGATGTCGTCTCCGGTCGTCTTTGTCCTTCTCCTTGTTTTCAAGGCCTAACGCTTCCATGCCCCGGTTGATATAGTCGGAAACACTCCTACTCCGCTTTCTGGGCCGGCGCGGAGAATCTTCCTGGCTGTCGCGCGAGTGAGACCGACCACGTGGGCGGGACCGGGACCGAAACCGATTGTACGCTTCCTTCCCAGCGGCGGCCAGGGCTCCAGCGGCGGCAAGATCAGGCAGTTTACTCTTATGCTTTTCGCGGCCGCGGGACTTGGACTGGGACCGAGACCGGGGGCCATTCACAAGGTGGTTCGCAGCCAGACCAGCCAGTGTAGACTCGATAATATGGCGCTTGGAATGTTTGTTAGGATCGCGGTCCACAAGGCCATCAGTACCACCCGCTGTCAAAGCGGCAGTGAGAATTCGTTTGCCTTTCGCGCCCGTCCAGTCGCCGGGTTCTTTGCGCACACGGTAAGCTTCCACTGCGCCTGCAGTTATAGCTGCTTTCATGGCCTGAGCAATTCGCTGTTCACTCCGATCCCGGCGATGACGGCTTCTGCTCCGAATCGGAGAAGGCGAATAAGAGTAGGACCGGCTATGATGGCCATGGGAACGCCCGCGACGGTGCTCGTGATGCTTGGAGGCCGAAGAGGCAGCAGAACCCATACCTAGGGCTTCCATGGCCTGTTCCGAGAGGGATTTACGCTGTCTGCGGGGAGGCGATCGGCTGCTAGATGGAGAACGCTGCGAGCGCCTGTGACGGTCACCTGTTGCAACAAGATTAGTTGAGTATACCCCAGCCACACTAGTTTGGCCTTTTTCCACTCCCAAGAAACAGAATACATACGTGGATCATCGTAGTCATAACGTTTCGAACGACGACTATGACGCGAATGATGATAGTCGGGATCATCGTAATATGAACCACGGCCTCCCATGGAATGGGACCTGTGCACACCTTCTTTGACGGTGGAAACCCTGGAGCGGCGAGACTGAGGGGGTAGACCATATCCATATTCGTAGCCATAATCTCCTGGAAGAGATTCGTTGCTCCCGTCGTGCCGTCGGACGACGCCCGTTTCATGGCGACTGCCACTGTAGGGACCGTCGCCGGCGTAATAATCTTGCGAGTAGACACTGGGTGGGCGCGCATAGCGATCGCGGGGGGAGTAGTAATGACCCTCGTCGTGGTACGCCATTGTTTTGGCTAGAGTGGGAAGATAAACTCTAGACCGGTGGGGGTGACGATCATACAGGAGAAGCCACCTACAAAGTTCAACGATTTGGGGAGAAGAATGTGGATGAGGTCAGGGGAAGTAAAAAAAGGAGAGAAAGTGAGACAATGAGATATGCGTTGAAGAGGGAAGAGAGAGTAGTAATAAGTAAGAATGAAGATCGAAGAAAAGTACACGGGAGAAATTGTGGCAAGAGGCGGGGCACCTGCACGTCAGTGACGTAGGGGCGGTACCTCTCTGACAGGATATGCAGTACGGCAGTATTAATAGAAGGACTCGCTGTTTCGCTCCAGTAAGGCTGAAACCATCCAAGCTCGATCTTCGAGGTATAAGCCGTCTGGTGCAAGGGATAATCATGAGCAATGTGTTTCATACAGTTCCATTCATCCGTGTCGAGAGGAATGGTATAGCACATAGTAGGGTGGTAGTGAAGCAGTGGAGCCGGACCCTCAATTTGATGCACACCTGAAAATACTACGCTGGATGTCCCTGAAGACAACACCTTACCCGTTTGGGGCCTTGGGCAGCGATCCCGTCTTGGATGACTAACCGAATCACGTTCAATCCTCTTTTGATTTGGCAATGACAAGAGGCCCAGTCAAAAACACTAGTAGTCATTGACATCATATCGCTTCGCCTCAATTCATTCACGCAATCAGAATGAAAAGAAACGATGGTTGTCTGCCTGAACACGTTACGCCTCATCGAGGCTACGTTATCGGCAAATCTGGAGGCCAAGCTCCATCACATCGGCTCCATAGATGGACCCATCTGTTCCTGACCTAGACCGACGCCTGGTTTGACAACCATGGTTTCGGACTGCGTGCCGTGGTTCAACCTTGTTTGTCCTGGGGGTCTCAGTGATTCACAAGACGCTCGACCATCGATCGGTAGGGGTATCTCCGTGCCTGTCTCCCCGTATCGTACTACTTCAACCTACACCCGCGGACAGACAATCGTTCCAGTATGGATATCAATCAATTCATTCACGTTTCGATGTGACATGGTCTCTTACACAATGGACCCCTAACATCGTTGGTATACTATACATATCAAAAAAAAAATGGCTTTCTTGGCCGTAACTTGGAACTTCTCGTGGCACAAAGAAAAAACAGGGAAAAAAAAAAAAAAAAAAAAAAAAAAAAAAAAAAAAAAAAAAAAAAAAAAAAAAAAAAAAAAAAAAAAAAAAAAAAACGCTTATAGGCTGATCCAAAATAGCCATGCAATAGACTTAAACAAACATCAGAAAAGGAGAAAATGCCAAAGAATAAAAGAAGAGAATAAAGAAAAGAAAATGACAAAGGAATCGCCCTCTCCCAATGGTACACAGATGAGAAAATCCGGACTTTACTGCCCAGTCATTCGTCTGTTCATATCATGGTAAAACCATTCTATCCCAATTCTATCCGCCATTTTCAGACGGTAGAAGTGAAACTGGTGACCGAGTGAGAGTGCCGCACAGCAGTCACCCTCAACGCCTGTCGAGTTGCTCCAACATAGGAAGATCAAAGACCATCCCGGAGATCGTGTGAAATGGGAAAATGAAAGAAGAGCAAGGATAGGGCAAAGAATGGCGGAGGTTTGACCTCTCGCAACGGCCCGAATCTGGGAGATTGCTAAAAGGTTCGGTTGCTTCATATACGTTCGCCTCACACGTGTGTCTCATCAAATTCATGATGACATCATTCCAAGTGACTGCAAACGCTGACATAGTCACTTGCGCTCATCTCATAGTTGTCATGCTGTCGTAGGCATTTCCATCCATTTGGGTCTGGCTCGAGGATCGGTGGTGGTTGTACAAGGGGCTGTCCCTCCTGACGCGCCACCGGTTACTTGCATCAGTGTCCTTCTCCGTCACACCCGTTGGCCGATCTTCAGAGTGTGTCCGATGGGTTCGAATGTGCTGCTTCATATTATCCTTTCGGGTGAAAGCCTTGTTGCAAATCGGGCAGTGTACACTTTTTTCGCCCGTGTGCTTCTTTCCATGGCGTGCCGCATGTCCTGATGTCGTGAAGGTAGCGGAACAGTTGTGACTAGCAGCAAATGGGCATGGATATTTGTTCTTGCGGTTTACTTTGGTTGCCATTGCATCTCTAGATCCACTGATCGATGCTGGTGGGGAGGGAGGGTCAGACACGCTGTTGGCGCTGAGCCTTTTCTCAGCAGTTGTCGTTGCGGTTCCCGCTGTCGGCGCTTGGTAAACATTGAGTTCCTGACGACTAGGCTGATAATAATAACCGGATCCGGTGCTCATGTAGTCATAAGAGCAGTCAGACGATCCGGGGGACGCAGGCTGCGCGGCTTCCGATACGGGATCGAACTGTTGCCGGTTCACCGGGAAGGAGTCTGAATGTGCGTACCCATAGCGATGGTATGAGTTTGATGCCTCTCGCCGTGGCTCTGACGGATAAGGGTATGATGAAGTAGAGTGGTGCCTGGACAGGCGGGGGCTTGATCGTACTGTGAATGATGGATTGTCATCATTGTTTAATATGGACACGAAGCCTGCCTTGCAGCTAGCCATTATTTATGCTAGAATTATCTGGTATTGGGCGACTTTGGGGATGATTAGCTGAAATGGTTCTTGTCGCATCCTTTGGTGATACTCGACGAAGCAGGGATATGTGATCCTAATTTCCACGAAGGCCCAAGATAGAAAAGAAAAGCTATCAAACGGGAGTACTCACAAAAATGTCTTCGAGGATGTTTGTCCTTTCTTCGTGTAGCATGCACCGGATCTATTGACAGGTACTTGGATGCAGATCTGACAAAACCCCAGTGGAACTCGGCCTCCTTGGCGAAGTAATCGATTTTAACCGGACAGAATCCCGGGGACTCCTGCCACGTTCTGGATAATAAAAAAGAGCCCGATACTTCCACTCCTCAAGACTGGACAATAGCGTTGGCAGACGATTTAGAAATATTCCTTTCCCTCCCTGTCGTTGACACCACCGAACACTTCCGATAGGTGATGGAAAAATAAATGATTCTTAAAGGGAGTTGAAAATTGAACCGGTGGATTCCCGGAGTTGCGTTATGAAGGAGTGATCAGAAGATAGAAGGAGGATTGGATCAACACCCTGACAGGTATAATAAGCCCTAGCAACTATCTTCCAGAGAAGTGCCGGAGCCAAGAAAAATAGCGAGATGAGTAAGTCGAGGAGCAACCAAAGCCGGATTGAGAAGTGAGATTACACGCCGATATCGATGCTAAGAGGAGATCGTCAAATGTGATAGAGAGACGTGATAAGTGATTTGATAGATGTTTAATTGATAAGGGGCGATTGAAAGGAAAGGAGAGGAAAGCGACGCAAAGACAGACGCTTGTCTAGTTTAAGAAGAGGGGAACGGCGAAGGAAAGAATTGAAGACTTGGAAGAACAGAGTTGAGATAGAGGATGAAAGAGGAAAGGAGAAGGCGAATGGAAAGAGAAATAAATGTAGAAGAAAATGAGGACGAAGGACGAATGATAAAGAGAGAAGGGGAAAAAAAGAAAAAGGGAAAAAGAAAAAGAAAAAAGGGACGAAAAGTAGAAGAATAAGAGGAAGAAGAAGCAGCATCTTGAAACCCGTCCAGGGTCTCTCCAGAAGCTCTGGCCATCGCAGTCAAGTCAGTCAGTCAGTTACTTTAGTCGCTGTAATAGTGAACCAGTTAGTTAGCGTTCGAGCCTTCGAGGGTGTCCACGACACTAGTTAGCGTTCTCCAGTCCTGGTGGATCCGTGGTAGGCATCATTCATTTGTAGAATAATAAAATCAAACTAATAATAATTAGAATAATACCACAACTAATAGTCTGTTCATGGAATCCTTGGATTTGTTCCCTTAGAGGGGGCCAAGGGTCTGCCCAGAGTCTTGTTGGGACCAGTGTAATTTTAAGCCCATCAGTCAACAAGAAAAAGAATAATCAACAAAAAGTATAAAAATTTCACGCATTTTTCACTCGTTGGTATTCTCATATTCTTTCAGTACGATAGGGGGAAAATATGCTGAAAATATTACATTTAGATTTCCAAAAAAAAAAAAAAAACCATGAATCTTGTCCTTCACAAATTAACAATTAAGTTTCCACTGGGTCTCGGAGTCCCGAAAATAAAATAAAACAAAAAAGAAAAGTCAAAATAAAAAATACAAGCAATTCATCAACTCTGCCAATTTAACATTCAAATGGTAGTAATTCCGAGAGGCACAACCAACACCCGGCACTAGTTAACTTCTGGGACCCAGTCATTAATGGCAGGGCGTTCCTTAGAATCCTTGCCCTTACCTTTTTGCAGGAAACTCCCCGTCCGCTAACTCCAAATCCTTTGGTCGGGGCAGCCACTCCGCTCCATCCAGCAGGGTGGCTTTGCTCTCTCCGACGTGCTATATTTACCCAGTTCTCTCACAACTTCATCCACTCGATGGGCCATTGTCATCATCCTTTTCGTCAGGAGAGTAGGATCCCCATTGCGAGAAGGGACCAACGCCCCCGGTCAGGGCCCGAAAGCCCCTCCCACGACTCCCTATCCAAGTAGTATAATCCGATCCAAAGTGAACTAGATCCCTGGTTGGTACGTGGTTCTTGTCGTCAGCTGATTCATTGACATACGTCTCTGTCATATCGTCAATCATTTGTTATTCAGTATTATTTGTAGACAGAAACATGCATCAGCTACTATAGATCATATCATATATCCCTGGGAGGTATATTTGGATTAGAGATTAATAAGGAACGGTACGTTGGTCAATATCTGGATTGATATCACTTTTCGTACGATGCCTCTAATGCAAGATTTTGCACTATTGACTGTTATAATTAATTAACGGAAAATTAAAATAAGAAGGAATAATGCAGTAATTAAATCGGAAGCGCATGCTATTATTACGCTAACCACTAGATACAGAGAGCTTTCCAGGGATTCCCGGAAAAAGTAACCTTCTCGTCACTGTTAGTTCCTGCACCGGTGTGAACTCTACTGCGTATTGAGATTACATACATGTTGTATGGTCTGGATCAGGACAAGCATTGCTTTTTATGCTGGAGTACAATATCTCAACAGTTCAATGAGACGGATCGAAGTCCAAAATAGCACTGAAAGTATCCTAACAAAGAACAATGGCTGATGTCTGACCTTTTTATAGAAAATATTCCGCGGTGACACTAGATCGACAGTCTATTGTCGAGAGCACAACCCATCAAGCACTCGTGCTGCCGAGACAGCAATCATGCCCATCGTTACCCATCCTGGTTAGGCGCCCTTTCATCACATCCCCAGAAGAGCCTTACGGACAAGCTTTTAGCCACGGTGTGATAGAAACCGTGGTTCTACTATATCCTGCATTAGCTACTATGTCTAGTGACGGGGGTTGTCCAATCCCAATGTGTAAATGATTGAGTTTCTGTGCATTTTTGTATCATTCCCTCTTGAATATAACATAGACCCTGCATCTCTTCTTTTTCCCGAGGAGATAGGTTATTTTCAAGGTTGTTCTAGTGGGCTTTTCTAATCCACATCAGATAAAAGGCCCGTCCGTCTCGGGTTTAGGGCTCGGTACGAGGCCTCGGGCTTGGGTACCGTAACCGTATGATACCGGTACTGTGGAGTTCACCAAGTGGAGACCGGCCGATGGACTTATCCACTTCTGGATATTTCCTGCCGTTCTGATTCGCTTTGAATAATGTATGTACAACGGAATATTACCCCCTCCGATATTCTGGAAAACACGGCCTTCGTTCCACCGTCGACGACGACATCGGAGGCAGACCTTGAGCTGTGAACTATTCGCACCATTGCAACGAGGCTATCTCTCGGTCTGAGTAGTGGCAAACTGAAATTTACGATCGAGCAAAAGAAAAAGGAAACATAAGGGGTACACTGAAACGTTGGACGGTACATACAAATTGTACATGCTTCTAGTATATGTGTATACTATACTCCGTAGCGAGAGAGCGAATCAGCACCTGGAATAACTTCATTTTCTTAGGCTAAACCCAGGGAGCCGCTCAAAAACGTGGTTCCATCCCTGCAGATATCCCGTGATTCTTTCTTTTTTTTTTCGTTTTTTTCTTTTCTATTTTTCACTCCCGTCTTCTTCTGGTCCCTGGGTTGTCCTTCGAAACCATCGAAAGTTTCACTTAGTAGCAGGAATAGGATTAATTTCGAGAACAATGGCATAAGATTCGCTCATGGCCCCTCAAATGCATGACTAGCAAGCTACTAGCATGCCGCCGGTCCCCTCCCCATCTGACCCATAACAAACGCTAAGGCCTGCTTAGCATGCGTTATCGAGATATGGCCTGTTCATCCTGAATCGCTTCCCACAGCTTAACACGCATACGTGTTGTCAAACGTCGTCAACGACGAACCCCAGCCAACCCTGTACCACATCATTCTCTATAAACCCACCTATCCACAGTCCTACCTCCTCTTAGCTCGCTCCACCCTAGGCATCAACATTGATAAAGATTGCCATAAGCTCTCTCCTCACTGTTAGCGCCGGGTCGGAAGAGGATATACTACACAAACTTCATCATCGCCAAATGCTTGGCCTTGTAGCTACTCCGTACATGTTTCCCCCCTGCGGAGAAAGACAACATTATCTACGTATGCAACATTGGGTGGCTATCCTTATACGGCGTACGCCGGCTCCATACTAGCCCCAGCAGGGTATCGGGCGCTCCTGGTCATACGCGTTCATCGCCAGGCTAACGTCAGGATATCGTCCAGATCGAGTGTTTAGGTTCCGAAGCGCCTCTTCAATGATGATCAGTCGAGGACCTCGGTTTGATGCTCTATTTTCTTTTCTCTGGGGGTTTTATTCGGTGATATATTTTAATTCTAATTTTAATTTTTTTTTTTGTTTTCTTCGCCTCGAAATGGTTTCCGTGAGCTTCCGTTGGCTAAGAGAGGGGGTGCTTATACTAAACAAGTCGGTTGCGGCGGCCGGCCATTCAGAAAGGAGCACTTAGGGTATGCAGGGTTGGGAATGTTTGTCACTCGCAGGGCATGGCTTTAGACAGCTGCAGGAGCAAAGATTGAGTAATAGTTATGCACGTCTCGGAGCAATCCTCTCAGTTTGCTTCAGCATTGAAAACCTCCTCTTCCCTACAGTGCTGCAGAGACAATCGTTCTTGCATCGATCATGTGTCGACATACAGGGAAGCTGACAGCACGGACAAATCCCGAGGAACCGGCTGATGCACCCTTAGTTCAGTGGATGGTTGTTGATCAACGCTCATTTAGCCCCCAGCCTCCTTCTGAGTACCCTGGAGTAATCCTGCCCTACTGCCATTATGCATAGGGTAGTATCTACTAATGTATATTGTACAGCCCCGAGGGCAAAGTGGACTTTTCCCAGATCCATGTCAAACCGTCCAGCAGGCCATTGGCTGATACCCCGGAGCAAGGTAGTATCAAGTACAGTCATAATAATATGCGCCTGCATAAGACCACATATACCGGCTCGCAGTGAAGAAATCAAGCACGTCTCATTTGCCAGCTGTCCGTCCTTGGCACGAGGTCTTTCTCGACACTAAATTCAACGCTATCCTGGTCCCTACAGTAGTAGCTGAATAGCTACTACACCCTTAGGGCCCCCTTTCAGGGATGCATCCGAAGGGCCGTGTAGGTGTGTGAGTGAGTGAGGACGTTCGACGTATCAGGAGTGGTCACCAAGCCCATGGACACGGCCACGTTCCTTGGGTTTAGCTAGGCGAAATACCAAGACTTTTGCTGACCCTTTTTTTTTTTTTCGTTTTTACCAATCTACTAGCGACAGGTTATTTCTTGTAATTACCGGATCAAGTGGAGTTCCGCTATCACTACCGACTCTGCCTACTGGCCGAGAGCCGGCCGTAGATCATAAGCTGGTGGAGAGTGACCTCTTAAGTTTACTCGATACGGAAATCTTAGAGACCTAACCATTTAGGTGTCTGGGCCGTATACATCGTATTGCCGTCCATTGAATCGCGAGGGCGGGG